AGGTAGGTGAGTTACTATGTACATGTACATGTAAGGAGCTACTTAGGTAATACTAGTGATAGCGCCTGCTCACACCACCGGGATACTTACCTAGGTAGTCTAGAATCCACCTAATAGAGCAAGGATATATCTGTTAGCAACACATAGGTTCCCAATCACAGCCATAGCCCAAGCACCGGCGGTGGAGTTATGACGAAATGATGCTATATGTAGATGGACTCGTGCTTCTGGCGCGGGTTGGGTGAGTTGAGAGGCAGGAAGGGTCCTGCATCACGCCAGATCTGACGTTCGGATAGGTCAGGAGCAGATTAGGAGGTTTTCCATGAAGATCTTTTGCCTGATACCAGATACCAGATACCGATGATGGCAACACGTGCGAATAGTGCCCGAGCAGACCCGAGGCTTTTCTCTGCTAGCGGCAATATCAATGTTAGATGCGAAGGAGACAGTGTGCATATCACCGGCGCTATGAGCACTGATGGAACAGTAATAAGAGCATAATTACGCTCGCACTACTGCTGTAATACTGACAGAACTGAGTATAGGTAGGTAAGCTTTGGTAGGGCGTGAATTGTGTCTGAGCGGTGGTGTGCAGGCCTAGCTACATGATTGTCTCATACGGTACTTACTTGTGGAAGGAGGGCTACACTGCCTACCTGACGAGTTACCTAAGAGTCTTGATCAGAGTTGACAACTAAGCGGGAGATGCTCAAGTGTGCTTTATACCTGCTTTTATTACATATCTACTCATAGAATTAACACCTAGGTAATAGTATGTATGCTAAGAGTGTAACTAGTTTCTGCTGCTAACTACATAGCGCGTACTGAGTCGGATGGGGATCGTATCACGACGTTACAATTAACTACCTATGGGCTGCTACAAGTTAATATCAAAGACGTTGAGTTCTACACTACCTACTATAGTTACATGCACAGACACCAACTAGTACCTATCAATCTGATAGTGTAGTTCGTCAAGGTGACAGGGTTCTTGGTGATTGGCTCACTGGAGCCGTGGACCCTGATTTCCCTAGGGTAGTTCCTGGGATCCCTTGGAAGGGGTTTCCCGGCGAAAGCTTAGTGTAGTGTACATGTATATGGCCATGGCGTCCGGATGAAGGGCTGATGGCGCTGTGACCTGCTATGAACTTCAATGTCTAGATAGTATGTGTTATGGTGGTTCTACATATATAGGTACATTCTGTAGTATGTATGTACAGTGTAAGGTAAATCCCCAAGGTACTACATAAGTAGGTAGATAACGTACACGGGAGGTACCTACACGTGTAGCATGCGCTACATTGTATCGTAATTTAAACTTGACCACTCAGCGAACAGCGCCGGGTACCATAACGGGGTTGTAATATCCGGTCACGGTCCACGATTCTGACAACCCCTCAACGCCCGCCGTTGTCTAGGAAGTCGTGTTTATTATCTAATATGTAGCATAAAGCGACGATTAGTGTCTTGTAAACAAAACAAACATCACAGTAGTATGCTATGTACACCACGACGAGTAAGAGCCTGAGGGCTAAACATGTCACGACGGATCTACTCAAAGTGTGAGCGGTGAAGGGCTGCGGACTCGTCACGAGACCGGAACGGAGACACATGATCGTCAGAGTATCTGCCCACCTTCGGTATTTTAAGGGATGCCGTCACGACAGGCGTACATGAGTTGTGTGCTCTACACCAACTAAGTAGGTACGCGCTAGAAATAAACTTGGAAGTTGGCTCTGAACGTGCTGAGCGCTAGCGGCTCATGAAACACTGCTGGTCATGAGGAACGGAATCGTTTATAGGCCGTGTGGTTGGGGGTGCAGTGTCGATGTATGGAATGTGCCGATTCAAGCAAGGCTACTGGTACTTAGACATATGGATTTTGCTAAGATTGCCAGAGACTTGTTTCAAGCGAAATGCGGCTGCAAAAAGAGCAACCTAGAGATGAATAATCAGAACACAAGCGGCAACTTCGATATACTCTTCCAAAAAAACAAAAATTCAAAAAATGTTGGTTGGGATAGTGCCGGTCTTCCGGGTTGGAAAGGAGGTCTATCTTATAATAGGTTGGGAATTGCTTGTGACGCAAAATGATGTTTAAGTACGATGGCCGGTGCTATGCGGGGCGGCGGAATTTGAATGAATAGAAGCGAACATGTTCTTGGACGACGTCAACACGATATAACCCAAGCAGCGCCGTGGTCAAATAGGCGCCTCATTCCTCTCAGACATCCGCATATACGTACCACAGCGCAAACAGACGTCAGTCGGCTGCTGTGTGTAGGTAGGTACGAAGTAAGTACGAAGTATGTATGAGATGCATACCGGCCGCTATTTGACATGCCGACGGATACTTGACGCAAAATGGTGAAAACCTACTATACATGTAGGTAGCGAATGCAGGTTACCACTGCACACCTGATGCACCAGAACAGTACGGAATTATTGGTTCGACGTGCAGCTGATCGGCTCGAGTGGTTGGTCGACTGGTCGGCCGCGAGTCTTGGCGGCAATGGCATCTGACGCTTTGCCGCCAATCTGCGACTCCAAGGAATCACGGCGGCCTCTAAGTATGTAAATATCTACATTCGTACCTTGTGTAGGTAGGTATGTAGGTAGATACTGAAAACTCGTACTGCAGGCCTGCATATGATGGTGTTCGGTACCTACTTGCTGACCTGCGAGGGCAGTTATCGGGGGACACAGCCAAGAGGCAGCGTGGTTGGTGATTCAAACATCTATCGATCGATCATCTCGAGTCCCTTCATCTTGTATGGGGTCTGTCTGGTCTGTGTTTATCCAGTCCAAGGTTATTTATCCCTAGCCACGCTATGCGACTTACATGTACCTAGGTACCTACTAAGTACTTATGTTCAGATATCTAGCCTGCCCCAAGTCTTGTCATGTACATAGTAAGTACTTATCTACTGTACAGTTTTACTCTGGTAGGTCCTTCTGGGTTGATTGTACTGCGTCTCACTAGCCGGATGCGCTTAACTTCGGGTCCAACCCCACTAAATTTTCAAATCAACACCTCCAATGGGGAATTCAGCGGTCATGGAATGGCATCAATTCGTCGCTCGATACACCCCTATGACGAAGCTGAAGAGGAAGACCAGAAGAAATACGGAAAGGGGACTTGGATAGTCCACATGGCTGCTATTTCAGCGACTGGTATAGGGGTGGTACAGGACTATAATTTATTGCAAAATGCCTACCTACTGTATCTACTAACTACGATACATGAGAGAAACTTTAGTCATGCTAGAATCTCGTTTGTATCTCGCGCCATCTTATCGCTTCCTACCATGGCTCAGGTGATCAACCAGACCCAACTAAAATAACTACTAAGTTGTAGGCTGCTGATAATCTCCTAGTGTGTGACCACTGCCAGTAACCATCCACAACCTACAACAACTAGAAGCGCACTGTGAAGGATGCAATACCCAAAGAGAATAAAAATAAAAAATAAAAAAAAATGGGCGATCAACGAACCAAAATTTTCCAACAGCTGCTCTCAAGCATGTAGCAGACATACCGAGCAGGCGGCTTACCTATTACACAGTTTTAGTGCTAGGCAAGTACATAGAGTAGACATGCACCTACTTAATAGTATAGGTAAGATCAAGACATCATATTGTAAGTGCTACTAAGTACCCCCCTATCGAGTACCTACTAAGCAGTACTGGTATTGGATATCTCTACGTGCCGCTCATGTTGCTAAATACTTAACATGCTCTAGCAGGCATTACGGGTGATGTGTCTGTGATGTGCCCTATAATCTGCCTCTGATCTGCTCACTGTAGCACTAGGTAGGTAAGTATTAGAGGTATTGAGGTAAGTATACTTATACATCCATAGGTATGTACTTACCCACCCAGGTAGGTACGCCCATACATACTTAACGCTGCGCCAATGCATGTCGGATTAGTCGCAGCCACACCATGCCACCACGGCCCTCCCACAACACCCTCGTTCACGGTGCCGATCTAACCACATCCTTGATCATATTCCTCCCCATCCCAGACCATCCTGACCCTTTCGAGCTTGGCATCTCTTTTGTATCCTCACAGGGTGGGCCCCGCGCTGAAGTCCCATTCACCTAGCACCAAAGGCTGTGACTTTGCCATGGCCCCAGCCTGTTTGGTATAACTGACGCTGGGTCGCGGCCTGGCTCTGCAAGAATCCTGTCCCTCCGGCCTCCTACGACCTTTTTTTTATCGGGTTCACACATTACCACGCCGTCACCACGTCGTCGTGGGTGTAGTGCGATACGTCGAGGTTTGGGGATAGCCTCGCTTTCGCTCCCTTTATTGCTCCCTCCCTCTCTCTCTCTCTCTCTATCTCTCTTTCCCTCTTCCTCTCCGCCACTCGCCCCTTCTTTCACGCTCACTTGTGCCCTCTTGAGTCTTTGTCGAGTGTCCCCCTCCGACGACTATCCGAGGGATCAAGACCTGGTATTGGGCCGTCTCGCAATGTACGTTCTTTCTCTATCGTTTCTTGTTCTTGTCTCTCGGTCATCTGAGTCTCTATACCGTCGCTGGCTCGCCTGTCAAATTTGTACCTCAGATAACCATGCTATCGCCCGTGTGTTTTTGCCATTTCTTCCTCGAAGCCGTGAACTATGTGTGTGCCTGTTGATTGCGTTGCCTTGCTCGAGTGTCTTGTATGTGATTGTGTCTACATGATCAGGATGTTTGTAAGCTTACATCAGGGGCTTGCCTTGGCGGGCTATTGACCACCAATCTCGTCCTCCCTCATTGCTTAACCCAGAATCAGTTGATGTGAACGAGTCGCCCGGTTTGACCTGTTGGCTCCTGCGAGTCATGATCAGCCTATCTCCCCTTTACCGCGTGTTTCAAAGTCGCTTATCACTCTGTTTCCTCACGTCTAAACTTCTAGAACCTTTTCGATCTTGCTATTAGCCTGTTTGAGCAGCGATGGAGCGACTCAAACACGAAACATGAGCCCTTGGAATAAAATCGACGCTAACATATATTCTGTCATAGTGTTGTGCATCTGCAGTCGATCGGCCAGACCTCTAGGAACTCGTAGGATATAATTGTCGAAGTCTATCCTCGAAAATACTCTCAGAAGTTCGCGAGTCTCGATCAATACCTTGGCTATAGATTTTGACTCTACCAATCTTCCATGTATACATAGTGTGAAAAGATGGATTCCGAAGACGGGGAGTTGTTTGTTAAGGTATGGGAGAGATTTCACCCTAACCTTGTGGGCAGGTTGCTAAAGCTTCACAGCAACTGGCCACCTTTGTGCGCACACATGAAAAGGCACTGGCCAATGCCTTGCAGATGCGAAGACAGCCCCGACATGGCCCCAGCCAGAGCGTGTCTACTATCCAAACCTCGCAGTCTACGAACTCCCTCCCTCTCCCCGAACGACCCTCGACATCAGCGTCAACATCCAGTGCATTAGCCAACGCCTTATCTCTTGGCTCCCTAAGCTTTGCATCTCATAGTCCCAAATCAACTAGGCTTGCTCTCACTCCTCATCACCTGTTTTATTTGTTGTCTCGATTTGAAGATTTAGGCATCAATGTAGGTCCAATGAAAGTACGCCTAGAAAACTTGCACGACAGCACCACGTCGGCCAATTATGTTTCCTTTTTGAGCCCATCCCAACGCACGAAGAGTCGGGGATCAGATGCCGTTTCGATAAGATCAGTCTCTAGCATCCGCAGCGTTATGTCTGGCATGTCTGCTTTATGGAGTAGCTTCGGTATTGGGTCAAGCATTGCTGCCGCCCGTAACGAAAAGCAGAAGGCTGCTCTTCAAGCTGATCTGAAATACTTGTATTCGGCATTTACCAAGATACCATGCTTGCGACTGGCTCCAGACTGGCGTGCAAAATTGATCCGTGGATACGAGGAATTCCCCTTTGACTCGGCTGTCCCGCTTTATGTATTCAAGAATCTCCAAGCACTTGAAATTAGCGGGATCGATTTCCGACAATTCTTTGGTTGGGATCGGGTAGCCGAGCAAATCCGCTCCTTAACACTTAAGAATGCAGGCATTGAAGACCCAGCTGACATACTGATCGATATTGTCCTGGATGATATGGATAAGAGACGACGACGTTCGGCAAAAGCCCAGACGACACCCACTGGTGCTTATGCTCATGCCTCTAGTCCTAAGCGAAGTCCGACAGATGGAGAGCTGCACCGACCTAGCCTGACTTCTACTGCCCCTGGACGCAGGAATACTGTTGCTGACTTGAATGTGGGCTCCATTGGGAACGAATCAGCCGAGAGTTTATCACCACATGGTAGCCGCCGTGCATCGGTTGCTCAAGTTGACATTGAAGATTCTGCGACAACTCAGCAGCCCGCTCGGCCAAGAAGTCACTCTCCCAGGCGTCCAGCCAGCTCCCGTCACCACTCTACAAATGCTAGAAGCTTACATAAGGTCAAACGCTCTGGATCTGGGAGCTCTCATTCCAGCCTATCTGATTCTTGGCATAATCCGAGAAATAGTGCTTCAAATCTCCTTGCTATGGGTATTCTGCCTGCTTCGAAATGGCGTTTCTTAAAGCATCTGAGCTTAGCAGACAACTCATTGACGGTGATGCCTGCAGCAAGCTTAGTGCCTCTCGCTAACACACTGAACTCTTTGGATCTGTCTACCAACCTTTTTACCCAGATACCTGACAGTTTAGCTACACTAACTGCGCTTCGAGCGTTGAACCTTTCACATTGTATGATCGACTCTTTGCATTCTCTGCTGCGGAACCCGCTACCCGCCATTAGCGCACTGAATCTACGGTGCAATCGTCTTTCGTCTATTGCTGGGATCGAGAAGCTTTATCCCTTGGAGCGACTCGATCTTCGAGATAATCGTCTGACAGATCCCATGGAAATTGCTCGTCTCACGGGTATACCCGATATCCGCGAGATTTGGGTCGAAGGTAACCCCTTCACACGATCCCACCGAGATTACCGCATAACAATCTTCAACCTTTTCCGTGAGACTCCTGGGTTCACCGAAGATATCATAATAGATGCCTCAGGCCCAACGTCGGCGGAGAGAAAGTACCTTGTCGACCGAGTTGCCATTCCAGCTGCAGTTCCAGTCGTCAAACAACAGGTCCCTAAACTTCCCGTTGTTGATGTAACCAAACCAACTATCATATATGATAGTCCGAGGCAACCAACAGTACTACGCAAGGAGAGACCAGCCCGCCCAACGCCTAAGGCTGTCACAAGCGAAATAAATACATCTTCCACGCGTAGACGTCGCACGCCAAAACGACGTATTGTTGATCTCGCAATAAATGAACGTCCTACGGCTATGGACTCCTTACAGTCTGACGTGGTGGAAGTTCCATCAGATACCAAAATCATAGCAGCCAGCCCAAAAAACAATTATCGTATATCGCAACCCCCTGAAAGGCAAGATCTACCGGCCAAGGTTTCAGGAGATGCGAATCCTTCCACCAATGGTGCGCCTCGTACTGAAACCAGCTGTATCACAAAGCCTACGCCACCACCCACTACACTGGAACCACGGCACCCTTGGGGTGAATTGGACGATTGGACTGCTGGTGGAGAAATCTACAAGCAGAAAATTGAAGCATTGCGAGATAAAGTGGGCAATGGCTATCTTAGTGCTCTGGATGAAGAGAATTGGGATACTTCACGTACGGCGTTCATGAGCACTGATTTTGCTCCGACTTCACCAATCCATTCCGGTCCTGGAACATCACGGATACCAAGTACCCCGATCATTCATAGCGGTGGTGCACTGGTCTGATCGTAAGCTGAAAGCAATACTTGATTGCAGCAAGCAGTTTTTATTTTGATTTTTTTTTTTTTTTCGGCCCTATCTAGGGCTTTTACACAGTGTTGGTAAAGTAAATCGAAGATTTTGCCCGTCTGTCTGCGACCGGGGCGATTTTCGGGTTACAGAAATCTCCGCCCCGTTTAATTAGTTATTGGAGCATAGCGTTCGGCGTTATATGGATGGGTTGGCATCATCTTATTGCATGATTGCATCCGCAGGCCATCATGGCGAAAGGGCTTCGATCTGTAATTGGGCGTTACCCAATACAGAGCGATGGAACAAGCCCAATACAATCGGGAAAAACGGACAAGCTCTACATTTGCCTTTCACAAAAGTTGCCCTACCGGTAGTAGCTAGGTACCCTACAACGACACGAGAAGAAGCTGATGGAAAGAATCGTTTTGAATGGCGTGGCTGCTGGAGTCTTGCTAGCTGTTTGTCTCTCCAAATGTCTGCATTATTGTTGTCTAGATCTGGTCGACTGTGGTTTTTATCGAGATTCCCCGCGGTGGTATTTGTTATTGTTTTAGGTTTTCCCGACTTTCGGGTACATAGTCAGTTCTGGTCAACAGCACACGACGATACGAGAGATGCGGAGGGCGGTGGCGGTCTTTTGCATTTACACAGGGCCAGGTGTTCTGGTGGTTTAAGATTAGAAAGAGAACCACTTCCCATAAAAGAAATGACTGCTATCGAAAAAGATTGCATTCTCCATTTCTCAATCCAACGTTCTTGGCTCGGTCCTCCTTCGTACAACAATAAATTGTGACTATCGAATTGCAAGGTATATTCTTGTATAGCACCGTGCCCTTCGAACTGTTTTCCCTACGATCTTTGCAGCACCTTACAAGTGTATCAGTCCACCCAACACCTATATGTTGTTACCTTGTCTCCTCGGTATGATGTACTATCACGCAATGTGACATTTTGATTTTGGATTGGAAATATATGTAGTTCTGTGTCTAATTAATATATTAAAAGCAACAGAGGCACGGACCAAGCCGTTTTCGTATCTACATATAAGATTCCAAAATTAGGATCACACCCGTGTCCTGTATATAATGTTAAAGTTGTCTACCATATTAAGTAGGAATATGTCATTCTCACTTTTTATTCACAAGTACCTAAGGCTCTTAGCAGACCCTGGATTGCAGAGCACTGGATATCTTGAAACCTTAGTAATGTCACCTGAACGTGATATTTTGCTTGCTCATGCGGGTCACCGTCGGAAGCTGCTTTGCTAATAATGGTTCGTTATATGTCTCTAAGTCCGCCGCAGTTGAGTTTCGTAGGGTTGAGAAAGGCTGGGGCTTAGGTAAGCTCTGTGTGAGGTGTCTTGGATTGGAATTGGAGATTCAAATACTGTGCCACTGTACTTGGCTTTTCTTAGACGAATAGTTGTGTTTCTGGTTAGCTACGCATTTAACAGTGTTTATGACGAGTAATTTGCTACAACAGAATAGTGGCGATGTGTATATATGTATGCATGAATGAGTAAGGGAAAAAGCGAGGGAATTCCAAACTAGAAGACAAGCTAGAAAAACTCGTAGTTTGATCTAACTAATATATCTTCCTGATAATTGAGTTCACGTAACACCTCTTTCAAGATTCTAGTTTGTTTCTGTGCAATAAGCATCTCTTGCTGTTGAGCATTGCATTTATATAGATGAATGGGACACTTTACCCGTACGCGTATAGCCTGCCCAAATTTGAATAATTTAGACATCGGAGGAAATCGAATGTACATCTAAGGGGCTGCGGAGACGTACAAGACACGCGGCGAGATAGGTGAGAGCTTTGAACTTTCCCAAGTAGTCGGGAGTGATTACAGGGATTGAGGTCAGGGCTCGAAATCGAAGCTGTAAGCAACAAGCTATCATGACTGATGACATTCATAGTTAATATCCTATATTCAGATCCCTTCTAGCCTTTTTGGATGACCTTCTTTCTGTACGCAATTGGACCGGCCTTGCCGACCTTCGAGGCCCGTTGGTATTTCTATCAGCGAGGGCTAAGTAACCTAACTGCACGTGCTTTTCCTGTTGGGCGTAGAGCCGGGATCTCGGGTAACATGTGTCTGCGGTGCTTAGCAAGTTTAACGTCTATAGCATCAATTTATCAAAAGCTCTAGATTTTTTAGACTAGTAAATGTTGTTCGGATACCCCCTGATGCTAACGCCATATCGCGGGCTACTCAGCTTCGTTCGAGCTACATCAGTATGTCAACGAGGATGTGTTACTGCGGCCATGCGTTTGGAATTCAAGCATCAATTTACTTGGTCAAAGATAAGATTCGTATCCTGCCCGTATCAGATAAGCTTTTTGTTCTAGTTTTTACCTCGAAGAAGTGTCCATCTATATTTCATAAGGAGGCTCAGCTCCGTAGTGTTGATACATCGGCGTCGCTAGGTAAACGGCTACTTAGCTATGCCCTGTGACTATGTTAGAAGGTGTTACTAAGGAGTAAAGACTGGGCGTAGTTACCTGTGGATGCGGTGGTGCTGGGTTTGAAAATAAGGTTGAGGCAATTTCCATAGCTGAACAGATATCACCCAGCGAATGTAACATCTGAAAATGGAATTCTAAATACGTAGCAATCTGTCGATTTCAAACGGACAAAATGCGACCACACACACACTCTCTCTTACACTTTCTCTCCTCTCTATCTCCCCATGCATATGACCACAGGGGCTAGTGATATCGAAAGCAAATACGACAACATGTCAAAGTGGTGCGTAAGCTGTGGAAAGAGATTACCTGGTTTAGAACACCTTACCTACCTTAATGACCTATATAACGGAAGGGGTGGGGTAAATGCCGTGCGCACACACTGCTGAGACTCACGGGGGTTTGTGTCTAATTCAGCAGAAGACCATACCTTTTCCCAGTGATCTTCTACTCTCCCATTTGCGAATTTCATGATATTTTGAAATATGTCTGGTATGCTTGGACAAAATTGCACCGTGGGACTGGATGTTCGTAGACATGTATATGGCTCGCCAAATATCACCTTCAAAGTAGTATGCGCTTAGTGGTGATATCACTAAAGACAGTCATCTTGGCTACTTACTTAGGTAGGAAATCGGCGCAAAGCAACTAATAATTTGTGCAAGCTGCTCCAGTACACGAAGATAGGAGTAGCGGTATGCTAGTTGGATCTCAAGGCTAAGGGCGAGAACCTACGGCGGCGCTTCCGTCAGATGTAGGTAGAGAGCCGCACTTTTTTATGAACAAACAATACCGACCCTACCGTTAGACGTCAGGGTATCGGGGTTGTGGGATTGACTCTAACTCCGCATGTTGGTCGACTTCAGTTGAATGCGGCACTGTCGAATTGGAAATACGGCAATATTAGCGATGTAAAGTCAATGCTGTGTGACACGGGGTAACGATAGCAATATAGACCATCGATCGTGTTATGATCGTGGGGTTGAGGAGCGAGCATGTGATGATTGAGGTGGTGGGGTTTGTCAGAAGTCATGATAGCGATATGGATGGTCAAGATCCATATAGCCTCCATCTGAAGCCTACCGTCGCTGAGAGGCAGTCAACGAACGATATAAATAGGCCCAAGATAGTCTAAACGGATGAAAAGTGACGGAATGCTAATTCATACGACTAAGATACTTAGGCTTTTTGATAGTTATAGATGTTTCACTGGTATCATCTAAGGACCTAAGTAGGAGTAGCTGGAGCAAAATAGACAGGCAGCCAAGACTCCCCCAATAAGGCAGGCCGGCGTCATACAATCGGTACTCCAAAAGGCGTGCGTCTCATAGGGCTGAGTCTAAGTCGCGAGATATTTTAGTCGACACCCCACCCTTCACCGTTTTCGCTAATGTTCATATTGCGCATAGCTTCTGATTGGCGCGCATGACCATCGCAATCTTTTACCAAGATCGCAACCTAGTCGCAGTCAAACTTACATGGTCGATCGCCTTAGCCGCAAGAGCGGAGGGCAGCCAGGCTACATGTATACAATGGTACTACTACGGAATAGATCAGACTGTTGTCGCCATATTTCGGTATGTGGAAAAGGAGGGGTTGATTTGGTTGGACACCAGAAAGGCCTTAGAACTATGGCATGGTCGCAGGATAATAACTAGAATACCGAATATACTAATTCACTAATAATGGAAACTTATGACATCACCATCAAGAAACACTCGCTTGCGCGTGAGGAGCGTAGATTGAGCTTCACATAAAGTGGTATCATCTGCATTGCAACCTACCTAGGTGTCTACATAGGTAGGTGCGTACCCGGGAACGGAACGGCAGCCGACTCCAAGACAGCACAATAATGCAAGGGGCAACAAACATGGGAGATGCATTGGGGCAAATAATATGGGTAGAATGACCTACCCCAGATTCCGCCCAGATTATCTTGGGGTCTAGGTGCATAGGGCAACGACACTAGGGAGTAGATGAAGTGCTTATGGCAGGTAACAGCTATGACTACATAGTAAGATGTCATCTATATCACCTACACTAGCAGATGGTGAATGATGTATTGATGATATTTGCATCCTCAGATTGGTAAGTAACTCTGCAGTAAGTAAGTACCTACATATGTATATATGTAAGTACCTGGATCGGTACTGCATCGTTACAGTGGTGTTAGGGCTGGCTTCAATGTTGAGATGAACTACATAGCAGATACTTTGATTTCCTCCTCTCGCTAGCTCCCTCCAGAGTACATCCAGGTACCCGCCCAGTCCTAGGGGTGACCTGAGAAAAGCGGAGAATACTTCCAATGGGGCAAGTGGGGCCGTTGATTACATAACCCATACTGTGGCTTTCCCAATGCCATCGCACCTCAACGACTACATCACGTCCAGCAGAACCGCGTTCAAGCGTCCATTTTCACATCCAACCCCTAGCTACAGCACGAATGTCCGGCAAAGGCCGCACCATCCGCACTTCTGTCACACAACTTTACCACCAAACACCAGTTTTACCCTGTCAAATGCCTTTTTGCCGCCACCCGCCACATCTCGAGCCCCTCGCACCAACCCTTGCGACGCGCTGATTACGCCCTCCCCCGACGTCTTTCCTGCTCCCTCGTCGCTCATTCGCAGTAGGCAACACACCACGATCATGGCTCCTAGCCCGAGAACGCCAAGAACAACCTCTTCGGCGCGCCAGCGAGCCCGTCAGTCTGAGACGACCTCGACCTCGCGACGCGCTCGTCCTTCTAGCATTGTGGCTGCTACTGAGCCTCCTTTAAAGCGTCGTCGATATGTCCCGGGTGGTCCCGGGGGTGGTGGAAGGTTTCTCGATAAAAGTGAAGAAGAACCAATGGACGCCGGTGCAGCAACCGGCCCTCGGCCTCGGACCCGTCCCAGCATTTCTAATAGTGCAGCCTCGCCTTCTCTATACCCCCCACGGCGTGAGCGAAGTACCCGTATTCGGACTTCCACTCGTATTGAGCAAGACGACGAGATGCAGATAAGCTCGGCTGCTGCCGTTGCAGCTGCCGTCGTGCAAAGCGAAGGTTATAAGCCACGGGAAGAGCGAGGCTGGGAAGAATTTCACCCAAACCTGGATATTGAAGCTACTTTCATGCTGTTTCATGCCGACGATGTCGACGGTACTGCCAGGCCTATGCCCGAGACCCCATCTGGGAAGGCCGTTTTTGGCGATCCCAACGATGTTAGCAGTCCTTCCAAAGACCAAAGAGCTTCTCCCAGCATTCAAGCAAATGGTGTTATGCCAAGCTCTCAAACTATCATCGCTACCACACCCACGAGGCGACGGGGCGCGCGGCAGTCAGTGTATGCTACACGCGGTGGAGACACAATACCGGCACCGAATACTCCTACTCCTCTACCTATTCACGGTCAGAATAATAAAGAAAAGCTTGACCTTAAACAACCCCTATATCGAAAGACAGATCGCATTCTACTTTTCGAGAGCAAAACATTCGGTCAGGCGCGATATGTTGATAAAGCCATGATGAATATTGGGTATCAAGAGAGCGATAATTATATCCGACCGGAACGTCGCTTGATTAAAGCCACCGATGGGAGTGTTGAAGATGACCAAGATCCCTCAGCTTCTTCCAAAGGCGACGGTGAGGCGTCGCATCAGATCACTCTCAGCTCTGGACGTGTAGAGTATGATATGGACGAACAAGACGACATGTGGCTAGAGGCATACAATGCTCATCGCAAGAGTCATGGTTGGAATACTGTTACCCGTGAGGTATTTGAACTTACAATCACAAAGATCGAGAAAGAATGGCACGCTTTGGAGAAGAGAATACCAAAGCCAAACCCGAAGCCACCGCAGACCCATAGGCCTCGCTCAAGTTCAGCAGCGGCCGTTAGTGGCGACCCCCAGCCGGGTGAAGAGCAAGACAGTAAATGCGCAATCTGCGATGATGGTGATTGTGAGAATACCAATGCCATCGTGTTCTGCGACGGGTGCGATTTGGCGGTCCACCAGGAATGCTATGGTGTTCCATTTATTCCAGAAGGCCAATGGCTATGCCGAAAGTGCCAATTAATTGGGCGTGGTGTACCTGTAAGCAATGTGTTCCTTCTACCTTCTCCAACTTAAACTGACTGGCATATCCTAGACTTGCATATTCTGCCCTAACTCCGATGGTGCCTTTAAACAAACAAATTCTTCCAAATGGGCGCATCTCCTATGTGCTATGTGGATACCTGAGGTTACCCTGGGTAACCATACATTCATGGAGCCTGTCATGGATGTGGACAAAGTACCGAAGAGCCGATGGAAGCTGACGTGCTACATCTGCAATCAGCAGATGGGTGCCTGCATCCAGTGCGGCAACAAGGCTTGTTACCAAGCTTTTCATGTTACTTGTGCACGCCGCGCTCGTCTGTTTCTACGGATGAAGAATAGTTCCGGCGCTCTAGACGTTCTTGACGGGAGCACCAACCTGAAGGCCTTATGCGATAAGCATTGCCCATCGGAATATGCCAAGGAGAATGATGTAGTTAAAGCCACTAAGAGTGCGAAAAAGTTCTACAGAAAAGCCATGCGAGGTCGCCTTTGGGCTAATAATCAGGCGTCTGCATTGGCATTGGCAGCTTCGCACCGCCATCTCATCACTGACCACCCACCAGATGAATCACAGATAACTGGCGCCAAGCTCTCAGTTGTCTTGGGAGACAAAAAGGGTCAACAAGGCAAGTCAATATGGAAGCTCCCATCCGGGGCACCTGTCATTCCCCAAGCAGTGTTCGATATTGTCGACTCGTCCCTCCAGCGATTCACTTTTCTGAAACGCAAAGAGTTTATAGCCGACGCATGTCGCTACTGGACTCTAAAACGAGAGATGCGTCGGGGTGCCGCCCTTCTGAAGCGGTTACAGCTGCAGATGGAGACTTTCTCGTCAATGGAACTCACTCGTCGCAATTTTGCAGCAATGGGATCCAGTGGCAAAGCTAGATTAACTCGCAGAATAGAGTTTGCTGAATCGCTTCTAAGGGACCTTGAGCAGCTGAAAGCACTCTCTCAGGAGGTAGTAGATAGGGAGCAAAGTAAACTGGATGCTGCTGAAATGGAACGCGACTTTGTGGATACCTGCTATTTCCCCATCCACAAACTTCTACCTCCAGTTATCGAAAAAGCGATTGCGTAAGTTTTCATGACAAAGTCTATCGAGATTCACAACTAACAGAAAAACAGACTTGACAAAAATCTCTTCTATGAGAGCTTGTTGCCTATTTCATCTCGAATTGATGAACGATATTACACAACAACGCTCACGCTTGCCCGTGATCTTTGCGATGTCATACATACTGGGATTAATACTGAACCAGATGCATTTATCGATACATCACATAACCCTGCGTTGAATCTTACATTGTCTTCTAAAGCTGATTTCTCTGACTACCGAGATCGTAAGAAGCTTGGCAAGAGGATACTCAAAGCCGTCCAACCACAATTGGAAATGGCATTACGTCTAGAGGCAGAAGCAAATCATCGGCCGTTCGAAGTCCTCAAGCTGGAACTTGAGACTATGATAGAAGTAAGCCTGGAATATCGACCCAAACCTGCTACCACGGAAGGCGACGGTGAAGGGGAGAAAAGCCAGGATGTTATCATGGTGGACTCATCCTCGACAGTCATCGCTGTTGCTGGAATGAATCATCACAGTGTGACAACGGGGGACGAGAGCGAGGACATCACCATGGCAGATGCTAGTAATCAAAACGCATCGACCGATGGCAACATAGAAGTTGACACATCTGTAATCGAAGCGGATACGAAGTTCGAAGGCACGCAAGCAACAACTAGTGGTTCCCCGGTGTTGGATTCTGGTGCTGGGGTAGCAGAGTCTAAGCCTGACGTGGGTAGTATGAACGATAGACAATCTATCAACACACCGCCGGCAACGAATGGCTACATCACGGTACCAACAGCATCCCAGCCTGCACCCCCCACACCTCCGCAATCGAATGGCAGCCTGGGGGGACAGCCGATGGACGCCCTCACAAACGGCGGTGTTATTTGGTACCTACAAGAATTCGAGCCAGAGGGCACGTCCGCTGCTCAAGAACAATGGAACGGAAGAAATGTCATGCGAAGCCTTAGTGAGGAACTCACAGAGATCGATGACGATGAGCTTAAAGGGCTCGGTGTCGAGATCAACGAGAGCATAACGGCTTCACCAGCAGATACAACCCCAATCGTTGATGGTACTAACCACATAAGTCCTACAAAAAAGGCACCCAAGCCCAAGAAACGTAAGACAACCTACCGAAGGCGTTGATAATGGAGTTGATAGGTGTATGGAGGGTATTCCTGTTTTGTATTATATTGCTGGGAAGTCTTTACACCTTCCTCTGCCTTGTACTGTCACACTAGCCAACGTTGTAATGTCGGCTGCGCCCGAAATAGTCCCTTATATTCTTTTCTAGTTAAGGGAGAAATGGGGTCTGGCGTTCCGGGGGGTTAAGACGGGTATGAGTTAAAGCCCTGACTATATCTAGTAGTAAGAGTTTCCCAGGCGTCGGCGTTCATCGTTAAAACAACGAGGGCAGGGGTGAACCTAGAGCACCCCCAATGGTGACTTTTAAATCATAGTACGAATGCAACAAGTAATCGTTAGGATCATTTCTGAAGCATTTATTGATTAATAATGGTGTGTTTTGACTTGGACCAATTCGAGCGTGCCATGCTTGGGTTTAGAAGTGCGCTAAGAAAAGCGCCTCTTTCAGATAGTATTGAGGATTCTGACATTGGCCTCTAGGAAATGTCTGTAGCATCGTCGAGTGTATACGCAGAGTATTACCATGGATTATGGTACGAAGCTCGTATAAATCCGTTTGGCCAGGAGAACAAGGAGCCATATTCCTGTCTTTATAACGTAAATAAGTACACGACCTAATATACGACTAGCATAGACTGTGTGACTTAGACTCTAGCGGTAGCTGAGAGCGATGACAGTGACAACTTATGGAGATGTTATGTTCGTTGCTCTCCAAGTCGGAGGTGCTATAACACTGGGAAGTTTTTAATATCACTCTAAGAGACTTTACTCTTGTGTGACGGATAGAAATGTATAAAGCTCCGTGTGACCTAACCGATTGTCTAGAGATGCTGACTTTGAACAGTCGATTCTGGAACCCGTTGCCACGTTACAGCTGTGTGTTTCAAGCCTACTATGAAGAGGTGACTGTGCTCAAGTTGAGAGAAATAAGCCACGTTTTCAGTCGAGGGCTATTTAGGAGTAACATGAGAAACAAATCTCCAATGTCTGACATCAGATAGTGTGCGAAATCGAGGGAGTCGAGGAGTCAGGGTAGTTAGGTATCTAGGTAGATGATGTAGTACATGATCAAAGTTCCGAGTTCTCGCTGACGTTATGGTGGGGATGAACGGCCGTACCAAGATCCAACGAAAGATCCAGAGCGAAGGCCTTGACTTTTCGCTGGGGCTCTTCCCGCTTTTGCTAGTGAAACCAACAACTGCCCGGACCCGGATGGATCTGCCCCAAATGCGGGAAGGGTGAGGGGTAATCGGGCTTCTGCCGAGTCATGTCAGTGACAACCTCCGGCCGGCTTTCTCTCTCTCTCTCTCCAGAATGGAGGGCGGGTTGCTAAACTCTGCTCGCCCTTTCTTTCCAAAGTCGACATGTTTTCATACGCGAGATGGGGACAAATTAAATTCTGTGAAACCCCGGAACTGGGTGTCAGTGCCAAGTACCTAGCTAAACGTGGTTCGGATAAAGCCACCCGCTGCAAGGCCGGCGCATCCCCTCCTCGTAATCGATGAGTTGTAACTGGCAACTAAACTCACCAGTGATATCATCTGAGACACGAGAATATCGCTGTGGTAAGTCATGTGATCTGACCTCATAACGACAAAAAAGGACAATATGAGACAGGGCGTGTAGATGCTGTTCAAGATGGAAAACACCTGACGTGAATGTGGAGCTTGAATAGAATAACATGCTGGTTCTGTCACACCCGTTGCTTGTTCCTGTACGTCACTTGTGAGTACTAGATGCTCAGCTCGAGTCTTAGAATGTGGTAGCTAGGGGCACTGTCTTAGAACCGATGATCATAGTAGTAAGTAGCAACAAAGCGAACATGGGATGACAGACTGGATCGATGTCCCCATTGCATTGCATTGTCTTGTGTTGTACAATGACACAGAGAAGCTGTCCTCAGTTGTTCCATGGCTACGAAGGCGGCTATCTTGCATCGCAGCAAAGCGTTTCCTTAGCCTAGTTACCTGGACGGAGAGGGTAAATGCGCTTGATACTGATCTGATATGTGGATGTCGGTACTGCTGGAGGCGGTAAGGCATCGAAGTGGTATGCCCAGGAAACTTGGTCGTATGCTTAATCGTGGTGGTATGGATATACATGTCATTGGGCGAGCTCTCGAGCAGAAGAAACGACATGAAATGCTAGATATTGACAGTACTTCGGATGCTCTATGTTTGGGTATGAGCCCAGTTAAGAATGTACACTAACATTGTCACCGTAATTCCTTATAGTTGCTGTAATATTAGGCGTTTACGCTGATTCTTATTCGGCCGTGCCATTGGTGGCGCTGGAATGCTTTTGTAATGGGCATCTCATACTGTCGAGACTGCTGATTCGCTTCCTGTGATCTTCAGAGGAGGCAACTTCTACCATGACCAATGCCGGGGAGGCTTAGAGATCAATCTCAGTCTCCTATGAGATAGAAGTACACAGATCCAGGAGACGGTAGGTACCGACAGAGTACCGGTTAGCCGGCCATAGATCATCATCGATCCACGGGAGCGAGTTTCGGGACGTGTATTGGTTGGTGAGGTGCCGCAAGCAGAAGACAACCGTGTGTATATCTCTGCACTACCTACTACCCGATATATACCTTTACGCACGTTATTTGCTACTCGTGTACCTGGCTCTGGCAGCGTCCAGAACAATTCGAGAACTTTGAAGTTTAAGAGAGGCAGAAGTACATACATACCTACTAGGTACCTAGCCACTTTTAACGCGCTGCTACAGACAGGCATCAGCTCTGTAGGTACGTGCTAAAGGCACCTGGGTAATGTCGCTACTGGTGGTATCCAGTTCATCGGGTACCCTAGTAGGTGCTAGGTGCCACCTTATATCTCTCTGCTGGAGGTTTTGAGTCCGCAACTGAATGCGATTTTAAGTCTATTGAGGTGCCATTTTATCTCTCAATTCAAATACGGACCAGAAGAACAAGGCATCAGATCGGAGGCTAGGATTCGGCAATAATCAATATGCGGACATGTCTATGATTACCTAGATTTGTTGGTGGCGATAATTCAAACTGAAAGCAGGCCATTTCCAATGGACGTATGGATGTATCCGGCAATAGTCTCCTACAGTATGTAGACAGCCACTTACTTACCTAAGTTCGCGATGGCATGGGCAGAAAAGCGAGCGGGCGGGGGAGGTGCCTTGAAAAGAAGGCTGTGCAAGCCGACCAATGACCGAATGTTCGGAACGGGTAGGCCTGAAACTCCGCAGTCCAATCCTGCCCATAGATTACAAATTGCCGCGATATAGGCAGCTGTGCAATGGGTTTCGGGTCTCGATGCTCCTGAGTGTCGGGTACAAAAGAGGGAAGGGAGAGAGAGAGACGACAGACAAGGACAAGGACCCAGGCACAAGCAAACCTCTGTAGGTGCCTCTGTTCATCTAATGGCTTTGCGTACCATCTTGAACAACACCTACGGTGCCGTGTCGTCGTGAACTGCTTTGCTGTACACGCCTCGGAGCCAACACGAGTGGCTACACGCGTGTCATCTTTGCAATGTACAAATCAGGATGCCGTCGAAGGCTTGCGTGGTCTTTGCGCCGTAGACCTCGTACTGCGGCCCCTGTCTGCTGAGTTAGCCCTGTTCTACATCGGCAGTCCTCACTTCTAATATGTGGCTCGCATCATCAAGATGATATAATACATGCCGACGATATACTATGTATATGCTTGTCTGGCGTAGATAAAGGACCTCGTACCTAACATTAGTATGCAGGCAGGTACCTACTTCAAGTTCAAGTTCACGTTCATGTAATTACCTACCCATTTACCCTATCCGTAACACGGCAACGTAGTTATGTACTACTACTGTAGGTGTTCTATCATGGACCCTTTCTACCCTCTCTTCTTGAGTAGTATATCCGAGCTAGCTATGTAGTGTACTAATCGGTAGCATGTCGGATATGTGTTGTGTTCATTCTTCCCATCATCCTATCCTATTCTCTCCTCTTTTCTCGAGTTATCCAGAGTGGGGGCTGAAAGCCCTGCCTCAGGTGCTGTTAGGGGCTTACTTGGTACCTGACACCAGCTGGGCACATCCCTATGAAACAGGCGCCTACTGCTCTGAGGAACCTCTGTTACAATACCTACCTACCAAGGTACCTACATATGCCCTAGGTAGGTAGCCTACAGTACTTGCGGTACCCCTTAGCAACAAAGAAATGGCGCGCTGTCTTGGCTGAAGTGATAGCGGTAGGCAGGTACCTAGTGCTCTACACAGTTACCTACCTAACCTACCTGCTGTACCTACCTCTCTAACCCGCTACGAGTACCTGCTGCTGCGGCTAGGCCCTACACAAGGCATGCAGCGCTTCTGACGTTCTCCATCCCAAGCATTCACTCAATCGGGTCGTGACCCTTTTCCCTCTCTCTCCCTCGCCCGTCCTCCGCCCTTCTGCCAGTCTTTTCCTCTCCCTTCAACAGAGACCCCGCGAAACCTTACCGGTGATACACTACAGGCTCTTCGATCCTGCGCATCTCCATTTTTACCGCGATAAGCATTTCTTGCCATCGTCTGTCTGTCTACCCCGTTGCCTGCATCTACGTCTGTCTGCACCGCTAGTCGCCTGTCGAGCTTGATTGTGGAACACGTTTGAAAGAAGTTTTGTTCATTGTTTTGAAGCGCCAGCAGATTTTTTGCTCCTCCCGCACCACATCTCCCGCCACAGCACATATACCTACCCTCTGTCCCCTGACGACGACGGCGAAGAAGCCAGCCAGCCAACACGACTACCACTACTACTACTACTACGACGACGACGACGACGACGACGACAATAACAACGACAACGACGATAACGATACCTTCGCGTCTGTCACTCCTCCCCGCCCACTGTAGAGTACCATTGTAGAGATCCAACGTATGTATTTTGCGACGCGGCCGCCTTTTTCTTGATCTTTCTCCCTTGCCTCCTTGACCTGTCTATCAGCCAACCTGGCTCCATTCTCGTCCCTTATCCTCCGGCCTCCGCGATCTCGACGTCAGCTGTCGCTGCCACCTGGTTGAGCACAATTTAGCAAAAGAGCCACCGTTATAACATCGCGTCCTGTAGGTTCATTGACTGCAGTGGTACTGCGTCTTGACGACACAAAATCGTATTCCTGCGTTTTCATACACGCCCTAGACGATCTATCGCGCCTGCATTGCCTGCATCAGACGAGGTTTCCGACGGCCGAACCGGCACTCACGACTCGGCGACGATTTATTGTGCACACTGTATAAAGAGATATCCTCCAACGCACGCTTGATCCTCAAGCCGCCATTTGGATTCTCCGACTGGGTGGGCATAATTGAGGCATTAGCCCTCTTCTTCAAAACTTCCCATCATAGCTGAGATCGCTTCATAGTGAGTTTTTCCATAACACTTTAGACCTTGAAAATCCGCTGCGCTTTCGCCCCTCTTCCCCGCCCGCCGTCGTCCGTCCACCCCCTCTGGCACCGCAACGCAGACATGCATTGCCGATGCGTCCACAAGGGCAACTAGTATCTGCTCATAATGACCAAAACCTTTCCCCGACCTGTTTCCTTGAACTTACGCTAACGCTCGTTGCCATTACAGCCCAAGAAGTGTATCATTTTCTGGTATTGGGCTCCACCACGTCCCCTTCTTGGCCCCGATTGTCACCCTTCCATTTCATCGATTTCATACCTTAATACTCAATTTCCTCGCGGGCCGTCTGGCTGGTAGGACCATCACCTGACGATGGCCGAACACGACGTTGATCTCGATTCTATCATTGACCGCCTCCTCGAGGTGCGCGGCAGTCGACCTGGCAAACAGGTTCAACTACTGGAAGCCGAAATCAGGTACCTATGCACTAAGGCGAGAGAGATCTTCATTAGCCAGCCAATCCTCCTTGAGCTAGAGGCTCCTATTAAGGTAATTACCCATGCCGGACAATATGGCCTCAGATAGGGTAACTAATTCTACGTCTTATCCAGATTTGCGGTGATATTCACGGCCAGTACTATGATCTGCTACGGCTATTTGAGTACGGCGGTTTCCCGCCGGAAGCGAACTACCTCTTTCTTGGTGATTATGTCGACCGTGGCAAGCAATCGCTTGAAACTATCTGCCTCCTGCTTGCATACAAGATTAAGTACCCTGAGAATTTCTTCATTTTGAGGGGTAACCATGAATGTGCGTCTATCAACCGTATCTACGGATTTTATGACGAATGCAAACGTCGGTACAATATCAAGCTGTGGAAAACTTTTACCGACTGCTTCAACTGCTTACCCATTGCTGCTATTATTGACGAGAAAATCTTTACTATGCATGGTGGTTTGAGTCCCGACTTAAATTCGATGGAGCAGATTCGTCGGGTCATGCGACCAACAGATGTAGGCTATTTCAGTCCTTTATCACTAATGGTTTCTATTTTGCCTACGTCGGCTTAATTACTAACTCATATTCACTGCAGATTCCCGATTGTGGTCTGTTGTGCGATCTCTTGTGGTCTGACCCCGACAAAGACATCACTGGGTGGAGCGAGAACGATCGCGGGGTATCCTTTACGTTTGGCCCCGATGTGGTTTCCCGTTTCCTACAGAAGCATGACATGGATTTGATTTGCCGTGCCCACCAGGTTGTTGAGGATGGCTATGAATTCTTCTCGAAGCGTCAGCTAGTTACTCTTTTCAGCGCGCCGAACTATTGTGGAGAATTTGATAATGCCGGAGCTATGATGAGCGTCGACGAAAGTCTTCTTTGCTCTTTCCAGGTATGTTTGGCGTTCTCATACAACCACAATTCAAGACACGCACTAACTAGCCATCTATAGATTCTCAAGCCCGCTGAGAAGAAACAAAAGTACGTTCATGGTAGCCTCGGAGGCAGCAATTTCGCAACTCCAAGAAAGCAGTTCAAGTCCTAAATAAGAGTACCTATATTCATACGAATTTCCTCGTCTTCTAGGTTCGGCCGAAATCGATGAGCTCGCCCCTCAGCTCCTACCCCCGCCTATGCCCTCCCTACCAATAGCTTGGAACCAACAAAAAAAGGTTATACTACGACAACGATGACAGCAATCGAGCTGCCGGTATTCGACGCCGAGGCCCAGGCTGGCTCATGCCCATATCTATACCGACGATCCCACGCTCCGCCAATAGACCGCTAACGACTGGTAAACGGCTATATTGACGGTGAATGTTGTTATTACACGAAAAGAAATAAAATCAGGTTTCCCCCATCTGGAAGGTTCAGACTGCTACGTCTTTATGGGGTTCGCAGTGTGCCCTGATCGTGGCGGTAAAATGTGCAGATGTCTAGATGGTTAATTGTTTCTCACCACGTAACATGTGTGGATTCTTACAGGTTCCACCCAATAAGTCATTTTTTCAAGGTCACAAAACACGATTGCTCTGCGGTACAAATGTGATGCTAAACCACGATGGTCTGATGGTTAGTGATCTTGCTTTAGCCCTGTCTCCCCGGACATTATCTGTGCGCCTTCTGCGTGTGGGTTATTGATCTGTTACGTGAAACTGCTTTAGTGCTCATGGTCTAGTATAAGGGATTTTTTGTCTTCGGCTATTTAATAGTAGTCCACCACCTTCGTGTTTGCTACTAATATTGATGGGCGAGTTGCAGAATTTTGTAGCATGTCAGTTGAAGTGTCTATGAATCCCTTGCGGTACCCGTAACAATGCAACCTAGAGGAAGTTGAGGCTCCCTAGCAAATACATGTATGCAAGATAAAATATTGACACTACGACCCTCTTTGTCTGCCCGTTTCTTCTCGCAGCTGTCACGATGCTTGGGATTTACAGGTTTGGCATGATTTTGATACACTTAGATCATCATGCATGTACACTACCGACTGACTATGTAGTAGATAACACCGTGTGCTCCTGTCAGTACCGAATTGATCTTTGAGGACGCGACCTCTTTTTTACTTTTTGATCCCTAGTGGATGGTGTGGTTCCGGGTGCGGAGAAGGTTAGGAGGGGTAGTGCCACCCCCCTCTCTCTGATACGAGGCGGATTTGCCCGACGGGAAAATCCACGTGGGTATCGTGACTGCAATTCTAGAGCTCTACGGATAATGGGTACTTTGTGTTACCTATCTATAATCGTGGTTCGTGCCTATCGTGATTGCTTGCTTCTCTGAGCTCCCCTATCATCTAAATCGTGATCGATTAAGCGCCACAAAGCGAAGGTATCTAGTTTTGGCGTGGTTGTGTGTAGTGTCGAGCTAAATGATCTCACCGATGCCTGTTCAAATGGATCTAACAAGCCAGTATGATAATAATAGATAGTATGAACCGGTCGTCGAAGGTACTAATGAGTCCGTGTTTACTGCACAATGTTTACGTGCGAAAAAGTCTGCATATATTTTTCCCGTTTCTGAGAAGCTGGGCGGGTAGGAATGGGGCTTCGTACGTAGCCTGGCAGCCTCACTATGTGCGTAAATCGCCTTGGTTATAAGGATATCGGTAAGGGTATGTACCGAGCAGACATTCGGTGCAAACCAATGAATAATCCTCCTATTGCAGGGAGCTCATATGATCAGGCATGTTGTCCCATGGCGCGGCTCGCCTAGGCGGTGTACGATAGGTGCCACGACTCTCCCGTCGTGAGCACCGAGGACGTTTCAGATGGGGTCTTCGCATAGTGGCTTTCTACCGTGAGGTACATGGAATGATGGATCCTCCCTACCTGCTTTACTGACAGTCTTCGCACTCTTTCTGGCCCTTTTGAGATGGAGGCTGCGAATCTGATGGCTGGGAGATATTGTCTGCTTTGCTCTCTTCCTTATCTGGCTGCCTCTGCCTTGGGTAGTCTCGGTCGACGTGTCCTAGATTCCGGCCTGGTTCAATGACATCGCGCACGCGCCGCTTGAGCTCTTTCGTTTCGGGAAACCCACCATCTATCTTGCGATCCCAGAGAACACGACGATGTGTTGTGGGGTTGTTATCCGTCCCAGAAGCTCCAGAGGCTGAAGGACTGGCTACCTGGACGCTGGAGTCGGCATAGTGTATCTCAACAACAAAGACACCACCCGTGGCAGGTTGAAGGGCAACCTCTCCTAGGGATGTCGAAAATGTAGATAGGAGTTCTTGTGCGAACTGTGGTCGTATATGCGTGATTAGCGACATGTATGGCTCAGAGGATACTGTGAGTTAGGGATAGCTTCGTGACCTTGGTATGTTTCATGTCTCGTTGGCATTGGAGCGTGATGATGGCATATAGAAGATAATTCGATGTCAAGAGCATGAAGGCCAACTTACGTATGCCGCTCTCAACATCCACTTGCATTGGGTACAGAAGCGGATGGTGATACGCGGGAGAGGCAACGTGGATGCGGGGCAGGCAGTTTCGGCCATTGATGGAAAAGGGTGGGATAAAGGATTGTCTAACACCGTCAAGATTTATATGTATGCCGCCAGGCAATGTTGGATAGTATAGAAGTAGTACTAAGGATGTAGTAGCATGGATGATACGTAGTAGTTGAGGATACCTTATTATCACGACATCTCTCGAGCTTGGCGATGATACGCAAGGTGAGTAGATAGAAGGCTATCTTTAAGGCTAGGTATCTTACTATGGGCAGCTAGCCAGGTACGTATGGAGTAGCTACTTACTCAATATGTATTAGCGCATTTGGAATTTCAACGTACCTATAGTTAGTAGTTATATCCCTCGGTTATATTAGCTTTAGCTAAGTACCTAGGTATCTATACCTAGGTAGATATCAAATTCTGCCTAGAAGAGGGCAGGCTTGCTTACAGCAGTATACCTACCTAGTATGTTCCAATGCCCTGGTAGGGTAATCTACAGGTGAGATTGGAGTAGATACCCGAGGCAAGTAACGACGACAGCGGGGAGCGAAAGCTTACCTACTATGTAGTATGGGAGGTTCGCTGCGTCATCTCACAATGATATGTGAGGAGGAACCTCGAAGTTGCTTCAAGATGACCTCGGGAATATTCTCTCTATTCGGTACATCACTAGACAAGGCGGCCGTAGGTTTCACATACATTAGTAAATATGTAGGCACCGACATTTATTGTACTTTTATGATGGACTTTGAAGTCAAGAAAATGGCACATACACTGCTGACCATGTCGATCTCTACCAGTCATCATTCACAGTAAGCCCATAGCAGGTTTCGCCGACGCCGCCAGAACCTCGAGAAATCGAAGGTCTTAATTAATTAGACGGCAGATTGCTTCTAGACAGTATCTGCTAAAACGTCATAATTTTAAGACTACTTTGATGTACCTACCTATGTGTATATACTCAGCTTGGCCCTCGAATTTTATCCACCTTCCAGTAGGCCCAAGGATGTGGTCAGGTAGTATTGCAGCGTAGGCAGGCGTCTTAGAACTCCCAAGAAGACGCCCAACTCCCGGGCTCTTACACTCGCTACGTAATTGAGCCGGCGGTCTACTGTCCCTTGAATGCAACATACCCGGTTCGTATAGCGTACGAGAGGGAGAACATGCGGGCTGCAGCGTTTTTTGGGCGTCGCTTCGACTGCCAGTGCAGCAAACGTGCAGTATATGTATGTAGACCGCTAGTTCATCTACATGCTTGACCGTCTTGTTGTTGAGGTGAGGGGGGACAGATGTATGCGAGGGATACAGCGGCAACCTACCTTGGGACAATCAATCAATATGTCTTCGTTCCACATAGATCATTCATCTACCAGGCAACGTTTTAGACGGGCCCGCTGCCACGGACTGGGTCGCTCACCAAGTCCTTGTAAGTCCCTCGCTATGTCTCTTATTCGTTATATGATCAACGACATAGTCTCAGGCAGATGACTGCCGTCGATGATGTCTGCCTTGATCAGAAAACGTTTGATTGCCAAAGACGTAGTTGGAAGGCGCACCATGGTGGGACGTGGAGAGACATAATGTTTCCGTTTTTATTGTGGCTAAAAATCTATGCACATTTCATCGGGTGCAGTGTTCGACAAAGAAAAACAAGAAAGTACAGGTCATAAGCAATAAGTATTACATGCTGAAAAGCTTTCCGACAGTACGTCTTTCATCTGGTGACTGTCCCATCTGACAGCCACGCTCAGCATGAAACATGAAAGTATGCCGTTGATTATCGTAAATAATGCCGCCCATCCTCTGTTGAGCTATAACATCTTGCCATTTTTGGGTCTGATGCTCTTTCGTCCCTCCTCTCTTTTCTCTCTCCTGTTGCAGTTGGGACTGACAGACACTCATGTACCAATACCACGAGCAAGCAAATGTCAGGCACTTGACATCCTGCCCTGGTTGGTTAGCATGTCCAAATCTTGCGGCCTGTTTCCCCCCCACATGTACTCGGACACGGTTTGCGCGCAAGAGGGAAAGAAACCAAGTTGACTATAGTCGCAACATCGCGAAAAACAAATCGCCTGCCCACCCACCCATGAACATCGTCATCGCAACGTGCGTTCCAAGAACCTTCCCATCCCTGAAACTCTCTAACTCGTCTTGCCGGCTTACGGATGTGCCGGCGGCTACATGACCGAACAACATCCTGTGTTTTGTTGAGGTGCGTATGGGTCTTCGCCTTTTGTAACGGGTCCCCATACAGAAGGCACCATATAATCCCTCGTGCTGTTGCAGTATGCAATTATGCTGTTGATTGACACGTTAATACGGAGCTAAAATACAGGATTATCAATTCCCGATATGGGCAGGTTTGCCTCACCTCTTAGCAGCCTGTGACACGGGGATTCGCTCTCGTTCCAAGTCCTCTCGCAGCCTGCTGTTCAGCTCGGTCAAACGCCTTAACTTCAAGTCTGCCATAGATTGCTTGTTCTTTTTTATTTGCGACGGGTCGCCGACTTCTCTCGATGTATATGCAGGCATGATGATGTTGATGTCGATGGATGATGCGGTAGAAACAGGCGTTGGAGAATGTTGAAGTGAAAGAGCGTGGACAGTATTAGAAGCTGGTGTTTAATCAATCGTGTACACCTCTCGGATGAACAAGGTAGCTTGCGCGTTTCTGTTCAATCGATGCGCGACCAGTCAGTTGAAGAACGTGCTCAGTCGTTTATTTGCAATGAGTTGTAAACATCAACATCGCATCGCGTGCTCCTTTGTCCGGCGACAACAAAAGGAGTGTAGAGGCGAGGAGTGGGCCGTGGACGGATTCTTCCAAGTTGGGTGGGCGATGGGACTTGACTGGAGTCGACTGCGGATGGAATAGGAGAGTCACTTACAGCTAGCTGATTACAGAACTCGCCATGCGACAGAAAGATGGCGAATTTCAGGGCCTAGGAAGCTACGAGACCGTCGAGGGAGGGATATTAGAGTCGTATGTCGTCTTCAATGGGCGGTAGCAATGTAAAGGAGAGGAAGGCGAATGGCCACAGGCAAGACACGGGCAAGTAGGTAGATAGACAGGTTAGGTAGGTAGGCAGGTCGGTAGGTAGAGGCGGACAGATGAGATGGGGAGGAGAGTTCGGGGGGATTGGTTAGGGTTGGTTAGGGACTTAGGGTGGAGGCCGAGGAGACATGGCTAGTGGCTTTGATAGTGCCTACACTACCTACAGGTACCCGAGATACCTACTCCAGTCCACTATAACAGAGGGGAGACCTACCTGTACTAAGTAGATATATTATGTAATAAGTACCTTCCTCCTACCTTCAGTGTTAGGTATGTCAGTAGATGGATTGTGCAGCACAAGCTACAATATCCTATCCCTACTTGCCTATGTAAGTATGTACATACTGAGTACCTACCTTATCTACTCGATGTAGTACTCGCAAAGCGCGTAAAGAAAACATATACCTAACATATTACTCATAGGTCGCCCACAAACAAGTTCTTATGTATGCGTGTAGTACTGTAGGTAGTACATTCCTCCTCACTTACTACCACCTAAGTACATATGTACATATAGTTAGTACCTAGCAAGCCGGAGGAGAGTGAGCCCCAGCGCAACGCCGGCACCAAGCAGAATTAGGACTTTTTTCCCTTGGAAGAAAGCAGACCTTGATTGGTCCAGAATCCTAAGGGGGGAATGACAACGGGGCATCTTGCAGGCTGGGAAATTGGAGGTCCAGTTTCAGCCGTGGCCTGTGCGTTCCCGAGGTCTTTCCCTTTACTTTAAGACCCTCAAGACTTACCTATGTAGGTAGTAGCTATTGTACCGTACCTATGTACCTATATAGGTAATACACCAACTTGCTTAAAATGCCTTGCATCACGTTCCGCCACAGGTAAGGAATCAAACATTCATAAACATTGATATTGATTGAGACACACAACTACCATCACCTAGTGCTGCGTCCATGACATGTACAACAGGTGAATTTAAGTATGTAGGGATGTGCAGAGATGAGGTCTCGATTGTATATCTATATACCAATGTTGAACTTCAACTTAAAGGTAAGATATATATTTATACATGTGTATCTCCAGCTTCTTATTTGCAACATAGTTACCTGGGTCATCAGGTGTCGACACTACAACTACAATGATACCAACATATATATTAAACCTTATTCTAGATTATTGATAGATATCTTCTATGTTTTAGGTTATGTTCAAGGCAACGTGCTACAATAACAAGGTATCATACATACTTAAAGTATATAGGTACTTATATAGTATCGTGAAAACCATTATGATATATAAAAAAAAATGGTGCTGTCCTTTCTTCTAACATACGAAGTATTTAGAGAGAACTTTCGTTGTACCGGTACGTCGTAATCATAAACGAATGAGCATGTCCCAGTGATAGGGCTACCGGTAGGTAAAAACACTTCGTAGGTAGAAAGTGCACGGCCGCAAAGCCGCTTCGAGTCGCTGATCTTGGGCGTGTGGTCACGTGATTAGAAAATCTAAGCCCGTGCCCCGCCTCGCTCGTCCTCTCCTAGCCCACGAAATGTGGCACACATCGAAAATCTTCTTTTCTGTGCATCCCCCCTCCCACCACACGTCACGTCGCTCCGGCCGCACTTGTCTCTGTTGGTTGTTTATCATCAAAGAGATTGCCCAAGATGCCGCCGCCTCCGCATCAGAAGCCGGAGAACGTGCTGAAGCGTGCACATGAGCTGATCGGCGTCCACCAGGCTCCTGCCGCTCTCACGCTCCTCCACGATCATATCACATCCAAACGGTCGCGAAATGTTCCCATCGCCTCCCTGGAGCCCGTTATGCTCCTTTTGGTCGAGCTGTCTGTTGAACAGAAAAAGGGAAAGCTCGCCAAGGATGCCCTATACTCTTACAAGAACATTGCTCAAAATACGAACATTGCCACGATTGAACTCGTCCTGAAAAAGTTCATCGAATTAGCCGCTGAGAGGGTCACTGCTGCGCAGAAGAAGGCCGACGAGGTTCAAGAGAGCCTCGATGCCACTGCAACCACCAATGTTGAAGATCTAGAGGCAACCGAGACTCCCGAGTCCATCCTACTAGCCACCGTATCTGGCGAGCAGTCTAGAGACCGCACCGAACGCGCCGTTGTCACTCCCTGGCTCAAGTTTCTCTGGGAAGCCTACCGAACCGTACTTGATATCCTCCGCAACAATGCACGCCTAGAACTACTCTACCAGAGCACTGCTCTACAGGCCTTCGATTTCTGTCTCAAGTACCAGCGGAAAACCGAATTCCGCCGTCTCTGCGAGCTGCTTCGCAACCATGTCCAGACCGCCGCCAAGTATTCCAGCCAAATGCATGCTATCAACCTCAATGATCCAGATACCCTGCAGCGACATTTGGAGACACGTTTCCAGCAGCTAAATGTTGCTGTGGAGCTTGAGTTGTGGCAGGAAGCTTTCCGAAGTGTTGAGGATATCCACACACTCCTAAACCTTAGCAAACGTCCACCCAAGAATGTCATGATGGCCAACTACTATGAGAAGCTTACTCGTATCTTCCTTGTTGGTGAAAACTACCTTTTCCATGCCGCTGCCTGGTCAAGGTATTACAATCTTCTCCGGCAGTCTGCTGCTTTGGTTGCCTCGGGCCAAGGCAAAAAAGCTGATAATCCGTCTGCTACTGATGCTGATTTGCAGAAGGCTGCTTCATATGTTCTGCTATCTGCATTATCTATCCCCGTCATTAGCACCACAAGATCGCGAGGCGCAATGGTAGATTTTGACGAGGCCCGTAAGAACAAGAACTCGCGTTTGACACATCTCCTGGGCATGTCTGTTGCCCCCACCCGGGCTGTTCTGTTTCGCGATGCTCTGTCCAAGTCTCTCTTAAAGCGTGCCCGCCCTGAAATTCGGGACCTGTACAATATCCTCGAAGTTGATTTCCATCCACTCTCCATCTGCCAAAAGATCTCACCTATCCTGACCAAAATCGGCACTGATCCTGAAATGGAGAAGTATATCCTTCCTCTGCAACAAGTTATCCTCACTCGACTTTTCCAGCAGCTCTCTCAAGTTTACGAGAGTGTTGATCTCGCCTTTGTCGAAAGCCTTGCCAACTTCCCTGACCCATATCAAATATCTCGTGGGACCATCGAGAAATTTATCATGAATGGAAACAAGAAGGGCGATCTCTCTATCCGTATGGATCACGCGACAGGCGTACTCAAGTTTGACAAAGACGTCTTTGCATCTTCTAAGCCCGTTCATGCTGGGTCCGCTGCAGGTTCCGCGGAAAGCCAGACTGGCACCGTCCAAAGACTTCAAAGCACACCCTCTGAAATTGTTCGCTCTCAACTGTCTCGTCTAGCCAATACTCTCTACACTACTTGCTTCTACATTGACCCTAGCTTCAGACAAGGCCAGGTAGAAGCCCGCGATGCTGCTCTGGCACGTACCAAGGCTGGTGCCGAAAAAGAGCATCGTGATACGCTTTCTCGAAAGGATATCATCCAAAAGCGAAAAGAGGAGGCTTCCGAATTGCAAGCTAAGAGAGAAAAAGAGAAGGCTAGACAGAAGCGACTCCAGGAGCAGGCACTTGCCGAGGCTGAAGAGCGTCGTTTAGCCCAAGAGCAAAAAGAACGTGAAGAAAAGCGCCTTAAGGACGAACGGGATCGTGTCCGCAAAGAGGAGCTCAAGAAGCAGATTGCCGACCTGAAACTAGGTGCTAATGCTGTTGAGATTGATGTCGAAAATCTCAATGACATCGATATTCGGGCCATGAAACTAGCTCAACTTGAGCGAGAGAAGAACGACATCAAAGAGAGACTTCGTATCACTGGCAAGCGCATCGATCATTTGGAACGTGCCTTCAGGAAAGAGGAAGCTACAAAACTTTCCGAAGACTACGCTAAGCAAAGAGAGCGCGATCTAGCTGCATATGAGCAAATGCGGAAAGAGACCCTGCAAGAAGCTGAAGCGAAACATAAGGAGAGTGTTGAGCTGAAGCACCGTCTTAGTCGTTTGATGCCGTATTATGAACCTTTCAGGAAGTCCCTCCATGATCGTCGTCGTGACGAGTTTGAGAAACGCCAGCGCGATGCTGAGCGTGAGTTAGAGAAGCAGATCAACATTAGGAAGAAGGAATATAGAGAGAGGAAGCTGAGGGAGAAGCGCGAAAGGGAAGAAAAGGAGAGGGCTCTCAGAGAAGCCGAAGAACGCGCTGCGAAAGAAAAGGAGGAACAGGAGAGGCGCCGGGAGCAACAGCGAGCAGAAATGGCGAGGAACAAAGAGCAGCGAGACAGAGAGCGCCAGGAGGCTTTGGAAATAGCTGCTCTGCAAGCCAGGAGAGAAGAGGAGGCGATGGCCCGGAAGCAGGCCGAGAAGGAGGCCACTCGCCTTCCACCCCGTCGCGAGCCGCTACCTATGGATCGTACCGATTCTCGGGATCGTGCGTCTGGCCCGCCCCGCATCCAGCTGGCGGGTGGAAAATCATCATGGCGTGATCGTGAAGCCTCACGTACTACTGCTACTCCACCAAGTGAATCGAATGGGCCATCACGTGCTACACCTCCATCGATGGAGCGGGCAGATTCCAACAGTCGTGCTGGAGGACCTCCACGTCTCAACCTGGCAGGCCAAAGTGGAAAGCCATCGTGGCGCGAACGGGAGGCAGCAAGGGCCAGTGGTGGTGCTGCGCCTCCAGAACCTGCGGGCGGTGCGAAGAGCGACGCGAAGAGCGACGCGCCACCAGCCTCTGGAGAGTCTCTGAAGCCCTCTGGGGCTCCTGGGAAGTGGGTACCTCGGCATTTGCGTGAAAAGTAGGGTTCTTAAGCATTGAAGGACTGGCGTTTGGGGTTTGGGGTTACCAAAGTTTGTAATTTAGGCTCATGAAAAGAAGAATCTTCTTTTGAAGTTAGCCGTCTTGGTGAGAACATGAGAAGATGATTATTAATGTCGCGTCTTGATCTCACATTACGGTTATTATGAGGACACGCCTGATGCAATCCATGTAGGGCTTGATCACACTCACTCTCTGGCCCTTTCCCCTACCTGTTAAAGTCGATACTGAGTATGCAGTCATGAAATAGCTTTTGCATACATGCCGTACGCACGTACATGTACCACATCCCTAATGCGGCTTGAGGTGAATAGTTGAGTACTTCAGTCATGAAACCACTTGAGTACACGACAATCACATTCTGTACTTGGTTCCATCACATGAATACATACACATATTTGCATTCTTGAAACTACATTCGTCCACCGCGAGCTCATTTTTAGCTCATTGTTGTTCTATGTTTCATCTAAGTCGAAATGATCAACTAATTGGTCCGTAAATTTTGGTTCTTGCTATAAAAGATTTACCTACTTGCCTACCCTCGAGTTCCATGGCTGGATGCTTACTATACTCCACCGCTAACGTCTCCACTCGCCCAATTACATTACTGTAAGAGCCATCACTTGGATGCTGGTGGAGTAGTGATCGTGCACTACTCTGGACCCCAACCTATCAAGGGTGCCAAGGTCGACGCCAGCCGTTTTACTATTAACATGTTAGATCGAGACTATCGGCAGTGAGGAGCAATACACATGAAAAACTACCATTTACTGCCCTTTAATGGCGGACTATAATCCCAAAGTTGAGGGGCCATTATATATACCAAACTGGCTGAGACGATTTCCCCCCTTGTATTCCTTGTTATCAACATTCTTTTCTATCTTCTCGCTGATCATGAAGTTAACCCCTATTGACCAGTGACTAGTCTTGGCTACCGTAGCCTACCGTGTTAGCGAGAGCTGAGAAATTGCGCAGCGTTTAGAGGGTTGCAAATGCGACCCAGCTTCCCCCTTTGGATGATCTGCGACGATGCGGCAGGACTTGGCCAATTTCTGTTTGGCCAGCTCCCGTCTTCTCCGCTCCGTCTGGCTTCGGTAGGCCATTTAAATCCATGCTTGCAGGTCATCGGTGCCGAAACACCCTTAAATACAGCACCATAACAGAGGACTACCACCCTCGCCACCTTGGACTGCAATGTAGTGGACAGTTAAATCATGGCATATGCCTGTCGCTGATATCCCGTGGCGTTATGCTGTACTCCCTTCCCTCAATTCTTTCCCAACACCCTGGGCTTATGCATCACCTTTAAAGCCGCGAAGACGTACACATCGTAAGCGAGTCCCAGCAGTAGGGACAGTTCAGTCAGAGGCGCAAAAAAGGAATACTAGATTGACGGGAGAGCGAATACCCTACCATTTTGTAGAGATGCGCCACCCGTTAGTGTTGGCAGCATTCTCCTTTGCCGTCGCCACAACTGCGGGAGCGCAGGACTTCGCTTCATATGTTCCAGAATGCGCACCACCTTGTGTCGAGCAGACTTTAAATACTACCCAAGCCTGTGCTTCACTTGACGATAATGAATGTCTCTGTACCCATTTTCAGCAGATCATATTCCCTACGATACAATGCTTTATACAGAGTTGCAACGCCACCAATCCAGGAGAATTACGGTGTATGTACCTGACGTATTCATCGTGACCCCATTCTCATTCCCGATTTCAACGCCCCGATTTGGGTACCGTATGGCCTACCCCCCAGAAAGTCTCTCGCAATTTCTAAAATTGGGGTTTCTCTATCGAGGAATATCTTAGAGCAGAATTGTTAACACTTCTCACAGCAGAGATCACAGCCGGATGGCAGAAATTCTGCAGTGACTCCGGGTCCCCAATAGATGTGATGTCGGGCTGGGGTCCGGGGCCAAGGCCATCATCGTCGATGAGCTCAAGTACACCGTCGATAACATTGGCCCCGGCTCCGACAGGATCGAATGAGACAGTACCAATCGCAGCCTCTGGTCTCAGTACGGGGCAAAAAGCCGGCATTGGTGTGGGTGCAGGTGTTGGCTCTCTAGCAGTCATCGGCGGGCTGGTGTTTATAGGGTTTCGATTGGGGCAGAAGAAAAGGAAAGCCAACAATGACACAGGGAACGCGCCAGCTTCAAACGAAGAAACACAACCCGATCAGGGGCAAAGCGCGACTCTCTCTACCGACTGGCACACTGCGGAGGGCGGGAAAGATGTTTGGACTCACAAATCACCGGCAGATCCCGTTGAACTTCCTTCCCCACCCGCTCCGCAAGCAGAGCTGCCAGCACACGAAGTTAAAGAGTTGCCCACCACCAACCAGCCAGTCGAGCTTTGGCATGGTGTCATGCCCCCAGAGCTCAGCGCCGATTCAGAAATACCTCGAACGGCGAGCATAACGAGATCATGAGACATTTTAATGAAATAATAATTTGTATTATCATTCACAAGATGTTTGTCCCAAATAAGTGACTCTGTAGAGGCGCGTCGTCTCTTTTTCCGAGGCAAAAGTAATCACAACAGCTTTGGTAGTGGCGCCGCATGTCTCTAAAGACCAATGATAGCTGACAGGACAGCGCTGAAGAAGACAAAGTCAACAATCCTTCTGGACGAAAAAGGAAAAGAAAAAGCAAGATACGAACGAGTCGGAAGGTTGCTTGTTAGGCAGAAAGACTTGGCTACAGTGCCCGAGGTGCCGATACCCATAGCACATAAGACCAGCCACCAACGCGGAATGAAACACTGGATAGTGGCTATTGAGGAGAGCTGGAAAAGTAGGACTAGCACGGCAGCATTCGACCCAGCGGTGCTACAGCGTCCCAAATTCCTATTGAGATAGCTACCAACAGGAATAAAGGCATCATAGGAATTACGCCCGAGCATAGCTTAAAAGATACCTAAGCAGCATTAGACAGGAATCCCGATAGATCGGACCAGATTCCCGCCCCGGTACCTCAATCGCCCCAGCTTAAAATTTTGCATTTGGCCCGCTCGTGCGGCAAGGCTAGCTCGAGGTATCGGCGCTATGATATCGGGAACATATCGAGAATGCAGAAAGAAAAAACGGGAGATTCCGAATATCTAGTGTACTAGGAAAGATCATGTGGCGATTCTTGATGTACAGTACAGTATCCGCTGTACTAACTATGTATGGCCGCCGAGCCATGCTGCTCGATCGATTTGATAATCTCAGGAAACTGGCTGCGAACGCTTTCGCGCTGGTAAACTCTATCTAGTCTCATTGAGGCAATTCTTGAGAGACTGGTGGCAAGCTGCAGGTTGGATAGTACTCAGTGACAATGAATGTGGAGGCTGTGTTCAAATAATCGCATTAGATGGATACAACAACCATAGAAGTTCATATGCGGTCCTGCTTCTCTTGGGTCTATAGGCTCGCTCGGCTGCGCTGGATTACATCACGAATTCACCATATTATGGATGAGCTCGAGGCTGAGGCTTGTTCGAATTCTCCGGGGAAAATATGTCCAAGTTCTTGAATAAGCTATATAATCTACTCGTTACTTTGGGACAAGAAGAAATCCGAGTCTCAATGTCTCAACGTCATTTCTTTTCCAATCTAGCTCTGATATCTAAGCTCCGTGATCGGATTCAGAGAAGCGCTGTGCGGCTGTGGGATGATATTTGCTCAACTATCGTAGGTCCTCTATATAAGAAACAGCGGCGTCTTGTAGATCTACGTTTGCAAGGGTCTACCGCCCCCAAAAAGGAAAAGACTTCAGCTGCCTCTTCTAGCCTTACCTCTCTAGCCCTACTACTACCTACTGCCGAGTCCAAATACGAGGTACCATCGTGGGGGATTCGGAAACAATTATGTAAACTAGTTCAGTTGATACCTAGGGAATCTGACGTTAGAAGAAACCGTGGGCAATGACGGTCCAGCGCCATGGGTATAGTTATCAATACGCACATACTGTACATAGTAAGACCACTCAAAATCAATGACAAACTTCCACGTGACCTATTATAACTATCATGAAAGACCTGGTGCCCAGAGGACAGCCTGATGAATTTTCAACCCGATATGATATGACATGAACATTACTCCAGGCGACCTGTCGGAAGCGTCGGGTACAGTACAGTAGCATTTGAAGCTGAAAAACATGAAAATCTATTTGTAACAATAACATGATTGTTATTAGATAAGCCACTTAGGTGGTAAAAGAAGAACAATGTACATAGTATGTAAATGACATAGAAGAAGTCAGGCGTAGGAAGTGTCTTAGCCTCGAGCTATAATGTTAGTATAAAGCAAGACAACTGATATGCAGCTACGCGCTATTAGTCTCCGGGCGTCTCAAAAACTTTGCACGCGTTGCCGAAGAAAGCTGGGGCGGCTTGCTCTACCGTACTTAGTATGAGTCTTCACCTACGCTACCGAGGCTACCATAGAGCTTATCCTCGTAAGACAGTCAACCCATCAGATTCTAGATTGGCTAGGTTGCAGTCTAGCCTGCCCGCATCGGTCATTGGCGAGGGGAAAATAGGGGCCCAACTGAACCCTTGTGGATTTAATCTCCACTGCTATCACATCGGGTAGGACATTATTGAAGTGCTCCTCTGAGCTATCCCTGTTGCCAAGTGGGGAGCAAGATCTGGTATCGTTACCGTCGTCGCCTACTGTTACAAGAAGACATACCTACATGATAGTAAGTAGTGAGCACTTAAGTCTTGTTAGACCTGTGAGCGGAGATTTTAAACGGGTGAAGCCGAGACTGAGCTAATTATGCCGATAATTTGCATATCCAGGATGTTTACTCGGTAAGTTCCAGCCGTAGGTATGATTTGTTTTTTCCCTCTTCCCGACATTCTTCAGACTCTCGCTTATGACTTTCTTCTTTCCACCTTGCCTATCAAAAGAAGCAACTGTGCCTGAAGATCCGGGGACACCTTATTATAGATAGTCACACTGCATATAACGCCTCATGTGTGGCATACTTAGTGCATGTCGAACCGTTGAAGTCATGCCGTGGTGTGTGTCATTTTGAGCATCTCTGGCGCTGGTACTTGGGAAACGCGACACTCTCGTCGACCGACACATATCGGTACGCTAACCGATCCAAGGCGTTCTTGGCGGCCCTGCAGACTAGCATTCAAATATTGTCATCGCGCATTTTAGCGGCGAGTCGAGACTTGTCGCCATTCGGCGCTCGCTGAACAACTCGGTGAAAAATGTGTGTACATGTTCATGTGGGTGTAAGTAGCAGCGCCGGCTCCTCAAAGTGCCAGCCAGTATCGCGTACTTCTTCCAAGCCACAGCAGCTTTCTTTTCTAGTAGGTTTCAGGTGGTGGCTGACATGCACCTAATCGACATCAACCTTTGAATACGAGGTTGATACCATAGTGCCATTGTTATGATCATAGTAGCAAGATATACGCCCAAAGCGCCACGCTGTAGTAGCATGCACAGACGAACTGGCACATCGCATCCATGCCAGTTCGTGGGATGCATGAGCCCTGCAGTGATGTTGTAGTATTGAATATGTCTAAGTATATATTGTCGAAATCAGCAATACGAGTAAGGAAGGCCAGCGAGCGCTGTTTACACCCGCAGATAGGTATCCATTGCGAGCAAGGATGTCTATCCGAGCGCCGCCTGAGCTTCACCCGAGCTCTGACAGCACATACTTTGTACATACCCATCCGGCTCAGTCAAGCGTCTACGGTGAATGAAGTTCGTGGGGAAAGACGCGAGAGAGAAAACACACCAGCTAAGGCTTGGCTGAACGTGGCTAGGTTCCGCCTGAACAGGGGACGTCTAAGTAAGTAATGTAGGTACCCTTGCGAGTCATCTTAGCTCCATCGACCGAACGAGCAGCAAAATACCACCTAGGTAGGTATCCTCGAGTCCCTTTCTAGATCAACAGATCCCAAAGTGTAGAGGCTTAGCGGCGTCGAGTACACTATTCACACTAGTAGGAAAAACCTCCTTCGGATTGGCTGGTCTCCCACGCAAAGCTGAACTGCGAAGAAAGCCTGGACCGTCTAGACGGCGTGGTATTCCCCATATTTGGCTTGTTAATGTTGTCATCAGCCCCCTTACATGTACAGTTACTGCTTTCGGTCCACGGATGCAGATATGGATGGATTCGAGCCCGGTGCCTCGCTAGGCAAGATCCCGGCATCGGGCCCAAAAGTAACGCGGGTGCGGTAAGCTGTGATACCCTTGAACGCCCACGATGTTCCCGAATTCAAGTATATAAAGCCTTCTCGCCGTCCTTGTCATTTTCCATCGAGATGTTGTGATCAGCAGGACACAAGACCTCAAGCTATCTTCTCGACAACCACCATGGTCGGCTTCAAGTCTTTGAGTGCCATTGCGGCGCTCTCGTTGGTTAACTCCGCCCAAGCTTGGTACAACGAACTGCCATCTTGCGTTTCTCCCTTCAAGCCATTTGTCTACACGGGGTGCTTTGACAATGGGGCGCCTGGAACCAAGGAGGCCCTATCGCTTCGCTCCGACCTCGACCAGAACGACATGACCGTCGAGAAATGTGTTGCCCACTGCAAAGGTAGGCAGCTCGTGAACAGTATTATTCAGTGATGCTGACTTTATTGTTAGGCAACAATTACCGTCTGGCTGGTCTATCATACTATGGTGTTTGCTACTGTGGAAACACAGTCTCAACAGCTTTGCTCCCTGAAGACCAATGCACATTCCCCTGCTCAGGAGACTCTACGGAAACTTGTGGAGGAGACACCCAGTATGTATTCTCCCGCTTGGGCAGATTGCAGGACTTGTTGTGTAGTCCCGAAATCGCACCAGGTTACTCATTCCCAGCAACTATTGCTAACCTCCAAATAGAATCAACATCTGGATGGACCCTACATTCCCGTCCCCTGAAGACCAGACGGATATTAGCGAATATGCCTCTGTAGGATGCTGGACGGACGACTCGTCCCAAGGCAAAGCCCTCTTCTACAGGCAGGATAACCTTGCCTCCTCCGAAATGACGAATGATAAGTGCCTGAAGTCATGCCTTGACGGTGGTTTCCCATTCGCCGGTACCGAGTATGGTGGCGAATGCTACTGTGGTGTTGTCATTGGCAATGGAACAGCCTTGGCTACGGATGAGTCGACTTGCAACATGCCTTGCAACGGTGACTCTAGCCAAACCTGCGGAGGTCCGGCCAGACTTAGCCTTTATGTCGCAAAGGACTTGCAGTCCCTTGAGCCGTGTGGTTCCCCCCCAGATGAGTCGAGCACGACTCCTGGTTACCCGACAGCCACTACCACTACGACTCCTGGTTACCCGACAAGCCCTACCACTACCAAGACTACCACCAAGTCTACCACGAGCTCTCCTAGCACTACCAAGACTACTACCAAGTATACCACCACCAAGGCTACCACCACTACTACTGCTCCCGTCTGCACAGCTACCACCGTCATTCCATCTAACTGTGAATGGAATATTGGCAAATGGTGCTCTAACCCTGTCCCCGAGTGGGATGATAAGAAAGGCTGTCTCATATCTGGATCTAAGTGCTTCCTTCAGAGTGCTAGCTGCTTCCTCAAAGCCGGCCTACCCGGCGCATTAAGCTGCTTCAAATACAAGGAATGGTGCGCTGCTCTGGACCTATACTGCATCAAGAACTGTATTGGCAAGCACTGCGATAAGGACGGTTTCGTCCAGAAATTCCCTCCCCATGGCCTCCCCCCTACTACCTCTACTTCCACTTACCCCTGCCCGACAACTGTTACGACGACGACAAAGGCAACCCCGACCCCGTACCCGACAAACGACTGCCCTCCCCCCAACCCAACCGGAATCTGCACTCAGCCAACGAACAAGTGGTTTGGCTACGGCCCCGGCAAGCCAGTTGGTGGTATCGAGTTGCCAATCGTAACCTGCAACAACGTTTGGGGCGACTGGAAGAAGGGTAACATCTTCAAGCTGTACACCGACAAGGACAGCAAGAAGTGCCCATCCTACCCTGTATACCAGTTCCCCAACGCCTGCGCTGACGCTTGCAAGTCCCAGTACGAGCAGTGCGAGGACGTCTACGCCGAGAGCTGCAAGAAGGGTTACAAGACCTACTCTTACAAGGATGCTGATGCCGCTTGCAAGGCCCAGTACAAGGACTGCCTAATCGTGAACAAATGGGTTCAGGGCTACGGCCACTGTACCACCTGGGACTGCTAATTTATCTGAGTTGGGCAGTGAAGAGCATACAAGTGGCTCTGGCCTGACATCGATAAGGCGTATTGTACGATGTGTAGATAGGTCTCGGTAAAGATTTGAAAGGATCTAATATTAGAGAGGATGTACTTTTAATGATAATATTTGTGCAGAAGTTTTTTTTTTCTGGGCTTGTACACTTTTTTCATCAATTGTGAGACTAGGTGGTTATTAGCTAAGGCTGCTGCACTTGCTAGGATTTTGTATTTAACTAGCCCCAGGTCTAGCACACATATCATGTCGAGATCTATATGAACACTTGCAAGACATTGTTTCCTTGAATTACTATCTTGTGAAGAACCATGCAAGCTGCTGTTCGTCTATAAAAAAGGGGGGGAACATGAGCGAGTTAGGTATGAATCTGCGTGGACTATTTATGTGTTTAACGGTATGGTTAGATGCGTTATTAATTGGGACCATCTTAGTCGCAAGCGCCTAAACAAGTCTTCAAGCTAGGAGGTATATTCACGCAGTCAGCTCATCTAGCTTCTCTTCTTGTGGCCTCCTAACCCCTGATCACGACTTCCTCATAGAGGGTGCGGGCCAGTGGGTAAATGAAAGAGTCCTAACTCTGGCCAGTAATTCGATAGATTCCAACAATGTTGATTAGTCTGCCGCATGTTCTTTTGAACAAAAGCTTCAAATGGGAACAACCAGAATCCAATAGCAGGACTGTCCCCTGCCTCCGAGGGCTGCTTTTCTACTGTCAATTGAATGGAAGGTGCCGAAGCAGACGTCGATTCATAAAGAGGCCGATCCGTATTAAGTATATGGGAACGCTGCTGAGCAGGTCCCAGGCGAGAAGGCTCTTCAGCTGGCAGACAAGGGTTCGAGTCGCGGTAAACAAAGAGAACACGAGAGTTCAATTGCGATTGATCGACTCCCCAAGCGACTAGCATCTGATTCCAGCCTTGCGTTTCCGACATCAAACTTTCGAAGCCGAGGAATACACAGGCGATATCATTTTCAACAGGTCGAGGATCACGATGCTGGAGATCGAAGGAAGGGATATCAGACATCAAGGGACTGAGGCTTTGTGTCATGTGCGCCTCGTTGGAGGGGACTCCGAGGTTATAGCCCTCCTTCATGCTCGCCAAATGATACGAATTGGTTTCAGACACCAGGTAAAACTCGCAGATATTGCTGACTGCCTGCTCAAAAGCAGGACACATGTAATCATGAGGAGCCTCGACTTCTGCAAGTTGAAAAGCGCCATTGGTGATAGACACGGCCAGATTGCACAGCCCGACACGTCTGTTGTCGTGTTCGATGACAGCAGATATAAAGTCAGTCAAGTGGTTAATCCTTTCAAACTTCTCTTGAAACCACAGGATATCATATTCCGGATTGAAGGGGAGCTTGCCAACTCGGCCGTTTAGAACACAGGGGAGTCGCACTCTGTAGAACTCGAGAGCAGCACTCCGAGCTTCAGAGCTCACCCGCAGCAGTTTGCTTATGGCTTGGAAGCCGTCGGCAATCAGGAAGCACTGTCCGTATTTGACGCTCCTGGACTCGTGCTCACTCAATCCATCAACACGCATTGTGTCTGATAGATTGACGTGGAGCAGCCGTCGTTTTTGCAGGGCAAACCTCCACACCTGATTGCGAAGTTCCCATGGCAGTAGCGCGAATTGTGGAAAGCTGTAATCCTCGGCATATTTTTGGTTTAGCAGATGGGGTGACCCTCCATCAGGGACAAGGCGAGAGGGCATCGTGAGCGTTCGGGGAGAATGCGAAGGATCGATCTGCCAAGTAAACAAGAATGTCCACAAGAAAAAAAGAAGAAAAATCTAACTCTATAATTATTTTGTATGCTTACTTATACTCATATCGTGTGTTGTACCGTTTCATCAGGCATCCAAGGCGGGGTTAAAAGTGCAGCAAAGCCCTACCGTCAAGGAATCTCACCCAACTCCATGGATAGAGATCATGTTAGGCTGTATGCAGTCAGCCTTGAGACAGGTGCCAAAGCATCTATTGCCAGTGTCATCACGTGTTGTGCTATGGGATGACTGTTCCTCTCAGAATTTCGTCAAATAGATAATCTGAATTGCGTTAAGGTCCCTTATTGTACCCCTGCCAGCCCCATACTACCCCTGCTAACAAGGTGACATCACTGCTTGCCAATAGAGCTACGCTATTTGTAACTGTCTTGGCTCTTCTACAGCACAATTTGGATGCGGCAACAATAATGATAGATTGAGTAGGTCAAGGTCTGGTCAAGGCCTCCATATCCCTCAAATTGAATATGAGGATGCGGTGGCGATCTTATAGCAATAGGTAGTAACTGAATAAGTGTATTGTATATCGTCATCAAGTGTACAATCATATGGTACAGTGACATCCCTGTCCTTTCTCTCGATTGCTCGTCATCAATAGCATTATTAGAAAAGCCAAGCTAGAAGCACATCCACACGTCCCAAGTCGTTCAAGTTGGCCAAATAGAGAGTATTCTCAATAGGGAAAAAACATAAGAGTCTCAGCGATGTCGCATTCATGATAGGAAAGCCAAAATGTAACCCAGGGTAACTGAGTCCAGCTCGTATAACGAGATGTCGTGATTAAGTATTGATTTAAGTGTCCCTGTTTGAGTGGTTAGTACATAACACCCAACGTGGTGCAAGAGGGTAAGAGGGCAAAGAAGGCTCACAGAAGGGAAAGTGTCAAGTCTCCATGCAGGCGAGCCTTGAGCGTAACTTCGACTTCAATATTCAGATCAAGTCGCAATTTCAGTGTATCACTTTTTCCATCGTCTTGTGGTTGTTGTTGCTGCTGCATCATCTGTTGCTGTTGTTGCATTTGCATCTGCTGCTGCTGCCAGGCCTGGTTTGGGTCTTGCATCTGTTGCACAGAACTCTGCTGAGACTTTCCCTTTCGGCCACGTCGTCGCCGGTGAGGTGAGGGAGATGGTGAGACGGAACTCTCGGTAGCACTCTCTGCATAAGGCGCTGGCTTGGCTTCGGTCTCAGACATTGTGTGATGATTGATGGGTGACGCTCTGTATTATTAACCAAAAAAAAGGAATTCGACGTGTGGGCTAATGGCACCCAACAGAATGGCTATGTAAAAAGGGCTAGAGGGAAGACACAGTTCACAAAAGTAGGGCGACGACATTGCGAAGGTAATATAACAGAGCCTTGCCGTCCTTGCAGGTTCTTACATAATCCATACTGAGGCCAAAGAATGAGGTAACAGTTGGGGATCTGAACCCGTCTCACGTCACTAGATTGCGCATATCTGGACCAGAAACTTGATTTCCGGACATGAAGGATGGCAGCATCGAGATGGTGGAGGCTGCTTGACGTAGCCAGTCTCGCCAGTCTCGCCAGTAGCCCCGAGATGTGTGGCTGGTGGGGGGTTTTGACATCATGGGCTGTTTTGCTGTGGCTGATCTTGGCCAGGGTAGGTACCTTGAAACCCGCCATCTCGACACTTCCAGCCAATTATTCTATGAAGTTATTCTATGCAAGGTTGATCATTCACGGCTACATACACACACTACAGCAGAGGGCCGATAAGGTCGGATTCTGGTCGGATGCAGTGCGATTACTGAGCGCCGGGGTATTCTTTCCAGGTCTGCCGCATAGCCGACTCGGGAGTATTGGCGTAGACTCGTCCTCCCACGCCATTCACAATATGACTGATTTCGCTACCCGGAGTTCCGGTCAGCCATACCGTGGTCAAATGGTGCAGCTTGACGCCTGGTCCCTCGGGAACTTCGATCGCATTCTCAAGCTTGGTTGGAGAGTCGCGAAAATACGAGTATATACCTAAACCCCAGGCTTCGTGACTTGTTACTGCATCTGCTACTTTGTACGAAGCAAATCCGTTAGTCGTCCCACGCATCCAGGACTCTTGGTTTGGCGGATCGTAAGGGATTTCCGATTGATAAAAGTATAATCTGCCGCCGTTTCCAGTCCAGAGCGTTTGATATTCTTTATGATGCTCATTGAAGAGGCCGTAGATTGTTACATTGTCCCCGTGAACGACGACGCCGTTTTTGGTCGGATTCAATTTCCATCCTGCTCCATCACCGTGGTCGGCGCGCCACAACCATAGTTGATCACCAACCACATTGTGACTGTTAATGACTATTCCTATATCATTTTTGCAATGTCCTGCTGTACGCACAGTCAAGTCATACAAGAATGTAGGATTGGCCGCATGGTTCGCACAGCTGCCCCGAGGCCCAACCTCGACAAGGGCAGGTGAGTTGACTTCGCCAGCGTCGATTATTAACCCCGCTATCGTCACGCCTTCCACGTCGGCCACAGAAATTGCCGGGCGCCCATTGATGGGAACAAGGGATGGTTGGCCTAAGCCAAGAATAATAGCGCCTGCTTTGGTGACTCTCAGGGCATCGTCAAGTCGGTATATGCCAGGCGTAAAGAGAATATGCTTCCCCGAATCCAATGCGGTGTTGATACTAGCTGCACTCACATCGGCCGGCTTCGCTACGAGGAAATCGTCGATTGAGATGGATTTCCCAGGTGTCGCGTTGCCGTTGATCCAGCTCGGTCCATGAGTGTTTTCCTGTAGGGAAGGGACAAACACTTCATACTGATCTTGGGCTGTGATATAAAGATATGGCTTTTCTCGAATGACTGGCGTCCGCTCGACGGTAGTGTAGGGGCTTGTTGGAAAGTTATTTTGGCTCGGGGCGTTCGAATCGCCTACAAATACCATGTTCCATACACCATTAGCCCAGCTGCCGTACTTATTGTTCCGCGATAGCCATTGCTGCTGTGAGCCGGGAAGCACGACATTATCTACCACTGAATCGGCCATGAAGCCTCCAGAAGCCCAACCTCCCGCCCCGGTGTCAGGGTCAACCTGGAATAGCCATAAACCACCAGAACTTCGGACATGCATCCGTCGAATCGGGGCTGCCTGTGACACGGCTATCGTCGTCGTGTTGTTGGTTGCAGAAGACGCATTTATCGCGAAATTCTCAAAGGTTCTCCAAAAGTTACAAGTCGCGTTCCGGTGAGGCATCCAATATGCCGGGACATTTACGCCGCCGTCAATCAGGGTGTCGTCTGGATTCTGCCCCAAGCCCGCAACTTGCGTGTAGAAGCCGACATCGAAGATGATGCTATATGTGCCAGGTTTAAAAAGCAATGCATAGCGATCTGCACCAAACTCGTTGGACTCCATCTTTTTGAAGATGGCGGTGACCGTGTCCTGTATCGCCGCCGCCGGCATACTCGGGTCAAAGACGTAGACATTTGGGCCAAATATTGTGGCATTCGGACCCGTGCAGGCCATACTGGGCTTTAGAGCGAGCAGTGTAACTGAATTTCAATTGCACGGATTTGACCTAGGAGTCGAAGGCAGCTATCTATTCGATTCAAGGCGAGTGCAGCAACTCGCAATGCGATATATTTGTTAGATACTAGGTACATAGTAGTTGTAGTCGTAGTATTACCCACTAATACATTCATCCCACTTACCCCGCTAACACTACTACACGCCAGGATGACGATTGAACATGAAAAAAGATGAGTGATGGCATTACATTCTTCTCGATATATTAGGTGTTTACTACTAGGTATATTATAAACCGCTTACAACCACTCGTTAAGCTTTGTTGAATCTTCTCAGTACATAAGTTTCATAGATTACTTCACATGCTATACCCATTATTAGTAATCTACCCAGAAACCCGCGATGATGGGATTTGGGCCGACCATCGTATCTTTAAAACAAGTGCAATGCCGGTTTCCCGGATGAGTCTTTTGAATTCCAGTGTAAAACTTCAGCTCTCTCCGTCCGGGCCAATCATAACAACATCAACACTGATTCCTTGTTGTATGAGGTTTACTTAGCTAATGCCCTATTGAAGCCCTTCTGTCCTACTTGTGTGTGCTAGCAAGGCTCTCTTCTGATTGTATCATTTCGACTTCGGTGTGATGCTGAATATCTATACTTTCTTCGACGACCTAGGGCGGATATGCAATAAGCTATAAGGACTAGCGTGAGTAGATGGTTTAAACTAGTATCATGAATCATAATATCTATAGCTGAGATCTAGTGGGCAGGCGTGGTTAAATACCTTTGAACATGAAGATCAGGAGCTAACTGTCCACATACCGTAAAGTACCGGAATCCTGACAGAAACATGTATACGCATATTCAGATGTACTCATCCGTCAATCTCACTTCGAGAGAAGTTATCGTGTGTAGTCTTTATGGCGTGTTATGTGAAAGTTACCAAGAGCCATGAGACAGTATAAGTTGGGCTTCATACTATACTAAGCACAGCCCTTGAAGAATGGAAGGAAAGTGAAACGAAAGCTCCGCCGACAGATAGTATGTTCCTTATGAGTATACATATAGATAGACATATTGATGGTCGTAGAATTGTTCTTATTAAGACCAATTGATATCTGGATCGGTCGAGCCCCAGCACGGGAGAACCGCCCGTTACGTAGGCGGGGCGGGAATAAAAGCCGCCGGAGTTGAGACCTGAGCTCCGGCTGACCACACGCATCAGCAGAAGCTCAGGTCCGAGCTCCGGTGTAATTGACATGCAAGTTTACTCCCTGCCCGTGATTCAGTCCGGTGTTTATAAATGAGTTGATCTCTGTTTCTCTAGGCACACATGTTCCAAATTCTTTCGATGTACAATGCCCTTGATACTATCACCATCTTCATATCCCTACCGCCTAGATACCATCGAACCCTGATACTAGAGCAAACATGCCATTAGAAAGCCAGACTCCTCCGCCCAGTGACCATACCAGAGAACCATACAGCATCTTTGATAAAAGGCAGAAATGGTTGATCGTACTAATTACCTCAACTGCTGCCACATGTATGCGAATTTTCCAGATAGTATGATTAGCCGATCGCATGCTGATGACGAATAGTTTCTGGCTTTGCGTCCAACATCTACTTCCCTGCGCTCTCGACGATTGCGCACGACTTGGAAGTCTCTCTAGAGCTCATCAACCTTACCGTGACATCTTACTTGATTTTCCAGGGGATTACGCCTAGCTTCTGGGGCCCACTCTCTGATGCTAAAGGGCGTCGGATTACCTATTGTTTTACCTTTCTGGTGTTTCTGGGTGCATGCGTCGGCTTGGCAGAATCCAGGAATTATGCTACCGTCATTGTGCTCCGGAGTCTTCAAAGCGCCGGTAGCGCCAGTACGATAGCCATCGGAGCAGCCGTCATCGGAGACATTACCACTCGCGAGGAACGTGGGGGCTTCATGGGCGTGTTCCAAGCCGGATTACTCGCCCCCGTTGCAATTGGACCCGTCATTGGAGGCGCTCTGACTACGCTGGGCTGGCGAGCCATATTCTGGTTCCTAACAACATACAGCGCCGTATTTCTTGTACTATTGACCATTCTCTTGCCGGAGACTCTTCGGTCGGCCGTGTCAAATGGAAGTGTGCGCCCGTCCAATCTCATAGCCAGGTTTCCCCTAATTATATATCAAAAGACCACCAAAGTAGAGTTTAGCCCACAAACTGGACACGTCGCCAAAACAAATCGTATCGACTTGACAGGGCCATTTCGTATACTATTCAGTAAACAAGCGGCCCCTATAATTGTCTTCCTCGGTATATATTACGCTGTTTGGCAGATGACGATTACAGCCATGTCCACCCTTTTCCAAAGCGACTACGATCTTACCGAAACCCAAGTTGGGGTGACGTATATTGCTAATGGAGTTGGGTCCATAGTTGGAACTCTTATCACGGGAAGAATTCTAGATGCAGATTACCGCCGCGTGAAGGACAAGCACGAATCACGCGCTCGTGAGGACGGTGCCGACAATGCTACGTTTCCACTTGAGAAGGCTCGGCTGCGTCTCGTTCCTATTTTCGCTGCTCTTCAGTGTGCTTCAGTTCTGATTTTTGGCTGGACGATCCAATATTCCAAGCGAGTACACATCGCCGTGCCCATCATCACCACTTTTTTCACGGGCTGGGCACTTGTATCGACACAATCCGTGATCATGACATATATGGTCGATATCTTCCCTGACCAGAAAGCCGCTGCGAGTGCTAGCATGAACTTGGCTAGATGTCTTCTCGCGGCGGGCGGCACTAGCATTGTCATGCCTCTCATCAATGCTGTCGGCTCGGGATGGACCTTCACGATCACTGTTGCAGCGTTGCTCGTCGCATTGGTCGGAATAGGCGTACAGTGGCAGTACGGTAAGAAGTGGAGGATGGAAGCAGAAGCAAAGAAGAAGTTAGAGAATACAAGGGCCCATTGAAGGAGCGCAGATTATTTAATGACCTACGTACGCTAGGTAACTAGGCTAGGGGACCCGGGATTGTCACGGAATACAATTAGAGCTGTTAGAACAGCATCTCCTCAACGCATGACCAAAATGGCTGTTACCAGGCTTCATATAGACGAGATTATTACTAATTATCATAGAAATCTAAATAGACTAATACAATAAGTTAATATCATCGAAACTCTGCATACAAGTGTGATAGAGCTCCTCAAAGCCTTGAAACTGCCAAAATTCATGTAAATACGACTTCAGACATTAGCGGCCATGCGATGTCAACCCAACAATTCGAGGAGTCTCGAGGGCTCCAATTCCACGTGATCCTCGCCAGGAAAGACTTCGTTAATTTTATCCAGATATGGACGTGCCAGAAAAGTACTGGTGTCCGCAACATCATAGGGGGAAAATTGATGTACTCGTTTCATCACCCCTATCTTCGGAGCAAATTATAAACGCCAAAGGTGCTCTCCAGACAAAGGCACAGGGGACGATGTTACGTGCAAACAAGTACGTGTTACTACCAATGCTTCATACGGCGTCATTGCCATACCACGTGCGGATGTATGTTGCACAAGTGTGACATTTTGATACATGTATCCTTCTATTTCCTACGACCAATAGTCAAACGTGCCACTTGATTCATTGCCTCAGGAGCTCTCGGGTATCCCTAGAATACCCAAGCTATGGCGTTACCGATGCCCCTGTGTCAGGATGTTACATTATTATGGCTTTATTTGGCTACGTCCATACTGCTCTTGACGCAAGCCGGTAAGAACATATCGCAAATATCACGAATTCAGATATCTAGTATCATCATCATATGACTGCCACTACTGTTGTCCCTTATTGGCTTGTCCAGGACCAGCTGGTTAGGTAGATTATAAACCAATTGATCCAATCCCTAGATGACTTCGATCACATCCGAGTACCAATCAGGCAGTCCCATCCGTATCCTAGAGCGAATATATTAGTCCAGGCTGACTTGAGTACCAAAGACTGCAATGCTCTTAGAATATCGGGTGGACAGCTTGCGGTGCGTTTTATTATTGACCCAAGCTAGGATGTCACATCTCATGGCAATAAGCTGACATTGAGCTTCTGGGTTGGTACCCAAACTGGGTATTAAAGAGGACTGGAAGCACAAGCTAGACGAGGTGATCACAGGAGATAGGACATTCTGCGTAAACGCTTCTAGATAGAGTATCACTTGGTTTATCAACACATTCCTCCCTGCGGGGTACGGCATCAAGTCAATATAGGGAACATAGCTTATTACGATCTAGCGTAAAAAATTACTTTTATTCGTCAAGTGTGTATTTCGTGGCAAAGACAGACTTAGAAATTCTGACTGAAAAATCTCGATCTCGATCCCCTTCGCTCTACCGTCAACGTCAGAATACAAGTCATTCTCACGTACGTCGAACTCCAGCCCAAAACCGATCAACCTCTACGCCACCTACTACAATGACTAAGAAATGGCAAGATGATACTGCAATTCCACGTTAGATAAATTCGTATCTCAAACCTAGTGTGTGCTTTTCTTAACCTTACTTAAGCCCAGAGATCAGGAACGTAAAGAAGCAAACAACTGCTGTAAACGCCCAGGGTGAAACTGTTACAATCGTATCCCTTATTCTCCTCACATGAAATGCCATATCATCGAATTAACTCATTATGCTGAAAAGTCCTATAACTGTCACTTTCCATGATAAAATACTGGAATATTGGTGACGGCGGCATGTCACGCGCGCAGCTCATGTGATTCCCCTATTCAACCCTTAGTCCCACGTCGAATATCCCCTTGTTGATCTCCTCGCTATCCCTTAAAAACTGTCGAGCTTGCTGTATATATATTCCCTCTGGTTCCTGTTCTCTGCATATAGGCTCGAGAGCCACCGAACAGACTCCAGTTCTAACCACACCACAACAACCGCCCTCTTCATTGATACAAATTCACTTCACTTCCTGCAATATGCATCTATCAAGACTCCTCCTGACCTGGGTCAGCGTTTTGAGCCTGGCTCTTTTCACTCATGCGTTCCGTAACGTCATGTACATTGACGAGTAATTCACATTGCCATTACCTGTCATATGAGAACATCTCAAATTAACACTTGTTCATAGATGGCATCCGATGATCCCAGATAATCGTACTATCACCGCTGGTATCACTCACGTAATCATGGCATTTATCGATCCAAAAAACTTCTCGACGACAACCGATTATTCCCCCAGCCCCGTTATCATGCAAGTTCAAGATTTGCGACATCACTTCGACAATGGTACAAAAATCGGAATTGCTCTCGGTGGTTGGGGCTCTTTCAGCGACGGTTTCAGCGATGTAGCGACAGAACAGTACCGGGCCGGGTTTTCAGCCAACTTGGCTCAATGGATGGACCGACAAGGCTACGATTTCGTGGGTAAGTAATATCTAATTTTTGGAAAACCACAAACCAAACATACCGAGACCCAGCTCCAAGTCCCCATCAACAATTCAAACTAACTGCTGGACTAATTGCCGTATTTTAGATATTGACTGGGAATACCCCGGCGGGAACGGGGCTTCACAGCCATCAAACGCCACGGCAGACATCGAAAACTTTCCGCTGCTCTTGGACGCAATCAAGAAGGCACTCAAACCCGGAAAGAGCGTTAGCATCTCGGTAGCTGCTACTCCAATCGGCATGGGAGCCTTCAAGTCTGCCGAGAAGACAAAGTCCACCTGGGAGACCGTCGATTTTGTCACAATTATGGCATATGACTACGTCAATCGAGCGAGCAAAAGGACAGGACATCATACCGATGTTGAGGGATCCAAAGCCGCGGTCCAGAGGTACATCGACCTTGGCCTTCCTCCGGAGAAGATAAACCTCGGCTTCCCCTTCTACGCCAAGTGGTTCCAAGTCGAGGACAATTGCCACAATCTAACGACTCCCGACAGCTGCGAGATCGTGCCTGCTCAAGACGCAGATGGAGCAGACAACTACAAAAGCGGTGTCCTAACTTTTGAGATGAAGAACGTACAACCCCCTCCATTACCAGCTTCACTGGAGCTGACTGTAGATGCAACCTGTGGCGTCCACAATAACACTGCTACTACCAAGAAGTGCGCAGATGGATACTGCTGCTCTCAGGACGGCTGGTGTGGCAATACAACTGCGCATTGTCTACCGCTTTGTCAGACCGGATATGGCGAGTGTCGCGGCCCGGATGCCATTGCGTCTTTTAAGCGCGCGAGAGAAAACTTCAAGTACGACGAGGGTAAAGGGGCGCTCTGGTACTTTGATGAGACGACTAGCCCGCGACTTTTCTGGACATGGGAGAATACTGACCTGATGTCGCGCAAGTTTGACGAGATTGTCAATAGTCCAGCGAACAAACTCGGCGGCGTAGCGGCGTGGTCTCTAGGAGAGAACTCTGCTGGATGGATGCATGGTAAGTGACGTTCAATTATCTAATTCCCCATCCATTCTTTGGCAAGTTCGGGTCCCACTGCTCTTGCTCCTGACACTTGAGTCGGTTTTCATGCTTTGTGAGGTACTTACTAACTGACTTACAAATAGTGCTACAAATGCAGAACATGACACGATTGCGAAGCTCGGATAACCAGAGTGAGGGCGAGGGAATGGGAATAGGAGAGTGCCCACGCCTTCCTTGAAGCAGTTGCCAGGGGAAGCTAGAGGCCAATGGGCATTCCTGTTCCGAAGGGACTAGCATGTATTCGTTAGGATAAGCTATGCCCTAGATTTCTATATTCAAGACTCGAAGGCATTGGGTTAGTTTAAATACAGTGCTTACTATATGACAATCACTATGCGCTACTTACCTGGTATGGGAAAAGACTTAACAATCAACTGTGCAGACTGAGTTGGATACAATGTGTATCAATGCTGAGCTACATAGTAGCCCCTTCACATTTCTTTCATGGACACGATATCTTCTGTATACCGCTACGTATTAGTATATCCAGGCCTATAATATAAAAATACTCCGCAAAGCGATATGAAGAACTGGAGGCGGTGTACTACTAAGTTGATGACTAGGTACCTACTTTGCCTACTCGGTGAGCATCTCACCCTTTGTTTAAGAGGTGGCGAACCTACCCTGGTATAATCTTACTTACATAGTACATAGCGGTTGTCTTGAAAATATCTCAGAGATCTTAACTTTCGCTTTCTCTATAAGTATAGAAATTTTTCTTCTTCAATAATTGCGTGCATTATAGCTACACACACGTCTAAGTAAGCAAGGTAGCACGGACAGACTGGGTTCTTGCGTTTATCACCTGACCATCCAAATAGTGAGACATTGTTTGCCTACCTACATGAGGATTATACGTAGTTCCACTTGGCCTGCACCTTTGCGCCTATGCTAATGTTGACAGTACGTTCTGGTCTTCAACTTCCGTTGTTCTAAGTGTTACATACTGCCAGCAGAGACCACAAGCAGCAAAAGCTTTCAGGGATTGGGTTGCACTACCAGTCTAGCTGCTATCGTGTATTATAACGGGTTGGTATAGCCAGGGTGATGAACATTATAGGCGTGTGCGCACGGAATATTCCGTCTAAGAACTGTACTTGCTTTTTATATGTATACCTACTTAGGTATGTATTATGGCAGTTGCTTCTAATAGGGTGCTGAATGCGAGAGACGGCACGCGATGTCAGCATCTCGGACCTGCCCCGCGCCAGTTGGTTGAAACCGTATAGACAGTAAGCAATAGGAAGAGAAGAAAGAGGTCCTGTCATCCCTGTTATAGTATGCCCAGAGCCGAGGCGAAGCCCTACACACTCTTTTGCACGATTCGCGTGACGGCAAACTGCCCCCAATCTATTATAGGTAAGCAACCCCAACACGACCAGGCACAGCATCATGCGCGTGAGATATTGCAGGATAACGCGGTACACAGGGAGCAAAGACGATGGTCGCCGTCGAAATCTACCGCGAAGCCTACCGACGTAATAAGGCTGCTTATGTGCAGCAGCAGTGGACCAATACAGCTCCTTGTATTCCATGCATACCAAGAGTCGCGATGGCCCCCAAATATTGGAGAAGGGTCTGCTGCAATGAGGCTGTCTACCCGATTATCATATCATATCGTATCAGCTTCGAGAATCCGGAAGTAGTGGTATGCAGTGTATGGGTAGCGCATAAATTCTCGCTCTCGCATTCGACAACGTGTCTGAATCTAGCCCGTTATACTGCAGCTAATAGCACAACTCGTGCAAGTTTCCTGCCTGCTGCCTGCAGGGTGGCAGCACGAAAGGCAGAAAGGCGGAATATGATGACCAGGTCAGAAGTTCCTGATTCGTGCTTCGAGGCTCTGCTTATGGTGCGGAGAAGCTTAGCGATGCATCCGTATATCCTATCGCTCTTATCATTGATCCTAGGGGGGTGAGAACTGAGTATTAATGCCAATGGCCTGCCACTCATAGGATTACCGAAGCGGGATGAGAAAGTCTCAAATCATGAGCTACGGATGTGAGCCGCCAAGTCATCCTGCCCTAACAGTCATAGCACACCATTTGCCTTCTGTTCCCCCATGCGCATAATGGCAGATATGATGAAGCCAGAAACTCTGGAGCCAATTGAGGCGGAATTCTCAAAGCCGCCTGGAAACCTGCTTGCCGCATCGTACTGCGCAACGGTCATCTCTAATCTAGAGGGTTGGAAGGGTGTTGTACTGTTTCAAGTGAAAGAGCATAAAAGCCTTGCAATTGAGCAACTCGACACGCGCGTTCGACGTCTTGAGAATATGGATGGAATCAGCCCACCTCCGCCGATGGATATACCATCCTGGGATTCACTGTGAGCTCTCCCTGGAGTTGATTTGACTATTCTCAAAAGTCTCCCTTCCGGACTGTTTGTTATACGTACAGCTGGTTATCGTTCGAGAAATCTTATAAGTAGCTTTTGAGATGGTGACTGCTGACCTGGGGCGCTTTAGTACATGGCGCATAGCACGACTTCACCGCAAGATGCCAGCGGGGCCGGTGAACAGGCTCACCGGTGCGCCGACATGCATTACGCCGACTCTGGACTTGCTAAACAGTGTCACGACTTCGTTGGGGGGGACGGGGATGATGTCCTGGCCCGCGTTCAGGGGAGAGGAGGCCCTCGAAAGCGATGACCTCCTCCAGACGGCGGCACAATTCCTAGGCTACATTGCGGGTCAGCGGCGCTTCAAGGTCGTCGGCTCATTCGATCTCAAGCAGAACTGCAAGCTCGCGCTCAACCTATCCCTCGATCCAACTATGAACCACTGTGGTGGGCCTGCCTTCCCCATGGCGAGGCTTGTTATGCCACCGAGGCCAGCGATGCCTCAAAAAGGATGCTGTGGATGCTGTTCCTGCTCCTGCCACTCCCCAAGCCCTAGTGTACTAAGATGGATGACGGGAAAGTATGACCAGGAGAAACGAGCGAAGCGGACAGGCTTTAAGGCCCGTATTACTAAGGCATTTAGGAAGCTGGCATTTTGGCGTCGAGACAACTACGATGACACAGATAGTGACGCTTCTTCAATCACTACGAGGACTTCGTCAACCTTTTGGAACTAAGCGAAGAGGTATGGTAACGTTTTGGTTCGTAATTCTTAAATAGGAGACGAACGCCGAGGACGTGTCGATGATGATGATGAATTAGGGGTCGCTTAGAATCCCCCATCACCGACCGACATTGGGGTTTAAGTAGAATTTCTTTGAATATGAACACGATCATTCTAATTTGTCACTGTTTGATACCTCCGCTGTGTTCAATATGAAGTTAGTCTTGTTTTGGAAGGTTGTATCCCCTTCGCTGAGATGTTGCAACGATGAGTAAGACCGCGGCAGCATGTTCTATTTATAATATATGTGACATAGGTACTCCATAAGAGGAAGGAGGAATTGTGCCACCCGTCTCCGAAACGCCAGGTCCTGTCAATTCAAACATTAGATATTTATTAAACACTATGCTCTGGTCTTCGCAGACCAGTTGGTTTCCTGTAGCATTACCGCGCGCCCTTTATTCTTTATCCAACAAACCCATAAATCGGGTTACGCAACCCGCTCGAGAATTATCTATATGTCCCGCCGTCCGAAGAATGCGAAGGAGCTAATGGTGACAGGTCACCTCTTCCACTCTGAGAATTATATGTTGCCGGCGAAACCCCATCCGGCGTGGCGCGCCCGTTCGCATGCGCCGGTACTCGATCGGAATATCCCAGATATCCTGGGGTAGCTGGAAGTTCGACGGGATTCGTCCGCGACCCCGACTCTGCCCCTAGTTCCGCCAGGAGAGGAACACCGGCGGCCCTGCCGTTCTTGTCTTCGCTACCCGTATAGCCTTGCATCCCGTATGCCGCGGACTGTTTCCAAGCAACGGGGGCCAACTCGGCAGCTGTATGTTGCATGTTATCCTGTGCGTACTCGTTGGTCATGGCGAATGAACCCGGCCCGCCATATGAGGATCCGGCTCCTCCACCAGACACCTCGTTGCTATGAATTGAGTGTGCAGAGCGCCGACGCCTTTGGTACGCCCATATAAACCACGCTGCGAGGCCAGCTGCGATCGCGCCGAATCCAACGCCTACCCCGATGCCAATCTTAGTGCCTGTGCTGAGCCCGTCGTCCGTCTCTTGTTGGCCTGGGGAACCGGTCGTGCTTGGAGTTGTCGTCGTCGAGCTCGCAGTAGGACTTGGAATTGATGTAGTCTGCGTGGCAGCGGTAGCAGCAGCCAAGAAAGCCTGTTTTGACACGGATAGAGTAACTCCTGTCCCTTCGCAATTGTTGCTCAGCGTCTCATAGACAGCGTTAAGGTCCGAGGGACTTTCTTTGGCGACACAACCCGCAGTATTATATATGAAGTTGTTTTTATTTTTACACAGGCAATTGTTGAGTTCGGCTCCGGTCGCTCCTGAGCTGCAACCGGCATCGTCCGCTGAATCGTACAGGCATGACTGAGCTCCTTCAGGGTAAGACGAAAAGTCGTTCTCTATGGCGAACGCGGAACCCGTCTGGAGAAGCAGGACGAGGAGCAGAGGAGTAGGGAGTGAAGCCCTCATGTTTCGTCAAAAGTCGTCAGTCATCCAATATTCGAGTATACGATAATATGGCAGCGATTGTCTCCAAACTGGTGGTTAGGTAGGTATCGGTTTCAGTTGTTGTACTCCGGAGGCGCGAGTGAATCTGGGGTAATTGGTAATATCTATCGCATTCCCTCCACGCGAGCGTAGGATGGAAAGAAATCTGTGAGACGTGAACTGCTTAGGTGCTGTTAGTCCATCTAGTGTACCACCGGGCCAGCCTCTACGCCATTCGTCCCCCACATAACTTCAGACCAATACATACAGGACAATCATTCGCGTGGCGCTGCCATCGGCTAGTAACAGGTTGTAAGACCGGGCGCTGACCGACCGGAGTATGAGCTGGCGAAGGGCTGTTGGCTTGATCAGCTACGGCGTAAGGTGGCAGCTCACAGGACAAGGACTCGTATCGCTACCTCTAAGCTACCAACAGCCACAGATCTTCATCCGAACGGCCCAGCTGTAATTGTTCTATTTAAGGCAGCGAGGTATATGATTCGCTTACGACTCTGTCTCATTTACGGCTGCGTCTTGTCCCGCTTTTCACCCGACAATCTTTACTTAGCCAGGTTAGATACTCTCAATAAGTAAAATGGTCAGTTTTACCGTCAGAGCGTCATATCCACAGTGCTGGCTCTGATGTTAATGGCTTTCCATCATTTGAACTGACGTCTATCCGATCATAAATGTTTTAAGTTCTACGGTCCCCAGTCACACAGTGCAAGAAGATCTTATAAGCTTATGTAGTTAGTAGGTGATGGTTCTCAAGTAACCAGCTTGCTCCTCTTCTCACCCACGGGATTATAAGCTCTCTTTAAAGGCATATGGCTGTTGTGCAGCCCCGAGTGAAATTACGATATGTTTCAAGTCCAAACCTTGGACACATTATGTGGATGGCATCACAATATGACAAGGACCGAAAAACAATGAAGCTACAGGCAACATGAGAGGGAAGCATGGATCAAGGCGTTTATAGTTTGTAGCACAAGTATATACTTGCATAAGCATCTAATGTACCAATGTTCCGCAATCCGACTTACTCCAGACCTTATCTAGACTAGTCGTGACATAGCATTGACTGACATATACACCGACGTGAGAGAGCATAGGGTAGAGCCCAATCCAAGGATGAAAGCCGTGAGCAGCCAACTAAAAGCCAAGAACTCCATCCATGAAGCCAGATGAATGGCGTATGTGGGTGATGATTTGTTTTGAGTCGTAGATCCGTGACAACAAAAGAAACCAAATCAAAAGTAGAAATTCGTTCCAAGCAGTGCCGTGCAGTTGGCGCTGGATTCAGGATATCATACAATAAGGGTGGTGGCGGTTGTGAGTAGGGGTGGGTATCGAGTGTTGGTAGTTACAGGTTGCTCACAAGAGCCAGGAGGTTCATAAATTCAATGTTGTTAATCATGGTGCGGACCGTGAACCCCATTAGGTAGCCTGCCTGGGGATTCTGTGTTCGTTCGGAACCCATTCACGAGATGCGTTTTCGGGGAGACCTGAGACGGTGATACATCGTCTCCAGTATCCTCTATTGGCTCATTCGAAGCCATGCTTTTCGGGGTCAAGTGAGTGAGGACTGCCTGTTTTTGTTGCTCCGTTAGAAGGTAGGTCAGATTTTGTTCAACGCAGAGACGTGCATAGTCAGGCTCGTCTGGTGTCACCTTAACTAAACCATGCCTCCTTGGTACCCTGTGTTCTGGGAAAGGTTCCCTGCTAGGCTTGCATTTTCCCGGTTTTTCTTCGCCAATGAGTTGACCATTGACATAGTATTTATTCCTTGGAGCAAAGTGACCCCTGCCAGCTGCATCTGGGTCTTGCTTCCATTTGCTTGGGCCGCTGAAAGTGAAGAGGGCCGTTTCGTTCTCTGGAAGTTCGCGGTAGCAAATAGAAAGTCTGAGATCTTTGAGATGGGGGACTGTTGGGACGATATTGAGGAAATCAGTTTCCTTTGATGCGGTCAGCACACCATTAGCAAACTGCGGCAGTAGAACTTACTTTTACGAAGAACATGTCTGTTTCAAGAAAGAGGTTGGCTGCCTCGCCACGAATTTGTTCCAGCTTTTTGTAACCAACAGTACGAGGGTCTGCACCGTAAAGATCTGGAAGTTGCTCTCCTAGGTGATAGAGTTTACTTTCCGTTAAAGCGTATCGATCCTGTTCTAAATGCCATATTACCGTCTTGGCAATACTGGACACAGGAATGCGTTCCCAGGAAGGGTCTATATTCGGTTAGCCCACATCCAGTCAAGTCCAGTCAGCGCAAGTGCTTACAATGCGATAAGGAGAGATCCTTCTCCCCTAGCAGCAGAGCAACCTGGGTGCTGAGAAGCCATTGGTCTCGCCCGCCTGCTTTGCCAGTTGCCGATGGATTGATAGTATCATATCGAACACCTTGGGCTTTAACAAAAAGCTCTGCGATCTCTCTTTGCTTAGGATTTGAACATCTATTAAGCCAACGTAAGAGTGGAGGCAATTTTGCGACGCGGATTCGCTCTTGTTCTGCTCGTTGCAGTTCAAGTTCACGTGCAACCCGTTCAGCTTCTTCACGTTCCCTTTCTTGACGCTCTTCTTCTTCTCGAAGACGACGGGCTTCTTCTGCCGCCTCTTTTTCACGTTGAATCCTTTTTTCCTCTTCTCGTTGCAGGCGTTCCTGTTCTAGCTGCTGTTGCCGTTGCTGTTCTTCACGTTGTTGCCGTTCTTGCTCTTCACGCTGTCGCCGCTCCTGTTCTTCGCGCAGCTTTCGTTCCTCCAATTCCTTTCTCTTGCGCTCCTCCTCTTCCTTTAGCTTTTTCTCTTCTTCAAGCCGGAGCTTTTCAGCCGCTTCCTTACGTTTTATCTCTTCGCGTTCAGAACGGGCCCGTTCCTCGGCTTCCAAGCGCTTCTTCTCAGCCTCTTGCTCTTTCCGCTTTACCTCTTCTTCCTGTTTCCTCTTTCCCCGTTCCTGGAGTTCATATTCGGCATCCTTCCGTCGAACTTCATCGTGAACAGACGCCTCAAACGGCGTTTTCCTCCGTTGCTTCTTCGCGTCTTCCTTTTCAGAGTTGACATGTATCTCTCCTTCCTCTTCAGACGCTTGTATTGAATCCCGCATCTCAACGTCGGGATCTTCGGAGGCAACGGTGATGCTCTTATCCGAGTTGTGTGGCTTTTCCTGTTCTCTGTGATCACGATTCATTTTCATCGGTTTTGAAGCTTCTTTGCGGTCGCTATCGGAGTTGCGTTGCCGGTGAATAGAATCACGGGATGGCTCTCGTTTAGTATGCCGGTTCTCAGGAGATCGAGGTTCAAGGTACCGTCTGTCTTTGGCATCAGAATCTAACTTTCGTCTCTTTACAGATGCACCGTTATCTTCCTTGTCAGCGAATCCACGCCGGGATGGGCTCGCACTTGAACGGTGTCTTTTCCCTGATGTGTCAGTAGTAGACAATCGCTCAGTTGATTCCTCCCGCTTTAATGTCTTTGTGCGGCTGAGGTGTTTTTCGCGATCCACTCGAGATTTTTCTGAAGACTCTTCAATTTTAGATTCGCTGCGGTCGATCCCCGAAACATTTGACGCCAAACTTTCACGGCGCTGCTTCTCCCGTTGGCCCTTTAGGTCCCTTCCTGATATCAGCTTCCGCCGTGGTTTTATAGCCTCCCCGTCAGAAGAACCTGCTACGTCTGGTTCGATCAACTTTGGCATACCCGAGTGTTTCGTCCTGACAGGCGAAATTTCCCGGTCCGATGAAGCGGTGTTCGAGCCCCGTTCATCTCTTTTAGGACGACCAGGCCCGCGTTTTGGCGAAGCATTCTCATCTTGATTGCCAAATGATAGTGAGCGACGCTTCTCTCTTGGACTTTTGGCAGCCTTGGTAGTATTGAGTTTCTTTTTAGGTTCAGAGTCACGAGGTGGGCTGGCTGATGTCCGGCGCTTCTGCAAGCGAGGCGCATCCGCAGTAAGTTCAGCACGATTTCCCCGTCTAGAATCCTGCTCAAACTCGCGTTCGCGCCGGTTGGGAGAGGACTTAGACTTTGAAGAACTCTTCGATCCTTTCTTAAACTGGTCATATGCTTCTTTTAAAATATGTTCCTCTTCTTTCCAATTCGGACCTTCCCGACGTCGAGCAATTTCATAATACGTTTGCCCCTTGTACTGCCGTGTCGGATTGAATCCATTGGCGTTTAGAAGTAGTTTGATAACCTCAATATTCTCCTGTCCAATGGCTGCGAGCATTGGCGTGCCATGTTCTATCGGGAGACCTGGTACCGGTCGAGGATCGGGGTTTGCACCACCCAAAGCAAGAAGAAGCTCAACAACTACATTATGGCCTCCTCGTGCCGCATTCACCAAAGCCTCGGGGTCATCGCAGCGCTCTTTGACCTGTAACACGCGCGTAACGGTCTCATTGTCACCACGAGCTGCCGCTTGCCGGAGAGTCTTGTCATCCAGATTCATATACAACAGATGATTGCTGGTCTTCGTCGAACGCACAGTTCCACCACGGCGCTTTTCTGCGAGAAGACTACCGATGGGGGCGACAGAGGAGTCGCGCGGGCTATCGGGCCCATGTGACGATAGAGCATCATGAAGATCCTGGGGTTGGTGATCTTCAGACGTGCGTCGCAACTCGCCCACGCGTTCTTTCGCTTCTCTCAATGCTGCACGAATCTCCTCTGCGTTATCTAGATCGTCTGGAACTTTTTCCAGAGGCTCGTGTCCTTCTGCATCAGCCTTCCGAGGATTGACTCCAGCTTTTAACAGCAGCTTGACCACACCTAGGTGGCCGTTCTCTACCGCGTCCAGAAGAGGCGTTTCTTTGTCACTATTACGGCAATCCAGGTTGCAGCCCGCCTCGATCAGTAGCTGAACAATATCCTCATGGCCATTCAAGGAAGCTACTTGTAAAGGAGTGTTCCCCGCATAATCGGCAAAATTCAGATCCTCTGGTCTTTCAGCAAGTCGTTTCTTGGCCGTCTCGTATTCGCCTTTGGCACAAGCCTTCGCAAACAGCGTCTGGCCATGGTTATCAACGTGCTTTTTGTGGCCCGGCATCCTAGCTGGAGATATTGTTGATTCACCCGTGATCGGGGTAGCAATATTTTTCAACTTGGAGCTCCGAGGGTGAGGGCTACCACTAGCAGAAGAATCATCTGATTGATACTCAGTCGATTGAAGCGGTGCAGGAACACGGCGCTTTTTGGTGCTTAAGCCATTCGAAGATTGAGAGGGCAACTGGGTAGAGACGCTGCGACGATGTATACGTGAAGGTGGAGAGGCGGAGCGATTTCTCGAGGCGAATTGTTTATCTGTATGTTTCCCGTACGATGTTTTGTGATCTTTATCTCTAACGCCAGCTGACGCATCAAGACCAGTATCCGAGATACGTGTTCTCCGAGCCTTGCGCATTTCTCCATCATCGTCTGATTCTGTCTTGACTGGTTTGCGTTTTCCTGGAGGAAGCCTCTCGACGGGTTTGAGCTCATCCTTGTGAGATGCCTTATGCGACCGTGACTTTGATGATTCGGACTCGGATTCGGATTGGCCGTCGCCAGACCTGCGACGTCTGTGCGAAGGTACGCTACTGGTGCGATTATGAACGAGTGGAGAATTAGGAGCAGAACCAGGTGCGGCAGAGTGATCCTTAGGTCGTGATTTCTCCTTCTCAGTAAGCCGTTTCTTCCTCCGCCCGAGTGAGATTGAGGTGGCATCATCGGAGTGACCACCATTGCGATCAACGTCTCTCGTGTCTTTCAAGGGTTTGCGGGGTCGGGGTATACCGTTCATTTCCTCATCACTCTTGTCTTCATGTTTGATGACCTTACGAGGCTTTGAGGGAGAGATGCTATCCTTACCAGGTAGAACGATCGTCTCCGCATCTGAGTTTTGATCGAGTGTGGCATCTTCGTCTACGGCGCTGGCCGAGGTTGTCACAGAGCGGGATTCCTTGACTAGAGACACAGATTTTTTATTCGTAGGAGATGCGAGGGCATTCGTCGCGGTCGCGGAGATCGGGTTTGATTTAGGGACTTCAGCGCCCGTGTCGGCTTCCTTTGGGGAAGCGAGCTGCTTCGTACTTGAGGACTCGGCAGCATTCTGCGCATCCATAGCATTTAACTCAGATACCAGGCTCTCATACAGTGCACCATGATGGCCGCTCGTCGACGACGTTGGCTAATGATCGCGTGGGCCGAAGCTGGAGGCCTATGGCAAGCGCACTTCGCAGTCGCTTGTTTCTCGTATCGCACGATCAGAGTGAGTCGGCGAGTCGCAAGTCGAACGGAGTGATTGAGAAGGGAACGAGGACGCCGGGACCAAGCAGGAGGCTATAAAGTTAAGCACTACAGTAAGGCAACGAGTCAAGCGTTGGAGACGAAGTTTATTGCTGCAAGGTCTGAATGCTGATTCGAGTTAGGAAATGGGAAATGGGAAACGACAGCGGATTGGAGAATGCTCGTTTGTGGATGGTGAGAAAAAAAAAAGTTGAATTTGAGAGAGTGGTCAACAAGTAGTGGGAAAGAATGGGATGCACAAGAGCAACAGACAGAAGAGAGTAGGTTAGTAAAGAGTCCGAGTTCGAGTTAGGAGTGTTTTGGCAGCAGGCGGTACCGTAGATTAGGTAGAGTGGCAGCGTCTTGACAGTACCTACTACAGTACCTATTACAGTACTTAGGTAGGTACATACAAGGTATGTAGGCACTAAGGAGGTAGGTACTGTAATCCGACGCTGGCAGAGACGAGGCCACCTACCTGCACTAGAGTAGGTAGCTGACCCATCCACCATCCATGGAAAGAAAGTGTTCAAAGTGTCAAGTCATAGAAGACGTGCAGGTTAATTATAGGGGCCACAATAAGTGCAGTAGTGTACAATGCCACTACCTGCTCTGCGGTTAGTCCCTGTACGTCCGAATCGTTAGTTCAGATTTCATGTATATACAATACCTAAATATACATACAATCAGGCTCAGTAGAGAGTAGAGACCGTACTCACACATTACTACTTATGTACCTAGTATAGACATCGACTTGTCCGTAGGCAGGCGACTGCGATAAGTAGACATTAGGTAGAAAATGACGAAGAGATATACAGGTTAGTGCAACAACAGCAACAATGTCCCTACTTCGTAGGTAGATAGATACCTAAGTACATATGTATGTATGTATAGCCCGAATACCTACTTGGTGTCTTGTGTTCCACGCGAGCCACGCAACGCCTATTTACGCATACAGAAGGTGTGGCGGGCAGTAGCTAACGTAAGCGCACTAGACTTAGTTGGGCTAGATGAAATAGTGCAGGGGCACTAGAGGTTGCCAGGACCGAGACTACATACCTAGTAGTACCACCTCAGATAACCCATATGTACACCTGTAGTAAGTACCTATATCTGCTCAGGTGTACCTAGGTACTTTTGATGCAGCGTGCTGCTGGTACTACCTACACTGCCTCCTGGATGGTCTCATTGCAGGCTCATAGCAGGATGTTCTTCTTGACAATATGACATAGCAGCGCCTCGTCCACCGACAGCAGCTTATCAGCTTTGTGCATTTACTTCCATAGTAGTTGCATGTGCCTGGGAAGAGAATATCAAGGTACAGTATTTTACACTGTATAATAAGTATAGGATCTGTACAGGACAATCCTAAGTGGGGTCACTATTCCCCTTATAGGCTATGTACACATTAGAGCGGGACATGCTATACTAGATACTAGCTATATGTGGTTAGCTTTGTTTACCGCCCACCCAGTCTGCTACAGTGCGATAGGGTGCTGACCACAGCATGTATCTCAGTACTTGGTATCAGCAACTACATTCCTAAGTAGCGCTGTATAATGCTCTGACTGCTGTACCACACCAGCAACACCAGCATCACGACAGCAGTACATACCTACATATGCAGTACCTGGGTCAAAAGTATCTAGGTACATCGGTAGGTACATATGCTACTCTACTTAGGACAGTTTAGACAGTGTTTCAATACTGTCTTGGTTGAGTCCCAGCCAGCCCGGCCTGCTCCAGAGTCCAGCATGATGTTGCGTCGCCTGGGGGCCGATAATTGGCCGCAAGCCTGCAGACAAGGCCGGTATTGCCGCAAAATTGCCTTTGCTCGCCCCTGTTCCAGCTGGCGCCTCCCCCCCTCGAGCCCCCTCTCTGCTCCCGGCCGCCCTCCAAGCCAGCCAGGGCGAGCGAGGGCGAGAAAAACCAAGAAAACTTCGCAACGTCCCGCCCCTCCTCTCCCATTCTCTGCCCATTCCCACCATTCCCACCATTTCCCACCAACCTCGCACCACATCTCTTCCCATCAACCACCACTCTGACATTTACTAGTAGCACTCTGATCATCTCCTTGCTGCCTGTTTGTCCGACTGTTGCCTCCGCCTCTGCATCTTCCTCTTTTCCCTCCTCGCCCGCCCCCCCCTTCTCCTTTCACATCTCTGTTCATCATCCACCGGTATCTATCTACCTTACCTACCCTACCCTACCCATCCGTCTTCCTAGCTGAGCAGGTAGGTAGGTAAGTAGGCAAGTAGGCAGGCAATCGGTAGCTTCTATCTGCACAGAGTGTTGTTCCTGTAGTTGGTTCAGGTTTATTGGGAGCTCACCTGCTTCCCGCAGGCTGCCGGGTTTCTGTTCTTACCACTTCGTCCAGCCCTCTGCCGGATCTGCCTAGTGCCTCGTCCACTACATACCTACAAACAATTGCCAGTCGCCAGTGTCTGAATCCTGCCACAAAAGCGGCTCTCGGCGCATACAGAAGCGATCATCAAGGCTAGCACAATAACCTGGTTCTGCCTGGTTGTCTTCCGCCCCCACCCTTGGGCGATCTCGTTTCTATTGCATCACTACGTTTCAGGGATAGGTGCCACTCACCCTCGCCTACGAGTCCAGTACGATCCTAGAGCACAAATACTTCACAGTGCCATCCATCACCGACAGGTCTAAGATTTCTGTTTTCGACATCGGTAACACTAGCTGATCCCTGCGTTTGTTCCTTTCGATTGTAATTCTCATTCCGGAGGCGAGAGGAAACGTGGTCAAACCTGAAGCATTCACTCCTGGTACCCACTTTATCCAGTCATTTACTCACAGGAATGGACACATCGTCGAGCAGACCTCTACTCCCGCAGTCGCTTGATGAAGCACGAGTTCTTCAGCTCCCTCGTGCTGCTTTCTATATCTCAGAGTTCATTACCGAGGATGAGGAGAAAGTCTTACTAGAGAAGATAGCATCTGCCCCGAAGCCTCGGTGGAAACAGCTGAGTCGACGTCGGTTACAGACCTGGCCGTCAGACCTTATCAACAACAAACTGGTCGACGCTCCGCTGCCTTCATGGCTCGAAGAGCCTGTCCTCACACGGCTGCTATCACTCTGTTTGAAGGAAGGCGTAGCCTCCCAGTCGCACATCTTTGAGGACAGTCCTCATAAGCGACCGAATCACGTTCTCATTAATGAGTACCCACCGGGTATCGGCATCATGCCACATAAAGACGGTGCTGCTTATCATCCAGTGGTTGCGACTGTGAGCCTCGGTGCAACCATATGTCTAAACATCCATGAAATGAAGAAAGAAGGCACCCTTAACAAAACTCCAACTTGGAGAATTCTACAGGAACCCAGAAGTATTCTAATCACAACCTCGGATCTCTATACAGATTATCTCCATGGTATTGACGATATAGTGGAAGACACTGAGCTCTCGGAGCTGACGATTGCTAATTGGTCCCTGCTAAGGTTGGGCTCAACCTTCCACGACGGCAAAAATCCTCGTCAAACGCGTACCAGTTTGACATATAGAGACGTCCTGAGTGTCTCCAAGTTGGGAAGCAAATTCATGCTCAACAACAGCAGAAGAACATTGACTTGAACTAACTCAGAAGATAATGGGTATCATTCTCCACTTGCCTTGCACTTTGTCGCTGCCAAATTTCTCGCCATACCACAATTTGGTTCCATGTGCAGTGACACCGAGATTGATCGAAACGAACAGCGTAGCGCAAATGACAGTCCGATTATAAAGCTGACCTTGGGGGGCGGCCATGACTGCCAATGACAGATATAGCAGACATTCACAGGTATAATGCGGGCACACCAAGTACCGAAACAAACCATTGTGAGGCAGCGAGTATTTCTTCAATCCAGACAGATATCGGTGACATCGATATTGCATAAGCCATGCAACTAGAAATACGAAGCTCGCGGTTATCACTTTCAGTCGCGGGAATCCAATGTTAGGACAGTCTGGGCCGGAGCATTGTACTGATTCTGTATCATGGTCAAACTAAGGTGAGGAATATATCGGCAGTAGTAGAACTTACGAGCTCCTTCGACCCAGATTGATACACTTGTGCATAAGTAGAAAGCCATACCCAGGAGCCAATGCACAATCCACATTCTAGAAGACGAGGATTGTAGTACGACCAAATGCTCATACAAGCGTCTCGCTCCTTGAAGGCCCATACAAAACCAAACTAGAACAACTTGTTCCAGAGCCATGGATGGTGGAAATTTAGAGAGCTGTTTCCTTGCGATGAACTCGAACACAGTTCCGTGGCTGACAAACTGTACCGCCCAGTATATAGTGCAGGATATAGAAAGAATATAGAAATGAATGAACCACGAATGCGGAATCATGCCCATAGACGTGAGACGAGAGATAAGATGGTAGAAAGCCCCTCTGTTGATGTCGTCGAGTCCTCGATGAGTGCCTTTGCAAGTTTCGCCATCAGCTGAAGCTGGTGTGTCCTGAGAGCTTCGTGCACCATACTGGATCAGCAGCCGCTGTGCTGCGTCAGGTACCGCCGCAACTGCTAGCACGGTCGCCGCGCTCAGAACATAGAAAAGTTGGCAGATTTCTGCCGGGCTTAAATCGGTGACAAAGTCACAGACATGGGCTACCGCTGCCATGTCACCGTAGTAGATAGATGAGAACTTTTGACTCGATTCGTATCGACTCCTGAAGTTAAGGACATCAAAAGTTTTTCATGTTATAGGTACCTAGGTACTGTACGACCTCTGCAAGACAGGATGAATTGTATATGCAATTATAGGATTATGCGTATATGCGTTATATCGGTGTGTTTAAGAGAAGTATGTCGTTGAGCGCTTGACGGATGCTACAGGAATCCCAGATTCCTACGTTTGTGTGTATATAAGTGTTTTAAGTTTTTATTGGATATAGGTATTGTCGAAGTGATTGTTCGTATAAGGATTCGGAGCTTTATGGCGAGGTCTCGATTGAACATCACTAGGGCCTCTCATCTAGGTTGCAGTATTCATCCGGGACATTCATAGTCATCGATGCGTGTCATATAATCTTGCCTTTCTATAGGTTTGCTTAATATTTACATGAAGGGACATATTACATGCCTTGGTTCCCATCTTGAGGAGTAATACAAGTTGCTTAGGTGCTGACTGATATATCTAGGTGTGTATGTGGGTATGCCAGACAAGTCGTGACCCTTTCACGGGAAAACGCACAATCTTGAAGATTCTCCCACTGTCAACAAAGGAAAGGGTCATTTGGCTCCGGTCTTGTTGTTGGAAGCTATCAGGGTGGTTACTAATATCTGATTCCCGAGGACTCACATTACCCCTCTAGCCTTCACTTTCCCCTTTGATCCTATCGTGGATAATGATTTGTTAATACCGTGTCGATCAACCATCTAAAGTTTTCCTCTTGCGTTCTTCTACAGTTCCATGTTACTTCCCCCTTAGATGTCATTCCTTGCGATCTTTCAACGTTTCTAGCATGAGAATCCAGTGAGGCTACGATTTGGTTGAAGAACCTAGAAGTATTCTCCCAACTTTAACTCTCATTGACGAGCTAGTAATTCAGACCTTTTCCCTATACACTTGTGGACATATCTGGAGAGGGGTGTATATGATTGGAACTGAATGATTTGGGAAATGTCCGGTTTATACAATATTACTAGCTTGATTTGCTGTTCGTTGTCCTCGACATAAGGATGAGAAGGAGCCTAAATTATTAGACCAAGTTAACTATTTCAGACCCCAATTTCGAGTACAGTGACATGTCAAAATGATGTGACTTGTGGGCCAGTTATCTTTTCCACTAGTGAGATGGTACGTGTTTTGGTGGGCGGGAAAGCTGATATGAAAGCTCGAATAAGTATGAAGCGCTCAATAACCTTTTGCTACTTCTTATATATGGCTATGCGGGTCTCTGGAAGTCCTTACTACTGCTTTCTGAGGCCCGTCCTGTCCACGAAACGGGGCAGTGGGAAATGGCCGGTAGGTTAGGAATTCAAATTTGAAGTAGACTTTGCCCTAGAACTTATAGGTCTGGGTAAAATCATGTTTAGAAACATGCTAATCATATATTGCTATTTCAAAAGCGGGTTTCTTACGGATGCGTTACTTTAGCCCGGTTAATGATATTTGTTTCTGCAAGAGTTGCTTAATCTCCTCTCAGAATTATAGTATGGCTATCTAGATAAAGGCTGGCCATCTCTGTACTCTCACAGCCTTATACCATAAGGCTGCATTCCATACCTGGTGAGTTCTCAAGTCCCTGGCCAATCAGTATATAAATTAAAATATCTGACTCTGAGTATAACATTTCAGCTAAGTGTATGATTTCGCTTTCACGGGATACCGCCATTATGGGAGCATATCTTAGCTTTATATGCAAACTGCAACGATGGATGACATAGGTTCACAACCCCCCTAGAGAGAGCCCCTATGGTTGAAAGGTAATCATAAATCAAACCTTGAACTCATGTTGTAAGCATTCGCAATTCTCCGTTAAAAGAAAACTCTATCGAGACTACCACATTATTCCCTCTATACAACAGAGACTCTCGGCATAAATAGCCTGACCTAGGCTAGGTATTTAAAGAGTGTCTATCATACTGCACTTATGAGTTGTGACAGGGCTTTCGAGACCACAACAGGCCTAATGATCATGTAACATTGATCATCACCGTTCTATGGCTATGAAAAAGTGTAGTAAGTGGTACTGGTGCTTCTCAAGGTCGAATTTGCAACTACATTCCGTCACGATCAATGCGTCCAAGTCTCACGACACTAGGCAGGGCGATGTGCCAAACACGCGACATTGCGTGAAGAGGCCATACCGATCATGTCGTCAATATCTGCCATGTATAAGCCTATAAAGACTGACTTTGCCTGATCTGGAGAGCTCTGGAAGTCACCTAGGTGCTTTTTAGTTTTCATACATGACCCGGATAGATGATTACAGGCCACCGCGAGGGTCCATTGTGACTATTGTCACTGACACCTGGCTGATTACTAACGTCATACAAAGCTGGCCTTGAGATGGTCTCATTATTATTTGGGATTATTCATCATCTAGAATTGGAGCTTCGAAAGTCTGGAGGGCGCCCTGAGATGGTGCTTGCCTTTAAAGCCAGTTCTCCTATCTGGCACATGACGACTATGGCGCTCAATTTTCGTCTAAGGATCAATTAATATTGAAAATTTTTAATACATAGTGATTGTTATTATACCCCAGCTTTAATAGATCATATGAACTGCCTATATACTTAGTTCCTCAATACATACCGGCATCGTCACCAACAAGGGCGAAACCTTTCTTATGAGCTCTTTGGGTTGGGCACGACTATATTGATAAACCAATATCGTTCTAAGAGGCTGAATTCATAAACCCGGTATAAAGTCGGCGGATAAACACCGGTAAATTGCGGGGTTTGACATCACCGCTGAATTTCTGTTAACGCCCCACTCCCTGCCAAAGCGTCGATGGCGAACACCTCATTTACGTCCTAACTCATCTTATCCCACCAGGAAACATTGCACAGGATAGTGTTGGCCATTCAAAATGTCTACTACGGTGGAAAAGGTGAGTCAAAACCAGAAGGGGTACCATTGTCACCAAAGCTAACAAGTCATCAGATCAAGGAGATCGAGGCCGAAGTATGTGTGGCCACCCCCTTAGTGTTGGCCGCATGGCCTGCTAACCCGATATATCATTGTAGATGGCCCGAACTCAGAAGAATAAAGCAACTTCATTCCATCTTGGCCAGTTGAAAGCAAAGCTGGCCAAGCTGAAGCGAGAACTGCTCACACCGTCCAGCAGCGGGGGAGGTGGTGGGGGTGCAGGCTTTGACGTTGCTAGAACAGGTGTTGCCAGTATTGGTTTCATCGGCTTTCCATCTGTTGGTAAAAGTACTCTGATGAGTAGACTCACTGGCCAGCACTCAGAAGCAGCAGCGTACGAGTTCACGACGCTGACATCGGTCCCTGGTCAAGTTATGTACAATGGTAAGCGTTACCCCTTTACCAACGCCCCTCGCGATCTAGTGATTTTCCATTGTTAGACGTGATTCTAGGGTAATATCTACTGGTAGCTGATATTCTCCTGAACAGGCGCTCCTCTACAGATGATTGATCTTCCTGGTATTATTGAGGGTGCCAAAGATGGAAGAGGCCGTGGTCGCCAGGTAATTGCTGTCGCGAAAACGTGTCATCTGATTTTCATCGTCTTGGATGTAAACAAGCCTTTAACAGACAAGCGAGTTATTGAATCAGAGTTAGAGGGATTCGGGATTCGTATCAACAAAGAGCCACCGAACATTACCTTTAAGAAGAAGGATAAAGGGGGTCTTAATATTACGAATACCGTACCCTTAACACATATCGATCATGATGAAATCAAGGCGGTGATGAACGAATACCGTATCAACTCTGCCGATATTGCTATTCGCTGCGATGCCACCGTTGACGACCTGATCGACATTCTGGAGGCCAGAAGTCGCAGTTACATTCCCGTTATTTATGTGCTCAACAAGATTGATGCGATAAGTATCGAAGAGCTGGACCTCTTGTACCGCATTCCCAATGCAGTGCCTATCAGCTCTGAGCACGGGTGGAATGTTGATGAGCTAATGGAGGTCATGTATGTGTTGAATATGCGTAAAACGGCAACAATATCCTCGAAACTAATATATTCTCTTAGGTGGGAAAAGCTGAAGTTAGTACGGGTCTACACAAAACCAAAAGGCAAAATGCCAGACTATTCGGCACCTGTTGTCCTCCGTTCTACAAAGTGTACTGTTGAAGACTTTGTGAGTCACGATCATGAAATTTCTGCCGTGAGTGGGGGGGTTGGTGTTGCTAACCGAAGATTTCAAAGTGCAATGCAATCCATAGGAGCATCATTGAGCAGTTTAAAACTGCAATCGTCTACGGAAAATCTGTGAAGCACCAACCGCAGCGTGTGGGGCTGTCTCATGAGTTAGCCGATGAAGACATAGGTAATGCCCAAGACGCAATGCGCACACCCGGCGGATGATCCTATATCATATGCTAACCCCTTATATCGCAGTAACAATTATGAAAAGATGATTCCTCTCATGTCCATGGAATGTCTTCTTGCACATTGGTCTTACGTATGAGGGCACTTCTCAGTGAAAGCACTATTCTGTCTCATAGATGGGCTTCCGTGATATCATGCGACGCCGAGCCTTTGGATCAGTTCTGGCCGCACACCACATCTGTGCTATATGGACACAGTCTAGCCCACGGAATTGTTCATTTGTGCAAGGCTGGTGGCCGGCCTGCATGATCAATAATACGTTGTAATTGTTTGTCGGTCCACGGGTCGGGAACGAGACCGCAGCCGATTGCGGTACGCTACGGGCAGATGGCAAGCATCTGATTTCTCGATAGGGCACGAGCCAGGATTCGCGCGATAAATTCCATTATCATGAAAGCCTGCGTTGGTAAAAACTAGCTCTTGGTGCATCAATGATTGGGTCATCCTTCACGTCTAGTTGCTATTCCAACCGCGAGGGGATGAGTGATATGATTACCTCACTACTTACAACTGAATTGAAGCTGCTTAGGCTAGTCTAGGGGCGCATGCCCTTGCTAAGAAGAAGCATTGTGCACATGCATGCCTAATAAAGACTGGGGCAGGGAGAGAGGGATGATCAAGTACAACACTAAGCGATACTTAAAAGCAAACAATATGATTATCGTTGTTACTCCTATTTGTATTTGTTCGCATGTTCCGACTTTGCTCTGTTCACCTTGTTGTATAGTTGGTCTATGGATCGTGGGATTGAGGTTGTAGCAAAATCGCAGCTGTAAATAGCCAGCTGTACGATGGGCGAGGTTGTGTGCTGGTCAACCCCCCAAGACAGTAAGCCGCATATTCCAATGATGAAATGATCAGAGAATCTAGACAAGGACCTGCAGCAATCGGGCCACGTCTATGCGGCCGCCTCTCCCGACGAAGCGTGCGGGATGCAGGACCAGCAGACTAGAGCTGTATGGGAGCCGTTGAGACATTGCTCCACAACACCCATACGGTGCATAGGTATTGAGGTGGAGAAGAGATGATGAACTCTAGGGCAGTGTACAGAGAAGTGAGACATGAATACTGCCGGTCGTGGGCTTGGCCTAATCCCACCGTTGCACGTAAACGATCGGAGCTTTTCTATAACCACTCAGAGCGTCCAGGGCCAGTCAACGTCGAGAGCGTCCCTCCAACAAAAGGCCGAGGGGTGTGGATTGTCCCCTGCTCCAGCCTTTCACAGCGCTGCTGTAGCCGCCGACCATGTCCACAATACAATCGTGGAGAAAGTTCCATATGATTTTTGGAGGGATAGGGCGTTCTCTCCTTCACTCCCATCCAACAGCTGACAATTCTTGGCTCAACGAGCTCGGTAGTCTTAACTAAAATGATCTATCGCGTCTTGCCTACTGCTCGGCTAGTTGGACACTAAGCTGGAACAAGTCCATCGCTGAAAAAGACGACGCGGATTGTGCATCGGTTTAGTTCTGTTATGTCTCAATAGCGTGGTTTTGGCAACACAATGCGAAGTTGGGAGCGTCCCAATGAACCACCCACCTACCTATCTACACCGCAGAATCGACTCGGTCGGTACTGAATGTAGCATCCAGACATCTAGCAAGCATGGGAGACGCATCTACCAATTGGTGGACAGTGACCTGGGGAAGCACCCCTGCTGAGTATACACCTGGCCGAGCTATCCTGGGACTCAGACTGGAATATCTGCACAGGTGAGATGTCGCGCTGTGTTGCACCATTTTGGGGTGCCTTCTAAATGTCGAATTTTGATGGTGCGATTCTTAGCGTCTTTAGGCGTCCTGTAAGAGGCCGGAGTTTTCTAATTATGCCTGCTCTCAAAGGAAATAATTAGAACAGCTCTATTTGACCTCGACTAAAGCATGATCTGGTCTATCAGAGTCTGGACAGTGAATGCGATCCTACTGTAGTCGAGCCCCAACCCCAACTCACTCTATAGGCTCTGGCTTACTTAGTAGGTCAGGGTAGAGGTCAGGGGTTGTCCCGAGCTAAGCCAAGGAAGAAGCGTCATGGCAGCCAAGGGCTTCCTAGTAGGTATGGTGCATTATCTGGCAAACCACGTTACGTTGAGGTTTGACCGCAGGGCATGTCTGCAACTCTATGCTAATCTTTCCCCGTAACACAGCGCGAGGGACTACAATAACATCAGGGTTGCAATCGCGGGCATTTTGCGACCGTGTAGCCTCACAACGGGACAACAGGAGTTTACTATTCAGGGAAGAGTTGCCGATGTTTGGCTTGAATAGGAAGAGAATGTTCACAGATCAGATTGCTGCGCAGCCGCCTTGCGTTGCGTAACACGTATCTTGGGTTCTCGTACTCTTCGAAATAATGGACAGGTGTGTCTTACTACTACTGTAGGTATGTACATAACTACGTGTATGATGTATGAGATAAATAATACCATAGCCCACCAACCTAAGCAATATCATCATCTAAGTACTTATCCCTTGTCCTTATACCCTTATGTAGAGCACTAAACTTGATTGGGGCTGAACTCCCAGTTCTTCACGCCTCTGACGAGTTATTAGGCATTCATAGCCAGTCAAGGGTTAGATACAAGCCCACCAACTGGAAGAAAGCCCGGTGCACGGAATTGGGTTGGCTCGCTTGGGCCTCCTGGCTATTTCTGCCCAATCGCTGTATGGTCGTCGCTGAGACTCTCGCCTCTGACGAGCGAGTTTGTGCTATGTTGTTACCATGACCTGGTCGGAGCATTATTCCTATCACTATTGTCCATGGTTGCTTTCGTTTGCGAAACATGGCATGCGAGGCATATGGAAAACCAACGACAGCCCCGGTTTCGCGCGCTACCGTACTCAATAGATCTAAGCCATTGTTGGGTTGACTTGATTTTGCTGAAGAATGACGATATGCAGCTGTAGCTCGGTGAGGGAGTGGAAACAAGGCCCGTCCCAGTGCCGTCCGTCCCATGCTCAATCCAGATCTACACTACCTAACCTAGTGGCCGTGAGCCCCAGGCGACGACGAAGAGGTATCATGTACACGCCGTTGGGTTTGGGCTTGACCGTCTCGTTTTTTTCTTTCTTTCTTTGATCACCGTCATGTGTCGTGCTACTTGTACATATCTAACCCTGTCTATACCTATAATGTATACTACACTACATGTAAAGGACCTTATGGTTGAGAAATATACCCCCTAGCAACGTCAGCGTTTCGGCGACACACAGCGGTGCCGTACACATAGGTAGGCAGGTAGGTCGCGGACAGAATTGCTTCTGTATTGATTACATTGAAGTACGAATGCCTGATCTATCGCACACCATTAAAACGCCAGAGAAGGGTATTGCTGAGGCTGTATGGTTTTACGAGCAGTAGCGTTTACGTCAATGCTGAACAGGTCAGGGCGTCTACTGCGGTAATCTTTGGGGCTTCATCCTGGCTGGCATGACGTTCTGTCGCTATCAATGCCGCATGATGATTTCCACTCCTCCTCTTTTGCTTTTTGAGGCTTGCGTGTATTGAGAGGCTCTCAATTACTCCTTGATGTGGAGTCGTGGAGCGAGGGAAAAGCGTCGGAAGTGTTTAAGATACTCGGCTTAACACAACCCCTGCTGTGCAATCGCCTCGGCGAACTAGGCCCCTGGGGGTGTTGCTCATCTCAATTTGAGGTGGCTAACGTCGTCTTACAGACGGAGATAATGGCTATTGTGGTGGTAGGAGGTGGAGATGGCTTGCTGAGGACGATGGTTCCCCACCTCTCTCCCCTCTTTGAATCTCTTAGGAGTTCGGCTTTGCGAAGCTGGCCTCCGATCATGGCCGACCCAGGAGCATAACTCAACAAGCAACCTTGCAATGCCATCTTCCGCATTGAATCAACCCCGGTTAGGAGTAATTGCAAGCTCAAAGGCATCCAACCATGGAGGGTAATACGTGATTGTTCTATGCGAAGATACGAAGCTCGCAGTTGAGCGTATACATGTGGATGAGAGACAACGACTACTTACTTACTTACGTAGTCCATTGAGGGTAATTCCAAACTATACTTGGTAGGTACTGTACGGGGATCGTGAGGGGCTCTTGAGAATGGTGCCAAGGACAGGTAGGGATTCGACTTGCTCTCTCCGTCTATACTAACATCGAATAAGAGTGTCGAATCGCCTTACCATGGCACAGGTGGCAGAGAGTGGTCCGAGTTGGCCCTATGAGACGGGCTCTTGTCCACATAGTGTACGATTGTAGCGCACAGGACATGGGGGAAAGGTGGACCATGGTGTAATCTGTACCCTGCTCCAAGCCCCCTGCCAGTCAGCCGTCAACGAGCCCTTCTCACGAGTTGGGACGAAAAGGGAAGCCGAGCTCCTCACGGCCGTCGCCAAATACCTCGTCTAGCACTCTCATTCGAAGATACTCGCTCCGACTACGATAGCAAAAAGGCTGCTGACTCTATCACGTGGGGCATTCCCGCGCCTGAAGTTACTTCTGGACGGCCGGATGTTGTATTTCGGCCGGATAGACTGCGACAATTGCATTCGTCCGCCTGCTTCTTTTGGCGCCTGGATGTCGTTGCACACGTAGGACAGTACGTTTGGTAAATCAGCTGAAGGAAGCTCGACTCGAGAGTTCCCTTTTGCCCTCCCCGTCTCCTCCCAGGGGTCACCCAAAGTCGAAGAAGCAATTGCGCTTGGGCAGGGCGTGCCGTCCTGCGCGCGTTTTCAGAGCCTACACCGCTCCCGGCTTTTCCTGTCGGCTACCTATTCGCCAATTGCTTTTTTATTTCTTGCAGCAGATAGTCTTGGTACATTGCTTTCCATCACGCATCTGAGCAGTAGTGAACAGCGTCTGGTTCCAGTGTAGTGTATATGGATGGGCTCAGCTCCGGACGGCAGTACGATCACCAGATCGGGAAGGGCTCACAATAGTCACTAGCTTCTTTCATCTTTCATCTTTCACTTTAATCCGGTATAAGGCACGCTTGCGAATGCCCCTAGTAACGGCTAGTCAGCCGTGGTATAGGGACAAAAATTGGGTAGCCAGACGGTCTTAGGAGACCGGCCTTTGATAATCTTCCATGACCGCGAGCGATTGCCACGTCGTTCGAGCCAATTGTCCAAGCAGGGGTACTCAGGATTGATAAGAGTCGTCCCTGAGACTCTAAAGCTTCTGGAATTTGGACTACAATACCTACCATCCCCAAGTAGCTATACAATACGTGCACATGTCCTTCTGATAATAATACCTTTCCCGAGGCAACCCTGCCTATAAGATTCTACAGTAAGTACGTGTATGTGTAGTGTAGGTAGTGTATTTGTAGCATGTCACGCCCCTGTCTGGTTTTCCTCTTAACAAGCCAAAACCCACGGTAACATTGTGGACTGGCATCCTCCACACTCTAAGCCAACGAAGAGACCCAGTCCACCCTTTTTGGACTACCTACTGACATACTTATATTCCTTTAAAGAAACACCCCTGCTCTATCAAGCTTGTCATACCGCATGTTAGCCCGGTCTTTTCCTTCGAGAGCCACGACCACGCACCCCCTGGGAATTTCAAGAGCCCCGGACTCGGCACGCACTTACACACCCCTGCTGCTGCATACAAACATACATATGTAGCTCATGTATGGGCTCCTCCACATGTCTGAGTCCACCGTCCTTCGCCGTGCTTTTGGATAATCGTACGTCGACGACTTGGCTGCGAATAACTCCATCACGGCGTCGTCTCTCATTTCGATATCCGGTTTGGGCCCGTGCTAGAAATTGGTAGCGCAAGCCTTGTTTTATATTTTATATCTGATACCCATCTTACCGCCGACCTACCTCGAAACCATTATCTATAGAAGGGACCCGTGATTCCCTCATCCATTAATGTACAGACGCATAGAGAGTAGGCGGAAAATTTGCCGAGGAGATTGTCTCAACCGAGAATTCAACTTTGGATTGAATCTCCCATAGTTGGGCCGACTACCTGACCGAGAAGGTAGATCTGAATGTTTGCTGGCTGGTGTTGCTACGACTCGGCTGTTTCCTCCCGTTCCCGGGTGTACGCAAGATCACGCTCATTACCTATCGAATACAGTCCTTCCCGCTTGTTTCTATTCGCTATTCCAAGAGAGGTTTCCTGAGTACCAAACGGCCATCGCCACTGCAGCTTCCAAGCGTACAAGAACACTTCGACTTACACAGCAAGACCTGCACACCTCCCACGAGCCAATTGCTTTACTGGGTATGTATGCTGTCTCCCGCTTGTAGAGCCCAATTCGCTAGATACGGGCTGGTAGCCCCATATCTTCGTCAATACGCAACCGTCCGTTCCCACTGGCCTCTTCTGAGCCCGGCGCGAGTCTAGATTAAATGGGCAGCAAATGCTGAGTGTCATCGTTGCTACTGGACGCTGCTTACATTTCATCTAAACCTAGGACCTTCATTTGAACATCATATAGCGATTGCATACAAACATGCATAACAGTATGATTTCCTCCAATAGCGCAGATCAGGATGACCAGCTCGTCCATGATGCTTCATACTCGAATAGTCCATGGGGTGGAATACACTCCTACAACCATATACCAATGACGAACTACCAGGAGGAGTATTATGGCATGCAACATATGGCACATGGATTGCCCCCGGAGCAACTTGGGGGACACCTGGCACCATCACCTTTCACGCAGAATATTCAACCAAATAACTATCCAAGTCAACTCCCGCCTCCACCGCCGCCGTTAATACCTGCACCGGGACAAGTCCCATGGCCCAGTCTCCAGACAAACCCGTCCCAGAATTACCAGTCGCCTGTGCCAATACCCAATGTCTCAGCTCCTCCAAGACAGCAACCAAAGCTTCCAACAATCAACACATCACAGCCAAGGAGGACGCTCACTGACCAGGACCGGCGAGAGATGTGCAAATTTGCTGACGAAAATCCTGGTGTTAAACAGCATGATATCGGGTTACGGTTCGGTGTTGAGCGAAGGTGAGAATACTAATGCTACCCTGGTGGGCGCCTTGTTGATAAAATCTATAGTACTGTGTCAAAGGTCTTGCGCAGGAAAGATCAGTATCTGAACCAGGAGGATCGAAGTGCTTCTCCCGTCAAGAAAAACAAAGGCAAGTCGTCACCGGATATAGAACGAGCTCTCGCCAATTGGGTAAGAGGCCAGCAGAAAAAGGGCGTCATCGTCAACGACCACGAGATGGAAGAGAAGGCGAAAGTCTTTTGCACCGGTTCGGATATACCCCTAAAGACCATCACTGCTGTATGGATTGAGAAGTTCAAGCAAAAGCATGGGATGGGCCCTGGAAGGCTAATACGCAGAGCTTCCGAGACGGCCATCCCAGATAGTACACGTCTAGACAGGTTGGATACCGAATCCCCAATTGTGTCTGTTTCGGTGACGCCGGGCGGAATCTCCCCCGCTTCCCCGATTGCCCGTGGATCACCTCTTGTGTCTTCGGCAACAAGTGGCAAAGCAGAGGATAAAGAGAATCTTTCTGGCTTCAGTGTGAGCTTTGCGAGCAGTGGATACAAGCATCCGCATTCGCAAAGTACAACTTCCCTCAACAGCGCTATTACTGATCCACCGAGCTCAACCTTCTCGGGAAGCGCATTTAGTCCGGCCTCGACCTCACAATTCACCTTTTCCCCCGATCCGAACACGGGCTTGTTCGGTGACGTTGTGTCTGGCAACGGCAGCTTCCACCGTCCGCGGAGTCAGACTGTACCGAGTATCCCGCCCCTGGAGTACATCAACCCGGCGCAGACTACCGAGCCACTGACACCGAAGTATAGTACTTCTGGTACGGGCCCATCGTCAGCCATCGAGTCACCGGTCCACGAGATCCCTACTCCCGCTTTCGGTATAGATTCGGCCATCTCTCCGCGAACCCTGCACCATGCAAGTAGCAGTAGCAGCTTGGCCGGTAGGTCTACCAATTCGGGAACCGTATCGGGGACGGTTAATTCCACGCCGACTTCACCAACTCAAGATGATGCTAGACGCGCAGCTGACACTCTGCTGAGCTTTATGCAGCACCAGCTGCCGGGCTGGTATGAGTCGAACGAATATCTTGTCGTCTTACGGTTAGGAGAAAAACTTGGCGTTGGCGGTCCTAAGGCCACCTCAGCCACTCAAGGCCTTGGAGTTCTATCTAGAATCCCTGAAGGCGACGCCGAGATGACCAATACAGTGTCACCATTGGTTAAGAACGAAGCAACGTAAAGGAGCGGATGAAACCCTGCTTTACTGCTTCCCGCCCATTTTATATGTCCTTGGCTCATTATCATGACTAAGGACACATGGAATAATTTACGACGAAGATGCGACCCGGAGCCACGACTATTACTTGATCTAGAACGTGCGAAATGCCCATCGAGTGAGAGCACGTCTCACGGATTACAAAAATCTAGACAATCGTCTCGCGACAAACTTTGAACTAATTATACTCTGAATTCCTTACTACTGTACTTCCTCATCCGACTACGACAACTAGCACTCTGCAAGCAGAGCGAACGTAATATATACGAGATAGTCTCACGACGCTAGGGACGGCCCGAGGCCTGGAGGACCGCCGAGTTTATACTCGCCTCAAAGACCTCTACCTACAACTGCTGTAACCCAATCTAACTATATACCGCTTTTTCACGAAAGCATAACTGGACAACCAATATTCGCGTCCATGGACACCTTTCCAAAATAAGAACCCTTTCTCCGAGCAATCGGCCTGAAATACCTAAAAAAGAACTAATCGCTCGCGCGAAAACAAGAAAAAACACTTTTGCACCGAAAGACTCTTATCTCTTCTTGCGATCGGACTAGGCTTTCAACATATACCATAACAATCATCTCACGATGTGTATTGTTTTATCATTGCCATCGACAGACACAAGCTGCGAGAAAAGGAAGGAGAAGAAAACGACAGGCATGCGGACTAGGAGGAAGAAAGGAGGAGAGAGAAAAGCGACATCATCGACAGACCGGGGGGCTCGCAAGGGCAAAATCAATGGCGGGATATTGCTGTTTTGCTTTGCTTTGTTTTCTTTTCATTTGAAGGGGGATGCACTTTCTGCTTGCTGGTTTCCCTGGTTTATTGGTTTTCCTTTCTCGGACAGACAGGGAGGGAGTTCGCGGAAAGGAGCGAAATAGGTATTGGCGGATACACACGCACCTCCGTATTTTTTAGTTGCAATTTTTCCCTTGATCGCATTCTTGTTTCGGCTCAGCTCCATCACCGGGCGTTTCGTGAATGAGAGCCACGCTAGGTAGTTGATTGTTGATATTTGATGGGGTTACGTTAGGAGTCTTTGTCCAGGAACCTACGCATAAGTCAGCAATGTTTACTTGTTGTTAACTCTTCTAATCTGAACCTGTTTCAGTAACCAATATTTTTCTCTTTAGTAGGAATCCTGTTCTCCCGCTTCTCTTTTCAATAAAATCCTCGGGGAGAGTGCCTTGCTTCGGTGAATCATCTTGGAAAAAGACGACAAGACGTACACATTTGGTCCGCAAAGATAGATAGAGAAGAACTTCGAAGAGATTTACATCTTTACCATCAATTCCGTCTGGGAGGAGTTTATGTAAGCCAAGTGTGATACTTCTGTTAAAGATAGTCACGAATTATTGAAAATCTAGTGGAAGAGAGATAGGAACAAAACTGGGTATCAAACTATGAATGGCGAATCATGTCTAGTGAAGTCTTTCCTCCCAGAGCTCACCGACACCTTTTTCAGCGAGTTCGGGAACAAGGCGGACCAGGACGAGCTCTAGAATTCCATATATCAGATGCTTATTACAATAGGCATCTGAGAAGATGTCCACAATGCCCGTCTCAATCTCGCACAAAATCCTCTCCTCATTTTCGCTGTCATGCTCTGCAAGAGTCTGAACAAATTCGTTGGGTCCGTGCTCCTGCCTTCCAGGCTGTGAAGACAACGTTGCATCATTTAGCATCATGGGGCGATTGCAATCAGAAGACGCATGTGGAAGGCCCGCGTCGGTGCCACTGACATTGGGAGCGGAGCTATGATTCAAAATACTACTGTTTCTCTTCAGCCGGCCAGCCCGTGGATTTACATTCTCACTAATAGTGGTGTCAGCTTTCACACCGGACCAAGCCCAATTGTTTGTGCCGTAATATCGCTCGCCCACCGCGCTCGGAAGAAGCCCCCAAAGAGCACTAGCGCATCTGCGACGCAAAGCAGCTAACTGCTCACCGGATGAGGGGGGCTTAAGGCTCGACACGCCTGGAGCATTATTAGGAAATAATGCGGCGCGGATCGCTCGAAGAAGTGGGGGTAGACGGGCTGGAGTTAGAACATAGACGTGAATGTAATGCGACAATAACCTATCCACAATCAGCACGGCTCCGTATTTGAATCGGTTAGGCATGAAAAACAAAGCTTTGGAGGCAAGATCACTTAGACACCGTGGGGGCAAGGATAGAAGAGACCGATGATTCGAACATGCGCAGGCTTAGTGGCAGAATAGTACAGAGGAAAGTAAGTAGCGTTGCACGACATACGCTGTTATGCAATATCAAGGATCAGCCGATTGGCTGTAATTGGGTATACGGAAGTGTGTTGCAATCATGGCTTCATGAAAGATAGGGGGTGGATGTTCCATGATCAATTGAATGACGAGATAACTTCTTGCTTAGTAGAAACAGGGCGTGAGTCTGTGAGGACGGAAAGCCACACTCCTGAGCTGGGGATTAATAGTCCACTTGGCAGCATCTTGAGTCTATCGTTTGAAAATCGCTCTCTGAAGTATATACTAAAGTGGTTGAGGGGTGCGCCCCTTAACTTGTAGTATAACTTATGCTCTTCGACATACTCACGAAGTATTCTAGATTTTCTGATCGAAGTGCGTTAGGAGGGAGGTAATACGGTATGTCGACGAGGTATTACAGGGGTTTGGACGGTATCATTCCGTGCAGTAGCAGAGTTTGGGAGCACGTGCATTGCAGGTACAAGGCCACCACTTGGGGATTGACATGGGGTAGAGAAGACCGTGGAGCATCGCATCATCTGATGCAGATTGAGTCGACTGACCAATCCGCTGGGGACGGGGGAGATCCATGTACACGTGGGTGCCGAGTTGGGCGCGTAAACAGAGCTTGCTGGTGGTCAATAGATGTCAGCCCCGCGCCCTCGGTCAGACGAAAAATAGCCAGGGCTGCACGGCCATTGGCCAATGAACATGTGTCGAAAGGGTCGGTCAGAGAGAATTGATAAGGATGAGGCAGCGAAGACCGTGGTGTACACAGTGTCTTTGGGTTGGGCCGCCATTAGTTCCACATCAGCCTGAGGAGATAACAATAATCAAGCTGGCCCTCAATTGCTACTCGCAATCTGCAGAGAGTAACATTGGTGGGTTATGAAATACGGTAGGTAGACTTGCCAAGTTGGGTGACCTGGTTGTTTGTGGGGTGATGGAAAAATTGTTGAACAATGAGAGAAATAGCGCGCCTACCTATCGAGCGTTCCATCGACTGCGGCAACTCTACCTGGGACGTTTAGAGCGATCCACTGCATCATAGAAACAGTTCCTCGAAGCCAGGGCATTCGTGCCTCAACTTCGAAAATATCCCCGATGCATTGCCAAATATGAAAGTTGACAATTGCGATCCTTTCAGATTGTATGTGAGTTTCGATGGCAGCCTCGCGTGAGACGGACTTAGGTTGCTTTCGTTGAGTGTCGCGATTCATCTCCTCCCCCCCGCGGATGGTACTTATATTTGGCCTTGGAGGCAGCGACCATGAGAGAGCTCCTATGCTAAGAGCCAAGCGTATCATCCCAATCGCCAGAAAGATTCCATTGACGATAGACCAGAAGATTTGGTAAGGGACCCATGATCGCTTATTCACACTTGTTGAAACACCTGTGTTATACAAGCCTTGAACATTTGTTTTTTTCAGGAGGTTATCGGAGTCGTTAGAATCGTTCTTTTTGCGGACGAGTCTCGTGGTCATAATCAGAAGCTCCCATATAAGCCACGGCTCTGAGAGTTTATTGGCAACTAGGTTACCAATGACAAGCTCTGACAGAATTTGCCCAACGAGTGACGTCAAGCATTCATTTTCAAGATCCTCCGTTGGAAGCAGCACTGCGAGGACGCCGTGGACTAAAAGTTGGCGGTATGCAGTCTCATTATCTGCCTGAGATTGTATACTAGCCGGGTCATCGACCCGTGGGACTGGCGATAGGGCTGGCAGAGGACAAAGTGAATGATATATCTGATGTAGCTCCGTTTGAAGCGGGGCCTTTGCGGCTGGATTTGTAGCAATACGATATGCTTTGCAATGTTAGCTGCATCTGAACCATGGCTTCAAATATCTAGGCTTTAGACTGGATAGAGGCACACCTTGGATATGGGTGGCAAGTAGCTCTGGAAGCTCATCAAATAGTAAGCTCTCTAAGTCGACCTTCCGTAGCCTCTGTTCCAACGCGCGGGTACAGTGTGCGATGACCTGAACAATTTCGGCAACGAAGGCTTCGTCTGGGGTGATCTTATTGTACCAGTTTTGTACAAACTCTCTGATTATTATAGATATAAGGGCATATAGCTGCAGATCGACATCGTTTCGGCTCGTGAGCGGGGGTAACAAATCTTCGATTGGTGCAGGGGAACTTCTTCCTCTATCCTTCAGGTGACGAGCGCAAAGACATCGCCGAATCAAGGCTGCAGTAGCTTTGTCGGATAGAAAGTCCGAGGCTGGGGGCCGTGCAGAACGATGATGGCTCTGAGATGAGGAGGTAGTCTCGGTTGGATTGGCGAGGGGTACGGCGGCGGTGGCGGCGGCAGCGGCGACATGAGAGGACCCTTTGCCAGTTGAAATCGTCTCGGTAGGTTCGAAGGACGTTTTTGCTGAAGCGGGCGCCTTCAAACTTGCTGGGAGAGGACCGCCGGTGCCTATCGGAGGAATAGACGGAGCTGTCATAGCCACCCGTTGCTAGTAGGAGAAGTGGTGATAGTCATGAGGCAACCATGTCGAAGGAATCATGCACTATTCTTGTTTTTGTTATAAGCGCCTTGAGTACACGGAAACACCTTAGCCACCGAGGTAGGGAAGTCTGTGATGCTGTTAGAGAAGGCTATCATGCAATAAGATGTTGCACGTCACTCGAAAACGACATACTTGCACATGTGTCTACGGGTACCTATGTACGTTACACAACGGTGCTCATTGTTAGTGCCCTTGCAGTAGGTCCTGCCCCTCCTCAACTCCCGTATTAGGTGCGGTAGCCACTTATCCACCCAGAACTTAGGTACATGTAGTACCTACCTCTAGGTACTTATGTAGTACCATGTACATGTACAGCCCCCATGTATATAAGATAGTACCTAGGTAGCTGCGCATTAGGTACTTGAAGTATGATATAGCTCGTATCATCAACTCATGACCATCATACTGCGCAGAGCTAAGACAGTTTTATATTCCAGGTACACTCGGATAGCCTACTTATGTGTATAAATCGTAGAAAGTAGTGCAGTATTGGTTCTTTACGTGGAATTTGGGCAGAGCGTCGGTGTTATACCAAACTACCTACATTAGCACAGCTTGAAGTGAGATGGTACAGCATGACATGTAAATAAAAAGATGTACACATGATAACCATGGCTAATCTTGCGTCACTTAGCCCACTATTGATACAAGCCAAGTTCTTGGAGTTTATACAATCAAGGTCGCTCTGTCAAAACATGCAAAGTGCTCAGTCTAAAGGGGTTGTGGTTGAGCCTTGCCAATTGACACTCATTCAACGTTTCTGTGAGTTGCCTCATACCTGTCATGACAAGTTAGCAGTTTTGTCTTAATGGAGCAGCCAAAGATGGACGTACCGTTTGCCCCGGAAGGCCCATACTCCCCAATTTCCGCAACTGATGTCCTGTGGATCAAGATCGTTGAGATCCCAGCGTTGGCTCCGGAAAATATTCTCACCCGGGTCCATGAGCATATCAAATTCGCCGCGGCAAGTCTTATCCACCCATGCAATATCTCTTTCCATATCAAGCTGTGTATAGCCCGTTACTATAATTGGAGCTTTCGTCTCCAGAAGAAGGGGTACGGTTTCTGCCCATTCATGTGAACTAGCTGGATGTCCCAGGCCGGGATGGAACATGACGAAGCAGTCGAAGTATGGGTCGTAAGGATAGAAGTGGCCTGTTTTGTGTAAAGTATGGTAGTAATCTACAATCGTGCTAATCTTCATAGAAGGCCATACACGATCCTCAACGATAGCACCAAAGGGATTGGATGCAGTTCGAGGAGGCAAGGGGAACTCGTCGTCTCGATTGGCCATGCTTTCTGGACCAACGAAAATGAGATGAAACTTGCCCCGAGGGAAAAGGTGAGCAAGCTGCACCCAAACATTCCTCGGAAGCGAAGACTCTGCGCGGGCGCCTAGGATAAATATACGAACTGGTGGTGCTTCAGGCCGAAGGCCATCAATCCCCACGCCCCCGCCGGTTTTAGGAGGGTGCAAGGTATAACGCAGAGCGCTCAGGCTCTTAAGGCCTTCAGCTGTCAGTCGACCACCTTTTCTAATGTTGTAAGGACTGAGTTCATGCAGAATGCTACCAATGGTAAGAGGGTAGGTCAAAAGCCTTGTCACCTGTCGCATACTCCGATCATCATTGATAGCTTCGAATTCTCTCGTGTAGAGAAACGTGTCCCAGTTGGTCATATTGACGACGGCCTCCTCCATCTGCGGGCCAGCATACTCAAATTCGGGGAAGAACCTGCCGGATCGGAGATCATGGTCATCCTCATTGATCTGCCTTAGGGTGTCACATATTTGGAGATGAGCCTCGTAATCTTCCGCCCAGTGTTGCTCGCTGCAGTACACGGGAATCCCACAATCGGGACACTCGAAATCGACATGCCTCGAGACGGGGATGCCCGAGCTCCCCAATGCAGGGCGATGGTCCGGGTGGGGGCAATATGCGTGCTGTCTTATGAAAGCAGCACGCTGTCGGATTTCGGGTATAGGTGAGTTGGTGAATGAATGGAAGAGATCATCGGATCGAAGCACCCGCTGCGAGTGAGAAGACTCATGAGACTGCGTTTTGGCTGTGGTCGAAGCCAGATCCTGGGTTTTCCGACCAAAGAGCGACAAAGACCGTTTCGCATCGCGGGAGCTGGGCGATTTCCTGAGAGCAAGCTTCGGCTTGGACGAAGCCAATTGGGGAGACCATGATGCAAACTGAGAGAAAGATCGGATTGCGCGCGAATATGGTGGATACGAAGAGCTGGACAACGCAGATCTCAAGCACCTGCGACAGGTATTGGAAGTTGCGCGCCTGGAAAGCGATTCCATCGTAGCTATGACTTCCCCGTACAGGCAAACAAAAAAGAGGTTGAGCTCCAAAGTGGGATTCCCGAAAGTCGCATGACGGAAGGAAATGTGCCATGCGAACAGCGGTACCTGACCTGGAGGTAAGTCGAGGTACCTACAACCTAACGGAGGAATTACCGGTAGTACCTGTATAGGTACTCAGGGATGGATGGAATCCGCCATAACTTCAGGGGCTCATCCACCTGTAGGTACCTATCGACATTTCATAATTGGGGGTAGGGGAGTAGATACCCATGTGTCATCGAACGTATCTAAATTTCCCTGTAGGCTAAGTACATATACATATCTACATAGAGCTCTGATACAGAGGAGGTACCCAGTAGCTCAGTAGGTACCTAGCTTAAAGTACCCACCGGAAATTCGAGGTGAGAGGCTCATGTGTGGCTGTGGCCAAACGACGTTGGTGAGTGGAGCCCTGTTGAAGCTCCAGCCACAACAAGCTCTGATGCCAGCCCCGAAAAATTGGAAGCTCTTGAGATCCGTCCTAACGCATTCGTTCCACCACCCACGGACAGTCTCAACTCCCATTCTCAACAAGTTCACGTGGCTGCAACGAGATTCATCCCAGACGGCAGCCGCGCAGGCTTTCTGCGCAACATCCGCAATCATGGCCACCACATCGAACATGTTCCTGTACTCGCTGACCATTCAGCCTCCCACATCCATCACCCAGGCTGTTTTGGGCCAGTTTTCTGGCACAAGAGAACAACAGATTGTCGCGGCTTCTGGCTCGCGTCTTACGTTGATGCGGCCCGACCCGTCACAGGGCAAAGTGACAACCCTCCTCTCGCATGAGGTATTCGGCATCATCAGGTCTATCGCAACATTTCGCTTGGCGGGAAGCAATAAAGGTAAGCTCACACGACCACTCTTCTCTTAAGGCGCACATAATGATTCGAAGTTGCGTTTTTAGAACTTTCCTCGGCGGGATCTTGAGACATGGTGCGGATTCCCGCGCTGTCTGGACAGGCATGGCATCAATGGCTAACATTATGCAGACTACATTATCCTGGCTACCGACTCCGGTCGTATCGCTATAGTCGAATATATTCCACAGCAGAACAGATTCAAGCAGCAGAAGTTGGAGACCTTCGGTAAATCTGGTGTCCGTCGTGTTATTCCCGGCCAGTATCTTGCCTGCGATCCCAAAGGACGAGCATGCCTGATTGCCGCTATGGAAAAGACCAAACTGGTCTACGTTCTCAACAGAAACGCGCAGGCTGAGCTTACCATCTCCTCACCATTGGAGGCTCACAAGCCGGGTACTGTCGTTTTGGCTATGACGGCCCTCGATGTCGGCTACGCGAATCCCGTATTTGCAGCGCTAGAGGTTGATACGTCGGAAGTAGACCAGGATCCTACTGGTCAAGCTCTGGATGAGGTTGAGACACAACTTGTCTACTACGAGCTTGACCTTGGTTTGAACCATGTCGTAAGGAGATGGCACGAAGCAGTTGACCCTACGGCCTCTGTGCTGTTCCAGGTGCCGGGCGGTAACGACGGTCCGAGTGGTGTGCTCGTATGCGGCGAGGAAAATATTACATATCGACACTCGAATCAAGATGCCTTTCGTGTTCCAATTCCAAGAAGGAAGGGTGCCACCGAAGATCCCCAACGCAAGCGCACCATCGTCTCTGGAGTCATGCATAAACTCAAGGGCAATGTGGGCGCCTTCTTTTTCCTACTTCAGACAGAGGATGGCGACCTTTTTAAGGTTAATATCGAAATGGCCGAGGATGAAGAAGGCAAAGCCACAGGAGAAGTTCGAAGGTTAAAAATCAAATATTTTGATACCGTGCCAGTATCGACAAGGTCAGTGGATCAGTATTACTCGTATCTCAGGTGCTTTGAAAGTGGACTGACCTGTTATTATCACGAAATTGGTCACACATTGCGCGTTAATTCATTGATCCCCATGATTGGCACTCGCTGCACTCTCTTACTAACATCTGGTATCTCGATAGTTTGTGTATCTTGAAAAGCGGCTTTCTGTTTGTGGCAAGCGAGTTCGGCAACCATCACTTTTACCAATTTGAGAAATTAGGTGACGATGACGATGAGTTGGAATACTCAAGCGACGATTATCCAACTGATCCACAAGCTGCATATACACCTGCGTATTTCTATCCAAGACCGGCTGAAAATCTGAGCTTGGTAGAGAGTATTGATTCAATGAATCCACTTGTTGACTGTAAGGTTGCTAATTTGTATGAGGACGATGCGCCACAGATCTACGCAATTTGTGGCAACGGTGCGAGAAGCACTTTCAGGACCTTGAAACATGGCCTTGAGGTCAACGAAATTGTGGCGTCAGATTTGCCAGGTATTCCGTCTGCTGTTTGGACGACAAAACTTCGTCGTGACGACCAATATGATGCATATATCATTCTTTCTTTCAGCAATGGAACTTTAGTCTTGAGTATCGGAGAAACAGTAGAGGAGGTATCGGACACCGGTTTCCTTACATCTGTGCCAACTCTCGCCGTTCAGCAGCTCGGCGAGGATGGCCTCCTCCAAGTACACCCGAAAGGCATTCGACACATCATCAACGGTCAAATTAACGAATGGCCCGCGCCACAGCATCGATCTATTGTTGCAGCATCCACTAACTCCCGACAAGTGGCGGTTGCTCTGAGTTCTGGGGAGATTGTGTATTTCGAAATGGACGCTGATGGGTCACTTGCAGAGTATGATGAAAAGAAGGAGATGTTCGGGACCGTTACCTGCCTTAGCTTAGGTGATGTTCCGGAAGGTCGTCTGAGAAGTTCATTCCTCGCTGTTGGATGCGATGATTGCACAGTTCGTGTCCTCAGTTTGGACCCTGAATCTACGCTGGAGAATAAGTCTATACAAGCACTAACTGCCGCACCATCCTCGCTATCTATAATGTCAATGGAGGATTCTTCCTCTGGTGGCCGTACCTTGTACCTTCACATAGGCCTGCACTCTGGAGTCTATCTGAGGACAGTCCTAGATGAAATCACTGGGGAGTTGACGGATACTCGCCAGAAATTCCTCGGGCCAAAGTCCGTGCGTCTTTTTCAAGTTGCTGTGCAAGGCCAAACCTGCGTGTTAGCATTGAGTTCAAGAACGTGGCTTGGTTATTCCGATCCGATCACAAGAGGATTCATGTTGACACCACTTGATTATAATGATCTAGAATGGGGATGGAACTTCAGCAGTGAACAATGTGAGGAAGGAATGGTTGGAATTCAGGCACAGAATCTCAAGTAAGTTGATCTTGTTTGTTTTCTCTTCACCCCCCTTGTGGAATGATGATAACTAGGGATCCTATGCCATGCGCGATGAGGCCTTACACAATTTGTACCAATTGTTCCTACTGACCACTTTTATCACTTTGCTGTGCTTGCAACTAGTATGCTTAATCATGCTAATCAAAACACCCTGATAGAATTTTCTCCGTGGATAAATTAACGGACACGGTGTTACAGCAAAGTATACCGCTCACTTACACTCCTAAACGTCTCGCAAAGCATCCGGACCAACCCTATTTTTACACTGTTGAGTCAGACAATAATACGCTCCCTCCGGAACTCCGTCAACAGTTGCTTGCTGATGCAGCCGCGAATGCCGACGAGACTGTGTTACCTGCTGAAGATTTTGGGTACCCGAAAGGGCGCGGTCGTTGGGCATCCTGTATAAGTGTCGTGGATCCCCTTACTGAAAAACGCGTATTACAGTCGGTAAATCTCACGGACAATGAAGCTGCAGTTAGCATAGCGACTGTCTCCTTTGCTAGCCAGGACAATGAGGTCTTTTTGGTGGTCGGGACTGGAAAAGACATGATTCTCAGCCCCCGGCAGTTCAGTTGCGGCTTCATCTACGTATACAGGTTCCGAGACGATGGGAGAGAGGTCGAGTTCATTCATAAAACCAAAGTCGATGAGCCTCCCATGGCACTTGCACAATTCCAAGGCCGCTTGTTGGCAGGTATTGGTAAGACGCTTTTGTCTTATGACTTGGGGCTGCGCCAACTGCTTCGAAAGTCTCAAGCCGAAGTGGCTTCACAACTCATCGTTTCCATACAGACGCAAGGCAGTCGAATCATCGTCGGCGATGTGCAGCAGAGTGTCACATATGTTGCTTACAAATATGAGAGCAATAAGTTGATTCCGTTTGCCGATGATACTATCCCAAGGTGGACGAATTGCACGACTATGGTGGACTACGAATCAGTTGCAGGTGGCGATAAATTCGGCAATATATGGATTGTGCGGTGTCCGCAGAAAGCTAGTGACGAGGCAGATGAGGACAATGTTGGAGCACACCTTCAACACGCTAGAGAGTACCTCCACGGCTCCAATCACCGGCTCAGTTTAATGACGCACTTTTACGCACAAGATGTGCCAACCAGCATAAGTAAAGCCAATCTTATTGTTGGTGGTCAAGATGTTCTGCTTTGGAGTGGAGTGCAGGGCACAGTTGGTGTTTTCATAGTAAGTATTCTACTCACTCCTACTTAATTTCTTGCGTAGAGTTCTCTTCACTTGCCATCTCAAGATACCGCAAATACCCTATAATAAGCTCAACGTCTAGACGAATGGTCTTTTCTAATATCCTTCTAGCCTTTTGTAAGCCGTGAAGACGTCGACTTTTTCCAAAGTCTCGAGTTGCATATGCGCAGTGAGGATCCACCACTTGCAGGGAGAGATCATTTAATCTATCGAAGCTATTATGCCCCTGTCAAAGGTGTCATTGATGGTGATTTGTGCGAGAGATTTTCTTTGCTTTCTCAGGATAAGAAGCAGATGATCGCGGGTGAGTTGGATCGGTCGGTTAGAGAGATTGAAAGAAAGATATCGGTAAGTTAGGACCCATTATATTGATTGTGCGATCAAAGCTCATTACTAATGTTCAACTAGGATGTACGAACTCGGTCAGCGTTTTGAGAGGTCTTGGAACAAGTGCACAAGCCCACCAGAGCGGGTGGAATTCGTGTTATCTCAACAAGGTCGATATTCTACTAGGCTGAGTGCTTATGAATCTCAGTGGAGTCATCAAGCTTCCTTTCGCATCGCAAGACCATGAGTCGGACAACCCCTTAGCGGCTTGAGATTACCGTTGGGCTACATGGCGGCTCTTGCTGTTCCTAGCACTATTGGCGGGGTGTAATCGCTCCCATTCCTCATCCGCGAAATACGTATCCATGGCCAATTGAAGATCATACTCTGCCTGTTCCAAATATAATACAGCAACATCGTACTCGTGGACTTTGCATCCGACCATCCAACGCCGGATTTTGGCTTTTCGCTTCTCCTCCTCTTCACCTTCTATGGGCCTTGGCGATAAGCTGACGCCCCCCTTATAAAACTGACCAGGTATGATGACTGTTCGACGACCAGCAATCAAATGATCGGAGGAGATATTATTAGCCCGTCGCAGAGCAGCAGCAGGAACACCGTATCGTAACGAGAGCGAATTGATGCTATCGTGAGCGTGGTTGAGAAAATGGAGGGTATCTTCAACTGCCTCCTCGTTTTGAAGAGCACACTTCTCATTTAGAGAATCTTGCGGTAGCTGGTCTGTCGGATACCGTGTGTAAGGTGGTGGGGCGCATTTAAAATCCGTAGTGGCACCTGACGACATTGCATATGACGGTGTACTTTTCAGACCGGGTGGCAAGATATCATCTACTTGTGATATCTGACAATATGGGCAGTACGATTTGAAGCGAGGGTTTTGCTGCCCAGTGCAGTTTGTTAGTGGGCTATCTCACACATTTTTTGATCATAATTCCTAATTGAAGATATGATAAAGTGTTGACACGCTCGGTTGCAGCACTATCAAAATAACAGTGAGGGAGAAGGCAAAAATAGAGGCGATAATTAGGACTACGCACATGTATACAGCGGCCGCAAATAGCGCGCCCACAGCATTCTAACTCCCGGTCCGATGGGAAAGGCTTCTCAGTCTCGAGGCGAAGAACTTCAGTCAGCGGCGTAGCACAAGTGCAACAAGATGTTGCAGCACTCGAAAGATTTGTCTTGATCACGGTCATAGCTGCTAGGATTGAACAAAGTCTGCTGTGCGCACAACCGATGTATGATACAGCGTAGGAAGACGACGTTGACAGGGACAAGATTAAATACAAATAGTATATGCTTAATAGTAATTGGATGGGGTGTGGATAACAATGGACAACATTAAATATGTACTCGTGAATTTTTGAGGATCTTCAAAATGCCGTGCACTGGTTGTGGTGATGATAAATACAAATGAGTTCAGGTAAGTACTGTAAGTAGATGATGGGTCGAGTGTACCTAGGCAGGCAAGATGCATATGAGAGTTGAATTACCACAGTAGCTACCTATGGCGTAATCCGACCTACCTAGGCTTAGCTTGCCCGCCGAGGCAGTGTCAGAAAAAGTTGAGACCCCCCTCCCCCAAAACCACTGATTCGACCACTTATTCGACCACTTATTCGACTACTTATTTGACTACTTATTTGACTACTTATTTGACTACTTATTTGACTACTTATTTGACTACTTATTTGACTACTTATTTGACTACTTATTTGACTACTACGCCTATGTATAATAAAGGTAACGTTGGTACTTAGTACTCAAGTACATACCATGTATGGTAGCAAGACAATGTTATCGATAAGTTGGGTCTGTGGGGTATCTGTACCTGTGAATCTGCTGTGGGCTTACATAACGTACAAGTAGCTGGGACTAGTAGCGCGCGTTAACGCCGATGCAGCCGACCGGAGGCGCTTGTCTCAGTCGGCTCTGATGTCAGTGGCCTTTGGTGATGGCGATGATGGTATCCAGCTGTCATTGTTGGAAAGCCTAGCCCAGACAGTACTGCCTAGAGTTGAGTTTCCCCTCGCTTTACGGAATTGTTTCCGGATGCTTCGAGTTCTCTGTAGCTGTCAAGTCATTGGTGCGACGCAAGAATTCAGCGCCAATCCACACGCAACGAACCATCCCCGTTTAAACACCCCTTGTCTATCTCAATCTCTCTCTCCAGGAGACTAGCTGTAAACTCGGCTTCATCCACATGCATCATTTCCGTGTATTATAATCTTGACAGACAGGTTGACGCCTTCCTTTCCGTCCACAGCCTTGTCAACCTTGTCTGCTGACATCTCCATCTTACCGTCGTTCGCTGGTCTACTACAATCTTGCGTCCACCCTAAGCAACTGCCCTCCTATCCGAGCTTCGTCTGTCGCTCCTCTGTATTCTAGAGGCGGGCCATCTCCCCAATGAGTTTATAGCGCCTCGAAAGTACTTACTGGCAAAAGTCATCACCTTTCTGCATAATGCCCGAAAACGCCGTTGCTGCCTCGCCTGCCCTTCCATCTCCTGCCGCCCTACCGAAACGCTCGAGTCCCTCGATACCAGTCACGCTAAACGAAGCCGGCCTCGATTCGCCGTCTTTCCGTGCCTCTGCCGTTTTCTTTGCCGATCAGGCCGATGCTATAGAGCGTTGGTTGGAGGGCTACGTTAGGACAACTTCTAAATTGACTCACGATATTCTGGGGTTAGAGGAGACGATCAATCAATATCTCACCAAACTCGTCCCATCGCCAGGAATCGTGTCAGTCGACCATGACTATACTGCGCTCGCTTTAAAGCGAGTCAGCGATGGATCGAGAGAATGGTGGGCGCAGATATTGAATATCGCGAAGAAGATAGATACGCTCTCAGTTGAACCAGTTCGCACCTTTCTTGCGAGTGACTTACGCAATTTCAAAGAGACTAAGCGAACGCTAGAACACTCTCAAAAGACTTACGACTCTACGCTCGCCCGATACGTTGGTCAATCCAAAACAAAGGAGCCCTCCTCCCTGCGCGAAGATGCGTTCGCTGTGTACGAAACACGCAAAGCCTATCTAAAAGCATCTATGGACTTTTGTTTCTTCGCCCCTCAACTGCGCTTCAATCTTGATAAATTGCTCGTACAGATATCGACTGATGTCTGGCGTGAGATGAAGAAGTCCCGCGATGCTGCTGGAAGCCTCGCCAAATTTGGCCAGGAGATGGATAGGGTGAGAGGATGGTCAAAAGAAATGGAGCTGACTGAGTCGGTATTTAAACGTGAGCTTTACATAGCTAGGCGTGATATCGGAGACAATACATTAGCAAGCTGTAAACCATCACGGGAAATTGATGATTATAGCGCCTCAACGGTGCCCTTTCTCGGCTCCAGAGGCTCCATGCATGTTTTCACGCAAGGGAAATCTGCTGCCATTGTGGAGAAACAAGGCTGGCTATTTCTACGAACTATCTATGGCAAGCCGTCAAGGACTAATTGGATTCGCCGGTGGTATTATTGTCGAGATGGCATCTTCGGGTGGCTTGTCAACGGGCCTCAAGGTGTTCTGCAAGGAGACGAAATCGGCGTCTTACTTTGCAATGCGAAGCCTGCTGTTCAAGAAGAACGCAGGTTTTGTTTCGAAGTCAAGACAAAGAATCAAACACTACTATTGCAGGCAGAAACACAGGCACAGCTCATGGAATGGCTCGAGGTCTTCGAGGTTGCAAAAAAACGAGCCTTTGAAGCCAGCGTCGGCAGGGACACGTCATTGCTGCCCGGTGGTGTTGACCCTGCTTTCTCGATTACTCCCCCATCCCTACCGGAGTTCTCTGCCAAAACGTTTGATACACAGGTCGATGAAGCTGCTGGCTTGGAGCGAGTTGGCACACTACCCGTTCCGGGACCCGATAGTGGACTTTTATCAAGACCAAGTTCTGATATCAATGCGACAGCCCCCAAACGGTCAGCGACATCTCTAGCTCGTGAAGAAGGTGAGAGCGGGCGTGAGCATGCCGCGCGGATAATGCAGAAACTGGATCTGCATCGTAAGGCGACGTTCACATCAAGTGCCGATAATATGGCAACGCCACCCCCAGGCCCGACTGGAGGCATAGCAAGTCTCATATCTGCCAGCCATGGTTTGTTGCCTGGGTATTCCGGGCCCGCCCTCAATCAAGCGACCAGCGTCAAACCTCAACAAGGGCAGTTACTTCTGGGCCCTGAGACAAGACCTGGAAGTTTGGCGCCTCTAACACTGGCAAAACCTCCAGCCGCGACTGTACTTAGTAGAACAGCCGTTGCTTACAGTGGCGAGAGGGCGCTGACCGCGAATCCCACCCAATTATTGCCAACCGCAATTATGGCGAATTACTGGGGAAGCAATGCTTGGGGCCAAGAGCATTCAACTAGAATTAGCCATACGGACCTGTCCTCTGAGGACCCTTTTGGACCCGATTCGCCGTCAATCAAAGTGACTACTCTTGGAGACCCCAACGACTCTAAAACCTCTTCGGCAATCTCACTTCATAAGAAAGCTGTCAGTATGGACGCGAAGATGAACCTCCCGAAGATCGCTATCAATTCCAAAGAGAAGCCTGTTCAAGAAACATTCCCGCCAAACTATCCGACAGAACTAAAAACGAACTCAGCTCAGTTTCGCCTCCTCTTTCCTAGCGTGCCTTTGGATGAGAAGCTCGTATTAGTTTTTCGGTCTGCATGGAGTAGCACTTCAGAAGCAGATAAAACCACACCTCAAATGGCTGGTAACGGGAGGATTTATGTTACATCAGACAACATGTATTTCTATGGACATCAGATGGGCCTCATAGTGGCATATACAATTAGCCTTGACACGATCACGGAAGTTACGGCAGCACCTGGCAGGGATTGCGATTTCATTTTCTTGCATTTGAGCCCAGACGCCGAAGGGATTGGTTATACACGAATCACGATAAAAACCTTCCTCGAGGACTTGGATCTTTTGCATGCGCGCCTCAACCTGTTAATCGACGACTTGCAAGCCGAAGAACCAATGGAGGTCCCCGAACTTATCAAAGCTCTCATTCAAATGGAAAAAGACGGGGATGTTGATCCAAGGAGCCCAAGTGCCGAGAGCTGGGAAGAGGTTTCGGCTCACACCCCCATCGACAATGGAACTGCTGCTGATAGATCAGTGAGTCCGAGGGTAGGCGCCATCGCCTATCGTTCAAGGAAAGAGAGCTCCCGCAAAACCTTTCCGAAATTCCAACTCCCTGCGAACCCCGTCATCTATGAGCCCGAAGACACGCCCAACAAGGTGGCGGAGCGGACCTTTGAAATTAGTGCCAAGGCATGTTTTCATGTCCTATTTGGAGACAAAAGCTTCATATTTCCCAAGTTGTATTTCGAGCGTAGAGCTCAGCAGATTGCCCAAGGACCATGGAAGTTGAATGACGCTGGGAACATGCAACGTAATTTCGATTTCAAAGTTACATATCGTCAACGTCTTGGCCGTTCCTGCGAAGAAGACATCACCGACCATCAAGTCATTGATATTTTTAGTGATCACGTCACATACGTCGTCACTCACGAGAAGACGCCTTGGCATCTTCCCCATGCGCAAGGATTCAAACTGGTCACCAAGATTGTCATTACACATGTTGCTAAATCAAAGTGCAAGCTTGCTATCTTCACGAAAGTTGTATGGTCGAAAGCACCGGCACTGACGAAACACCTAGTCGAGCGTCAGGCGCTGGATGATGCGACCCGGGATGCCGAGGAACTCGCCGAAGTGGCCACGGACCAGGTACGCAGATTGGGGCATCACAGTCGAACAAAACGAGCGATCCAAGTCTACGGAAACGTGGGCCTACAATCGCAAGTAGTGATTTTTTCACCAAACGAGGCAGATTCTGCAAGAAAGCCGCTCATCAACCCCCGGACTCTGGGCTCAATGCTTTTCGAAACGGGCAGGTCGTTTACTGAGAGTGTCGCATCTTCACTTATGCTATGGACCTTTGCAGCGCTAAGAAAAATATGGAAAGCAGTCACAGCACAGCGACTTCTAATCGTGTTGTTAGGACTCAGTGTCCTTACCAACATTACTTTCTCATCACAGCGTAGCGCGACGTGGTGGAGTGAGCGGCGTGCTGTTAGCTTCATGAACCGCATCGGCGTAGGGCCTAACATCATGATGAGCAAAGCAATATATCTAGCGGATCTGGATGAAGCGGCCAAGAGCACGTCAATTCAGCCATCATGGCCGCAAAATAGTTATTGGTAAGACACTCCTATGGCTAATGAGTATTAAAATTTGTAATAACGTGTAATGCAGCTACTCTACATTCCAGGCTATCGCCAATAGCAGCAGCATGGATGCTCCGCACGAGGACGCGGGTTCGGTATTGTCACCGTGGAGCTCAAGCCGCGCCACTGCCCGGCGGCTCCGTCGCACACGCCAAAAGCTCGGCTCATATCGGCACGACCTTATTGTGGCGATGCGACTAGTCAATAGCGTTGAGACGGAGATGCTGAGGTCGGAGTGGGAGAATTGGCTTATGGATGAGAGCTCTAGGTGCGAACAAGTAGGTATGGTGCTACAAGAAGCATCATCAAATGCTGGCGGTCTCAAAGCGGACTCGGTGAAGGGTCAGCTCGCGCAAAAGATCCTTAACAATGGGATCGACAATGGCTCAAATAAGGGACCGAACAGGAACGACAATTTGCGCCAGTGGTATGAGGAGTATTGCGGGAGTTGTCGGGTGGATCACGATGCTCTGCTTCGCTACCGCGAAGACTTATCCATGGCGCCCCTGTAGAAGCGAATATGCATGTGCTGGGCTACCTCGTAGACGTTGTGTGGTAGAAGAGATATCCCTATTGATAATATATATATTCTAGGAAATTAAACAACCCAAAATATACGTACGTCACTGAGTGGACTACATGTGCTTGGTTAAGTTCTCTTGCATTGAACATATAACTATGAGATCTAGGCAATACGAAGATGTGAAATAAAGTTACAATTTCGGTCTGAGCATCACCGTTCGATGAATTAAGATTAATCCAATATCTACATAGTACTCTGTAAAACGGTGGAAGAGAGAACGCCATCTTACTGAAATTTGCCGACACGTGTGGCGTGCCGAACCTAAGTAGTGGGTGACCCAGGGATTTCAACTTGATATATGCATGGATCAACACGTTGTTCGAAGGACCCTCACAGCTTCAACTTGAGTAAATAACTAAATCTTCGAGGGAGCAAAGAGAGCATATGCAACATTACTATTAGGTACTTACTGTAAGTAGGTAGGTGAACAGCTTTGTCTCTAAAACATATAGGGACATACTCCGTGTGCACTTTTGCTCCCACGAAACCCCCGCCGTCGAAAGATATCGTTATAGGCAACTTGTCCTTGTAAACTAGTCTACTGCTCTATTCTGATTGGCCTCGAATCCCGTTTTGTAAATCTGGCATTTCCGGAGATTTCGTGGAAGCCAAGGGGATTGATACACTTATCACCCTTCCAGATTGTGACTATGGCCAAAGCAGGTGCAGTAAAGATAGATAGCCACTCGGTTATCACGGCTCCGAGCTTGAACTACCTGCATGTATATAAGTGTATCAAGTGTGTTGTCCTAAGCTAGCGAAGTGCTTCGGTATTCCACTGTATTACTTCATACACGGGCTTGCTGGTTCAACTAAGACAAGATACGTAGGTGCCCGCCCAGTAACTAGGCCTATTTGAGATGCTATGATCCGTATAAGGGCGGCTAAAAGCGTCCAGTTCCCTCCTATGTAGACACTAGACGCTGCCTGGGGATCGTCAATTGGATTAGATAGTTGACGTTTGTTCGTCTCGGCGAGGGGATGATGCCACCCTTTCGAACCACCCAACTGGACATCGCCGTGACGTCATCAAGAGTACGCGATAACAAGCTGCGATTCTATCCATTGCATTGCTTCTGTTGTGAGTCCCAACAGCTCGGCAAAGACGTATTGCCGCAGTTCCATAGACCCTGGTCATCTGCCCTGGTCAGCAATATTGGATACTTGGGAGCCTAGAACGTGCGACACTGCGGCTCCTTAAATAAGTATAGTAAGTAGATACCCAAGGCCTTGAAGGAAGCATTTGGCTCAATGCTCATTCATCATTGCCCAAACACTGCTACATAATATTGTACGACAAACTTGCCTATGTGATATTCTCATGTCTTAGGGCCGACTCTCGAGGTGGTTCAATTGTCTTAAGCAGCTCTTGATCAAATCTGTTGCATCCATCGTATATAGTTCGACAACGCTGTTAAGATCCGATAGCCAGCACGCGACTCTGTCATATCGCCCCGCGTCGTCTACACGAATAACAAAAGTGTCCGCAAGAGAAGGTTAACGAAATGTCCAGTAGTGTCCATGAAACATTCAAGGCGCTTGGCCCTGTCGACTGGGAAGCATTCGCTCAAGAAGACCCAACGACCTGCATGCCCGCCACTTTCAACGACGCCCACTGTCTCATTGACTCAATACCAGCTCCCTCCGAGAGCGATTCTTTGCCGAGTCAATCGGCTGAGTACTCGCAGAAAGCCAGAGAGCTGAGAAAGGAGTGGAAAGCAGTGAAAGTCAATCCCCGCGACAACCCGCTCGAGTTAAACGTCTACAAGTTACCGGCAAAGGATGGCAGAGGCGCATGGTTTGCAAGGCGGAGCGTCCACAGCGGACAAAGCTATAAGAAATGGAAGACAGGCATTGAAAAAGAGTTCGCCGAGAGTCTTAAGGTTCAAGGACAGCCGGGAGACGGCAAGATCAGAGGATTGGGTGCCGATAAATGCGTCGCAGACCGGACCGTAAACGGCTATGGGAAAATACAAGTCTATCAGCTCTCGGCGCAGTTTCCAGGTCCGACTACGCCCCGCGACTTCGTCACCTTGTGTTTGATCTCCGACACGGAAACAACGACATTTACAGCAAAGAAACCCGATCGACCGAGAGAATATATGCTTGTCTCGAAACCATGTGTCCACCCTGAATGCCCAGAGCGTCAAGGATTTATACGGGGCTATTATGAATCTGTCGAGCTGATTCGCGAAGTCAAAACTTTAGAGTCGGTGACACCTTCGTCGAGTAGCGGTCCAAGCGACCCTCTATCGTCATCAGCAACAAGCCGCTCTGAAAATATCGGCAGGGAGTCGACTCTATATGACCAGAGCGCCGAGTCAAATAGTAGCATAGGCGAAACTTACGACGACAATAATTCCACAATTGAGTGGATAATGATCACCCGTAGTGACCCTGGAGGCAGTGTTCCTCGTTTCCTCATAGAGAAAAAGACACCAGAGGGAATAGTGACTGATGCTGGCAAATTCGTGCAATGGATATCATCCGAAAGGTTTGAGATGTTGCTCAAGACCAACTTTGAATCTATACCAACCGAAGTCGGAACAACACCAAGCAATGCGTCCATGTCTGTCGTGCCTGGGGGTTTATCTAGCTCTGTTCAGGCGCCACATACCGACTCTGGGGTTAAAACGGGTTTTGGAGGAACCGGATCAGAGAATTCGGAGCCTGCGCTTTCGCCAGGACCTAGCGGGGTCTATGGGAGTATGTAAACCACTGGAGTCTTTTTTTTTTTTCTGTTCTAATTACGCCTGGAGCCCATAGTTGACTATTAAGAGCACAAGTGTGTCTCGGGAGTATGCAGAACTCCCAAAACTTTTAGATGAACGAGCAATTACTGATTCTAGCGGTTGTAGTGATATCGTCCACTCTTGGTATGGTAGCATCAGCAGCAGCTTCGCGATTCTATGGACAACCTGAGGAAAGCGAATCCGAGATTTCTACACCCGAAATTTCCGATACCTCGTCCCTTCATAGTTTCCACAGCTTTGACGATACGGTAGACATCGAGCCGATCACAAAGATACCAGAGCGCGACGAACCGGCTATCTCTGTAAACGCCGACGCAGATGAAAGTTCATTGAAGTCTACACAATCTACACATCACGACAAAGAGCTTAGAAAACTAGAGGAGCGGCGGCGGAAAGCAGAGGAGAAACTGCGGCGAGCCGAGGAACGCGCCCTCGCAAAAAAGAACAACGACGCGCAGCGCGACGAGCTAGCGCTGCAAAAGCTGCGTGACAGACACGAGCGCGAGATTGCGAAACAAGAAGACAAGTACCAGCGGGAACGTCGCAAGCTCGAAGCCAAGCGAGCCGCCGAGGAGAAGAAGGCCGAGGAGCGCCGGCGTAAGCAGATCGAGCGCGAAGACAAGGCCAATCTTACCCTCGAGCTGGAAAAGACGCGCGCCGATAGGGATGTCGCTCGCAAAGAGATCGAGATCTTGAAGGAACAGGTCGGGCAACTTCAAGCTTTGAACACAAAGCTCGTAGCACGTCTCGGGCGCGAAGGCATCAGCCTTGATGATAGCTTTATACCTAGTTCAGGGAGTTGTGGGCCGACTCCTGCGAGCCTTGGCGGGCCAGTGACTGAGCAGGATCTGGAGAAGAGGCCAAGTAGCGTTAAGTCATGAGATTAAGGTCTTGCAAAGGAGGTGTGTCCATCCAATTTAGACCTGATAGGAGTGAACCATAGCGATAGTGGTAGCGAAGTACGTGCGAGTGGATATGAACATAAGGCATAGCGACGATGACACGAATTGTATAATTATGTTGATTAAGTACTTACTTAGATTCGCGATATCAGATATGCGAGATATAACAGCGTAACAATCGGCCCGGGTATATTCTGCTAATGCTTTCTATCACGTCCCGATGAGTGTGAGGCTGTTGACTTGTTCATCACGAAGAATCGGCTTCCAAGCCCAGTTTGTTCTGCATGACACCGGTCCCCAAGTACTAGCTCATTCCTGACTATTGTGCATCCCCAGGGAGAGCTTCCAGATCAAGCCGGCGTGCTTTTGAATTCTCCTATTGTCTTCCCTACTAGTTAGTCCCTTTGGGCGATTTCTCAGCCCTGAATTGATTCCAGGGTTGGAAGCGTTCGTTCGATGACAGTGACTGTTTCGGATTCCGTGGAGTGGTATGTTGCCAGGCTCAATAAGTAAGCTACGAGTGCCGTCAAACCATTGCCTCGCTTGTGAAGATATAATAAAAATATTACATTAAATACTAAGCCCCGCATCCATGGTCAATACTCGTCGTCTATATTGTGCAACTCGGGATATTAGGCACCATATGCACCAAAGGATGATTTTCAGTCTACACTTGTGTATAGACTAATGCTCTTCAAGAGGTCCAGTCTCGGAATCCTTACATACACTCCATTCAACACAAGACCGAGCACATGTCGGCTTTCTCGCTAACATCCAGAGTATAGAGTGTTTACATGCTCAGTAATGAGTCTTCAGAAGTGCGGATATCCTCGAATTCTTATTTGAATACCAGCCGCTTGTATCATGAAGTAATTTTGGCAATTTCATGGAGGAATATAACGTGTGAATATAAGACTGATTGCGCTTTGCTTATCTAATCCTGCTAGGTATCTCAAGTTCACATCTCATCGACGGATGCTAAAAATGCAGTGCAATCCCTTGTTTCACCGAAAACAACATTAGTAGTGGGGCGCTATGCTAGGTATACCGTAGGTTACTCCATGTCGTGATAGTAGTTCTTAGAGTAATACTGATCCGTCTATCGACAGAGAATGTCTATTTGTCTCTGAATTTTCTATTCCTGTATATGGTTAATAAGGTCTGGCGAGACATAAGTATTCTCGCCAGCTTATTGCGCGGGATAGCCCAATAAGAGATTAAAACTTTGACAAGATGATAATCTAATATATATCAGACTGAGTATAACCTGGGTCATGTAAATACTAATCAATTCCCTCTCAGACTTCTGATTTATACGAGTAAGTGAAACACTCCTCGGGGAAGTCGTACTTCTCAACTCTCTCACACTATGGACACTCAAAGGCTTCACTTTGTGTACAAATCACACATAGAACCCCCTTAGTATCTTTACTGGTGTAGATGAGTGATTGTAACTTTAAGCCCGAGTGAAAGATGATAAGTATCACACAACGACACCCCAGCCGAACTAGAGACTATCAATGTGGAGTGTGCTTTTGAGATATCTCACGTGCGGTAATCTCAAGTACCTAGTGCGACCTGGATTGCAACAAGAATTCTCCGAACTTGAGAGGCTGCTGCTAGTACAGACGCATATCCGTGCCAATAGCCATGCACATGATTCGAGGAGCAGATTGTGAGAGCGATTTGAGTCGCCAATTACTTCACACTGACCAGCTCTCGCAGCCGTTGTGACGAACTGGCTTGGAACACCTCACTCTGTGTTACTTCAAAAGCAGTGGCTGTCACGCGGAATCACCCCAAGCTATCCCCAGGAGGTATGAGGGCGTGGAGAATGGAATCTTGTGTGACTTCCAGACTTGCCATTCAACCTGTCTGAAGCCCAAAATGGCGAAAATCTCAACGCCCGCCCGCATGATACTTCGGATCACGGCCCGCAGCTGTAGCAACGAATTCTTATACGAGATCTTGGCATATCTTTACTGACTAGCTGATAGTTAATAAACTGTCTATTAAATATGTGTCTGTATATGAGCGCACAAAGGCGTCGTGATGTGGGCGGTCGAACCCTCACGGAACACGATTGATGGTACAATGAGCTCGTCATCGAATGAGGGCAGATCACGACTTGAAAACTTGACTCGACGAATGTACTCACGACAAGTCATCTTCCAAGCCAGCAGTAACACCCATCTCTCGACTAGAAGGGGTCAAACTTGATATACACGCTAAAGCGGGTTCCCATCGGGAGGTTGCCTCGGGACAAACATCTTCGATGAATCAAAGTAATATAAGGCGTTCTCTGGTAAGCTATAGACAAATCCTACAACTCAGAAAAGAGATGGAAGCATGCATATTTTGCTCTTCAAGCTCTTGGGCGGTTTGTCCTGTCTCTACCCCTATGTACAACATAATTCCAGGGGATGCTAAACCTACGTACACACCACACTTCGTTTCGAATCTAATTTCCCATTGCGAGCATTTTTAACTTCGAAGATATGCGCCTTGATGCCTTCACAGCCCTAATCACCATACTCAAAACAATCCAAAGCGCACCCGCCCTCCCACTAAACCGACGGCTCCCCTTCTCACGCCGCTTGGACTCCAGCAGCTGTGAGTTTTACGGGTACGTGGATAACAACGAGGTGTACAACGAGTACACAATCGAGATGGCCGGCTGGGGCAATGACGGGTCTTCAAACGGTTGTGCGGTTGGGGTCCCGAGTATTATCCAGACACAATGTAGGGCCAAACTCGACAACTTTGCCTGCACACAAGTCTACGAAAACCTCCACGACACGCTAATCAGCTTCCGCATTAACAAGGCGGCCATTGCACAGCCCGACTGCGTCACCGAGGCATTGAGACTCGCCAGCATAGCGGCTCACCACGAGCAGACCATTGAATGTTTCTGTCTCGCCGAATGTTGGCCATCGCAGACGAGCGTTTAGGACGGGGATGATGGGATCGCGGATAGGGTAAACTACACACAGATTATATACATGGGAGGTAATATCGTGAGATTAAAGAGCGTTTTAACGAGTGGAATGCCACTATGATTCATAATCGAAAGCGAGGGGCATGTCTTGGGTTCTGATACTAGGGGATGTCGATCCAAAGCAATATTTTTTACGGCTTTTGACTTCACGGATATGCTATGATGTGTCGAAGCTCATCTCGTTATACTTGCTATCCGGGGACGATAGCAAGGTGGTTAAAGTGCAGGTTGATCATGAGGATGGGGGCTCTGTTTCACTATGTGGTCCGCTTTCTCAACTCAAATTCATTCATTTGCGCGCCTCAGCCAATATCAACTGTAGGGATAACAGCTGCGTCTGCTTCTCTTCTTCATCTCCATCTTGAACTAGTATCAGAATGTCCTGCCGCCTCGCACATAATTCATCTCCTCATCGCTCTACTCAAGTCGTTGCATAGAGGGAGGTTGTAGCGAGGATACGGTACGTGATTACATGTACGCCTGTGGCGGTTCAACGGGAGCAAACCTAGGGCAGTATATGCCTACCTAATCCAGGCAGTATCTACAGCGGGATATCCCGAAACCTGTGCGGGCGCGTCATCGCGCATTTTTCTGGAACAATTCCGGCGGCGAAAAGCAACGCACCTGTGCATGAGCGAGAGTTCGTTCTTCGCTGCTCATGCCCTTGTAGTTCTCCAAGATGCACATAGTAGTATCCTTCTATCTGACGAATATCTGAAAATTCTCGTCCCTTTTTTGCCTCCCCCCAACTAGGAACCCCCAACGTCGGTACGGTGGATACTACATCTTTTTTAGTCATTATTGGTGAAGATATATATCATACATATATCTGTCTAAGCTATATCTCGTGTAGAAGCGGTTATTCTCGCTGCAACTACTGCCGAGAAACGGGCCGATGAGTAGCCCAACTCCCAGATACGCACTGGGGACTGCTTCGTACTATGTACACGTAGTAGGTAGGGTTCTGCCGACCAGAGCGGCTAACTTCACCGGCGGAGTAGATCTACAGGCCGCGATAGTCGGCTTCTGGATTGGGCGGGTCCACGATACTACATAAACCAACCCATATTCCACGCCCTAGTGAGATAGACCGTAAAACATGTTTTCGGGCTTGGTCGTGGATCCCTTAATGGGCGTGGAACGACACGTCTGTTTCCTATTTCTATCTTTCGTCATGTAGTGAATGGTATTTCTAATTGCTTATGAAACTGCTTGGCCGTCGTGACAGCTGATATAGAGACTGACTTTGACGACTTCAAAAGGATGGTCTCGAGGTATGCTTGATTATCTAAGACCGGTTCGAACGATTCCCTACCTGTAACATGAAGCCCTATCACGGCCGTTGCAACGGAGAGACGTTCCACGGATACAGCGGTTATTGGACGACAGGCGCCACGGCCGAAGCAGTTGATCATGCAGCTAGCACGCTGCTCAAGTGTGTCTTGGACAGAGTGCGAGTGGGGAGGGAGGTGGGTTTGATTCCTACGATCAGTGCTGCAGGTGGCCGAAAGCAGGCCACAGAAATGTTGCTGTTGTGCCGATCGGGAAGCAGGGTCTTTCAGGCTACTGCAGCACAGAGTGTTTTATTACATCGTAATTATGGGCGTCTTGAGTGTCCTCGAGTGTGTATGGGTGTGTAGATGGTAGTATTGAAAGTTGACGAATCGCAGATTTTCGTGTTATAGCTCTAAGCGCATGGGTGGTCACATCCGGCTGTCGTAGGCTAAGGTGTCAGAAACCGCGTGTTCGAAAGTTTATAGATCACTATATAGTAGAGATTAGTTATAGAGATATGGAGATATAGAGACGTATAACGCCACCGTAGCGTCACATAAATCGCCATCTTTGGCTAGCTAGCTTGTACTGGCTTGGGATGCGGCTGGGTGGCTTGCTCCTCGAGCATTGAGGATGGTGTAGAGATGCTACTTTGCTAAGAGGACCCGAGGGTAACTACTGGATACAGCAGGGGCTTCATCAATTGAAAGCCTTTGTCGCCACGCAAGGGCAAGTGAATCTTTAACAAGCAGTTGTACTTGGAGTTTATGCAGGAAGGCGAGTTTAGAATTACACTGCAACCCGAAGAGCATCCTATGACGACAAGCCGCCATTTCTTTTTTATCGGGCTGGCTTGACCGATGTGTTCCGCGCTGCAATGGAACACACACTCTACTTCCCGATTCCCAGCATCGGGCAACCTGAAGGGCCCGAACACATCACATTGGGTCACACCAAGGACGCTTGGAGACGGCGTGCGTTGCATAGGTGCGACACGATTACCACGTCTTGGTACGGTAGCAAACACCATAACACCTCCCGCTCACGCTCTCACCCTGTATTACTGCCCTATCGAGTATACATTTTGATTGTCTTATACCGGCAATCTGTTGGCCGCCGATCATAGGTTCTGGATGCGCTGCAGAGACAGAGGAGATCTACCCTGCACATAGCTTTTTCACGAGATTTGTTGATCTCATCCGCGCTTCTTTAACCGACTTGGATAGAGATTTCAGGCTTGCGCTGTGCGCTTCCGCTTTGCTCAAGTGAGCATCTGTAGTCATAGCTCCGTTCAGCGAGCTGAGATATGCATTGGACTTGGGTGTCTTGAAACCAGTCCGTGCTCTAGAGGGACCAGCTGCTCGGTAATGCTAGGTAATGGGGAGCTAAGACTGTATGAGGATGTAGATACTTGATGAATGCTGAACATTGCGCGTCTATACCAATACATGTACTCAGTAGGTATGATAAGCCATGGTGAGTGACTGTGAGACCAGATCTAGCACGGGGCAATGGAAATCCAGGTACACCCACGATACGCAAGCCAGGGCTTGGTTCTGCCATAACGTCATAATCCGGGTATGTGTGCGTGGGTGTGTCTATCTCCCTCTGAATACCTACCTACCCTAGCATACACGTATCTCCGGTTCAGGGCTGCAGGAACTATTGCGACAGACGCTCTGTGGCAAGTTGCAATGGTCATCGAGTAGATGGGTGATTGGATAGATGGCTAATGTCCTTTTCGCATGGGCATCCTAAAACAGTCCAGGCCGATGAGGGCCGCAGAAGTAGCATTCCGCGACCTGCTAACTATTTCAAGGCTGACCCAGTGGACTTTTGTGAGATGGTGTCCGGCTAGTCTGGGGTAGCAGGGATATTGTCACGATGGAGGTGTAAGCGACTACATGCCATCCTTGCATATACTTGGATATGAAGCTATAACAAATGCTTCGCCAGCGGAAACACGTTGCCGTGGAACCTGGAATACCTTAGGCTGGCGAGGGAAGATGGCTCATTCCACGATTCTGGGAAAATCCGTATGTTTTAAGTTCTATTGAACATGCTGAGTGAAATCGAAGCTTACTACATAGGTAGGTAGATCAGTTCAAGATGTCTTTGACGCTATGGCGGGTGGAAGCCTCAGGATGAATGGATAAGTTGGAGAGCAATAAATCCAGCTATTATTCTCATGGAATTGGTCACCAGCAATCAGTTACCGCTGTCATATCTCGTATGCATTGTAGAGATATTAAGATGCAGAGCGAGTATCGCAGATTATCCGTTAGAAATTTCGAGCCAATAGTAGCCGCAGAGATAGACAATGAGTGGATGGTGGTCAAGACTTTTAAGGGTTATCCCTTGTCGAAAACAGTTCACCTGACCTGGGAAGATTTCAACTTTTCATCCGTTGAGTTGATCACTTATGAGCTAGGCTAAACTGCGGTTGGCGCTTCGCGTTGATATGGTGTATGTACAATGTAGCCATTGAGGCATCGTTTAGCCAGCTGTGTATCTACAGCTACCTAATACTACGCAACGTATAAAAAGGTTGCATTCCCATTGTCTGGGTGGTTGACAGCCCTCGACAGCATAGACAGGGACCACGACCAAGCAGGGGACTGAGTTGGGGAAATTTGGAGAAAGCTTTGAGCCTATCTTGGAAGTGGTTTCAGTCAGATATTGGTAAAGGTCTCTTCTTACTATATTGCAGGGAGGCGAGGGAGGTATAGATGAAGCTTTAGATTACCTCGGCTATAAAAGTATTATCGGAGAAACCTAGAAGAATAAGGCATTGGCGTGTAGTCAGGGGTCATCGGCCATTATGAAAAGCCTCGAGTTTGGATAGCTGCTACATGATACACACTGTATCAACTTGATACAATTCAAGGATTCCAACAGGACAGTATAGCAGCACACAAGGCCCAGTCTCGCCTTATTTAATTTCCCCGCTGTCACGCGGTAGAACATGCCTGTGATAATCGACACAGTTTCTCGCGCATCACCTTTTAATACTCGCGCGCCATGCTAAACCTACCATAGTAATTGTTGGGGCAGTACGTACTAATACCCCCACAACAGTCCTTGGCACACCTAATCTAGCCCTTTTCGAAGTATAACCCTTATATCTCCCAGCAGGACCCATGATAGCCATTAGAAAAAAAAAATACGCACCTAACGGGCGTTATCTTTGCCCAGGTGACTTCGAAGGTCAGTCAAATAGGTGGTGGAAGGGGTAATTTCGTATTAAGATCAATAAGCAAGTCACTTTTTTAAGGCAGGTTGAAAAATATATCATAGGGCACTTTTAGAAGGGAACATTTTTACTAGCAAATATAGTAGTAAGCTGTTCGTTATAAAGTTTTGAACTTAAGAGATTAAAGGGTGTAGGTACTTGTTGAGTGATGATATGAAAAATGACTGTTTTCATAATCGCTGTCAAGGGTGTGTCTGCAACTAACCCCAACTTGTATGGGAAACCAGGGGGGTTGCAGACAGAGACCCGACAATTGCTATGGTAGGTTTAGCGTGGCGCGCGAGTATTAAAAGATGATGCGCGAGAAACTGTGTCGTGTGATAATAGGTATTACCGATACAGCTTACAGCTATTATAGCCTTCCGCCCATTTCATTCGGCTTCATTGGAATATATCTCAACTCTTGTATCAAGTTAGTCCATGCGCCGAGTAGGTATTCCGCCATGCTGCGAGACATTCTAGATCCTGCCAAGCAACTACTCACAGATGCGCTGAAGAAGCTGCTGGCGCGGCTCTCGGGCACAGGAG